TTGTATCTGTAGGACTATGTGTCCACTCTTTATTATCATAAATTATTGTCACTGCATTCAATTATTACTGTTTTTGTAATAATGTAGTAATAACTAGCTCTGAAAGCAGAAACATAGTCAGAATAATAGCAAGTAGATATTCAAATGTACAATTATTGTACAATTTATTGAAAAATGATTTTTGGTAACAGACAGTAATTTTTTTTTTTAAAACATACAAATATTGCCAAACTCTAGCGCCGCTAGAGGGCAGACGTTCTCTGGCTTGTAGGCTGCTGCGCATGCGCTGAAGAGGCGGCTTTCTTGTGTCAAAAAAAAAAGTGAGAATAAAAGGTGAAGGCTGGCGGCCGCCGGCGGCTACACGGGCCACATGACGAGGTCTGGCGGGCCGGATTCGGCCCGCGGCCCTTGTGTTTGACACCCGTGCAGTAAATCAGAGTCTGAACTTGCTTCTTCCAGAGCCAAGGGAAAGAGGCTCCTTTTTCCAGAACAAGATAAATAACACCACAGTTGTCATTTACTGCTGTACTTGCTGGTTCCCTCCCCAAAGGCCTAATAGACTGGAACTTTTAAAATTTTTAAGTGAATTTAACAGATCTTCAAATTGGAACTGCATTTCCCACAGGTATGCTCGATTTTATTTTTGCACCTGCCAACCACCAGCTACTCATATTCTGTGCTCTGACCAGAAACATGATATTGCCTGTTGAACTTTGATGACTATAATTCTATTAATTCTGCCTTTTCCAGAAGCCTATTCATTTGTTCACTCAGCCTCCCACACATGCCATTGGCAGTTGTGTGGCGAGGATGGAGACCAGCTTGTTTCAACAATTTTTTTCCAGCTGGATGTGTCTGTGTGTGGGGATATTTTAGATCTGTGCCTTAGGTTTTTATTTGCATTTTTTAAGCCTACCCTTATTATCATTTTAATTGTTTTATATGGTCGTAAATCGCCTTGAGACACATGAGAAAGGATTAAAATAAAAAATTAAAAAATAAGATGAAACATATAAGCAGGGATGTCCTTGGCAGAACCCCCCTTAGTAATGACAACGACAACAACAACAATAATTTGGGTTTCCCCAGCCACTCTGGGTGGCTTACAACATAACTAAAACCATAATAAAAACATCAATCCTTAAAACCTTTTCTAAACAGGGCTGCCTTCAGATGTCTTCTAAAAGTCAGATATTTGCTTATTCCTTGACATTTGAAGGGAGGGCGTTCCACAGGGCGGGTGCCACTACCGAGAAGGCCCTCTGCCTGGTTCCTTCCTTGTAACTTCGCTTATTGCAGTGAGGGAACCAGAAGACCCTTGGAGGTGGACCTCAGCGTCCAGGCTGAGCGATGGGGGTGGAGACGCTCCTTCAGGTATACTAAGCTGAGGCCCATTAGGGTTTTAAAGGTCAGCACCAACACTCTGAAATGTGCTCGTAGATGTACAGAGTGCCAGTGAAGATCCTTTAGGACCAGTGTTACAAATATTGTCCCATCAGCCACTCCCAATCACCAGTCTAGCTGCCGCATTCTGGATTAATTGCAGTTTCCGGGTCACCTTCAAAGGTAGCCCCACGTAGTCCAAGCAGTAGTCCAAGCGGGAGATAACCAGAGCATGTACCACTCTGGCAAGACAGTCTGCGGGCAGGTAGGGTCTCAGCCTGCGTACCAGATGGAGCTGATAAACAGCTGCCGTGGACACAGAATTGACCTGCGCCTCCATGGACAGCTGTGAGTCCAGAATGACTCCCAGGCTGCGCACCTGGTCTTTCAGGGGCACGGTTACCCTGTGCTGTTAAGCTGTTAAGTGGAAAAAAACAGGAGGGGTGGAAATGGAAAAGAGTCAGATATGCCTGAAGGCAAGGAGTAAGTTTTGTGTGCATCTGTGTGTATGTGTACCACACACACACGTGTGCAGGAGCATGAGTTTAAAACTGTTTGCAAATTAATTGAGCAGCAAGACTTATAAACTGCAATTCTCTCTCTCTTCTTTCCTGACGTAGAATTGCCAGCCAATTTGACCCGGGGGCAAAATTCTTTTCCAATCTGAACTGCAATGATTAGATTCTGGCTGTAGAAGCAAAAGCACTACGGCTGGCTGCAGATGAACGATGGAAGTATTTCACTGTGCACGTCTGTGGCTAGCAGGAGGAGGGAAGGGCCTCTGCGCATAACCAAAGTGTACTTTGACTGCATTTCAGTTTCTGCGACACTCCCAAACACCTTTTTCCACAATCGTCCTTCTATTAAATACTTCTGATCCCAAATAGTTTTGAGATCCAGTTCAGACTCATGACCTGCATGCAGCAATGCGTGAGCATCAATGCGTGAGCTCTCTGTATGCGGGAGGAGGCCTGGTGGGGGTTGTTAGTAGGGGAGCTCCATTGCCACACGATGCACATGAAAGGGTGGATGAAGTAAGCATTGTGAGGTGACATCATCTCCTTCATGTTTACAGTGTTTTGCTCAAGCACTCAAAAATATTTAATCACCCATAGAACTGGTCTGCAACCTGATGTTTGGTTAATGCCAACCTGAGTGCAATGTTCTTCCCCTGGTGCCCATCACTCAATGCCCTTTTAGTCATGAGATGCTGAAGATGCGGTACCCTTTTATTCCTTGAGAAGTACGTAAACACTAAAGGAGGAACTTGGAAGAGTGCCATTATTTCTCTTTTCAATGCTCAGATCAACTCTACTGGATCTTGACTTTTACCCAGAGTACTTGAAAAAAAGGAATTGTCTGTGCACATGCGCAAGCTCACTCTCTCATCCTGTGCCTTGGTGGGGGGCTCATCGGGTGGAGAGGAAAGTGGGGGCTCATGGCTACAGCTCAAGAACCTAAATGTGCCTATCGGCCTAAAATAAGGTTACCAGATTTTTTTAAAGAGTCTGGGGACACTTTTTTTAAAAAAAGAAAAAAGTTATTAAAATTGTTTTATTTTTTTAAAAAAATCAAGAAGTAATAACTTCTTTTCTGTGGTCTCCTCCGTCGCACAGCCTTCCTCTGGGTCCCGGCTTGCTCTCTTGGGAGTGCTAGCTGCCGTGGAGTAGGCCCGGGTTGGGCCTAGGCTCAGCCATTTGTCCTTGCCCTCCTGGTGCTCCCCTACCTTCCTTTCTCAGCGGCGGCAGCTGCTCTCCTCCTTCTCCCTGCGTCGGCTCTGGGGGTTTTCCTGGCCCCGGAGCACTGCTGGGCAGTCAGCCGGGTTCTCTCGCTCCCGTCTCGATTTGGGTCACGGGTGTGTGTGTCAGTGGTTCCCCCAGTTGACGTGCCAGGCGTCCCTGGTTCCCCCTCGTCAGTGGCAGCGGCAGTCTCAATAGGCCAGAGTCAGCCTGGTAGCGCAGTTGGCTCTGGCTGGCTTCATGAGCTGCTCGCTGCTGTGGTGCCCGCCATTTTTTCCTACCATCTGTGATTGGATTAAAGACTTTCTGATAGATCGGACACAAACAGTGAGGATTGGACGTGTAACATCAAATTCCTTAAAAATCAGCACTGGCACACCACAGGGATGTGTGCTAAGTCCCTACCTGTATTCATTGTATACATACGATTGTGTATCATCTGACCCGTCTATTGCAATTATTAAGTCTGCAGATGACACCACCATAATGGGTTTAACAACAGGTGGAGACGAATCAGTGTATAGAGGGGAGGTCCAAAAAATATCTACATGGTGCCTATGGAACAACTTGCACCTTAATATCAGCAAGACAAAGGAGATGGTGTTGGACTTTCGGAGGAAGAGAGGAGAACTAGCCCTGCTGTACATCGGGGAGGGCTGTGTGGAGAGAGTCTCTTCCTTTGAATTCCTAGGAGTTTATCTCAGTGAAGACCTTACTTGGAAAATAAATACAACCCAGGTGGCTAAGAAAGCCCAATAGAGACTCCATCTCCTCAGAGTCTTGCGGAAGAACAATGTCAATCAACATCTGATGATCTCCTTCTACCGGTCAACAATAGAAAGTGTCCTTTCATACTGCATCACGGTGTGGTACGCTGGTTTGACATCATCTGATAGGAAGTGCCTACAGAGGGTGGTGAATACAGCACAAGATATTATGGGCTGTCCCGTGAATCCACTGGATGAAATAGCGGAAGAACGTTGCCTCAGGAGAGTGAGGAAAATTCTCAGGGATGATTCACACCCTGGCCGGCACTTTCTTGATCTCCTACCCTCAGGCAGAAGATATAGAAGCATGATTAGTCACACCAACAGGGTAAAGAACAGCTTCTATCCGTGGGCTGTTAGGCTGCTGAATGAAAAGATAACAACAGGGCAACTGACTTTTGGGTTTGGTGGGTGTGCGTCAGTAAACGAGGGGAATTAAGACTAAGAGAGCTGAGTGGAGGGTGTTCATGTAATCTCACTGTATACAAGTGACAATAAAGTATTTCAATTTCAATTTTGCATATGATGTGTCTTGTGCTGTTAAAGCAATCATGCAACATTCATTCCCTACTAATAAATCTACAACACTTAAAATATAAATCCGGGGACATTAAATGAAATCCAGGGACATTCCGGGGACGGATTTTGTCCGGGGATAGATTTGTAAATCCGGGGACTGTCCCCGGGAAACAGGGATGTCTGGTAACCATAGCCTCAAAAGGTTAGTGCCCCCAGAGTTAGTGGAAGTGATGATAAATTGCAGCGGCAGAGGCAAGAGTAGCTGAAAAACAAACCAAGCTTTGGAGTAACGAGCCACGATTTGTATGCCCTTTTGCAAGATGACTTGTGATTTGTGGAACAAACAGTGGTTAAAACAAAGCATGGCTTAGTGTTATAAGCCATTTAAATACCAGCCAACAACTAGGCCATATAACCTCCTAAAATTTTCCCAAAAAGAAGCTGATAGTGATTTATATTCTTAAATAAAAGACACATCATAGACAAGTTATATCGATGACTGGTGTATTATCTATATTTTTCTATGTATTCACTCTCAGTCATTTCTAAGAAATGAAATCCCCAAAAATTAGTATGAATGATGCATCGTAGATAATGTGAATTGATACGTCTTTTATTTATATGATTTATTATTCGTCATTTCTCCCTAAGGTTCCAGGGTGAGTTACAGCAATTTAATCATACAATTGAAAAAGTAAAACGGTTTGTATGCAATTATAAAAGCAGATAAAGCAATTCAAAGCAAAAGCACCAGGGTATAAATCAAATATTTCTGAGCATTATCTATTTAGATAATACAGTGGGTTGAACAGACTATCTTTGCTGAGATTATAGATAATGCTGCATTTGTGAGTACGCTTCCTACCCTGTGATTAATATTGTAAGAGTAGCTATTAAGTAGCCTTATCATCAGAATAAGCCTCTTTAAGTCCTCCACATTTTTTTCTGTGGTGGATGGCTAGACTGCCCAAAGTTGCAAGGGGTCAACTCTAAAAAGACTCTAAGTTTGATGGAGAGTGAAGAGGGCGCACAACGCCTATATTGCAAAGTTAGGAAGCTTAACCATTCTTCTTTACCTAAGAACACTGGGATGATTAACATCCTTGCACAACTCTAATCCCCAGGGACAGAACTCACTTGAACAGTGATTCCTTAAGTATGTAGGACTGATATGCCTCCAGTCACTAATTATCTCCATTTTTAGCTGCAGCCAGGAAGCAAACTCAGCTCTGCATCTATATGGGATCCACTCCTGTGCCTATTTTTTAAACCTTGCTTTCTCTTGCTGATATTATATCATAAACCACTGTATGATACCCTTGTTTTGTTTTGTTTGTAATAAGGGCAAGATGCTGTTGTTGGCCACTGCTTCTTGCTTTCGCTGTTCCAAACTTTTCTCTCGTCTTCTGCCGCTGGGCAGTGTAGAGATTCTCGACTTTGAATACTTTACTTCTCATTTGGAGAGAAACTTCGGAAGGCGGTGTGAAGAGAAGCTTGGACATAAATGATCCGATGCACCAATCCCACTCTTCCCAGGGAAATTTTTTTTGTGGTGAGCAGCAGGCCTGGTAGGGAAAGGCGAATTGTTCAACTTCCCTGCTAAACCACGCCACCCCCCTCTGGAGTTTTTCCAGTCCAACCCAATATATTGGGAGTGTGAACAAGAGGGATACCCTCAAACCACCTGATGAGCCTCCAGCGGCAGGCACGTTCTACCTCAAATCCAGGAGGAGCGACAAACGGCGGCGGGGGAAAGGGAAGGTGTATCTGGACAAATTTGACAGCCGAAAGCGGGTGGCTCCGACTGAGCCCTTGGCGAGGAGCTGCTTCTCAGTCCCATGCGCCCCCTCACTTAGTTGGATCCCGGTGCCTCTTTGCCTCACTTCTTAGCTCCTTAGGTAGAGGGGAAAGGAAGGAAGAGATTTACGATCAGTTCATTTCATATACATACTATATGTCATGGCACATCCCCGCCCGTCGGTGCACGTGCAGATCCAGCCTCCAAGACCGGCGCACGCCTACTTGTGAGTAAAAAAAAGATCATGAAACTCGGTGGGCTTACTCGCGAGTAAACATGCAGGGCTCCCCCCCCCCCCTTGGATCCAGCAGTCTCAGCTGCTGAGCCTCCGGGGATATTTCCTCCCGTCCGCCCCCGGCTCCTTGTCTCTCTTGCTCAATCCACGCTCTCCTTCCTTGCCTCCCTCCCTCCCTCCCAGGCGGCTGCTGCTGCTACTGCCCCGCCTCCTCTTTGCTCGGGAGAAGCGCCGCCCCGCTTTCCCTTTAAGAGCTGCGCCTCCGAGTGACGTCTCGGCGAACGCAGCTCTTTTGGAATGTATGCAAACGAGCCCTCTCCCGCCCCGTCCAACGGCGAGGCGAGCCCGGCCCCCGCCAGCCAACGGCGCGCGGGCGCCGCTGAGGGGTCGGCCAATAGATGCAAAGCGCCGGCTCGCACCATATAAGGAGCGCCCTCGCCATAAAAGGCAACATTGTATCGCTTTATATGGGGGGAAAGGCAGCGCGGCAGGAGGAGGAGGAGGCGGCGAGGAAGGAGGAGGAGGAGGCGGAGGGAGCGAGGGGGCTCCCCGGGCCGGCGCGGGTCCTGCGTGGAGCGTGAGCGAGAGGCTCGCGAGGCGGGCGAAGGCGGCGGCGGCGGCGGCAGCAGGGCAGAGCGAGAGCGCGGAGGGGGCCGGGCCCAGCCTGCCAGCTCCGGGGCCCATGGCAGCGCCGGCCTGACCCGACCCGTCCGTCCCACACTGGCGCTGAGAGGAGGCGGCGGCGGCGGCGGCGGCGGCGGCACCATGTTACCCAGCGGGGCCGGGAACGGCGCTGCCGCCCTGCCCCGGAGCTCGGTCATGGGCATGGCCAGGACGTCCTCGGGCCGGCCGGGCGCGGGGCTCTCCGCGGGGCGAACGGTGGCGGCGGCGGCGGCGGCGCTGCTTCTTCTGCTTCGGCGGCGGCGGCTTCTGCGGGAGTGCGCGGCGGCCCGGGCAACGGGACGGGCCCTCCGAGCGGCCCTGGGGCGGCCGCGGGTCGCTTCGATCGCGACCGGGACTTGGGGGCGGCCGTGGCGGCGGCGGCGGCGGCTGCGAGCGACAGCGAAGGCAACTCGGAGTCTGGCGAGGAGGAGGAGCTGGTGGGCGACCGGCGGGGCGTGATGGGGACTTTGGGCGACTTGGTGCGCGGGGTGGTGGGGGGGGCCCGAGGCGGCGGCCGTGGCGGCGGCTGCAGCGGCTGCAGCGGCGGGGGGCTACGGCGGGGGGAGCGGCGCCGTCAGCGGCGCCAAGCCGGGCAAGAAGACCCGCGGCCGCGTCAAGATCAAGATGGAATTCATCGACAACAAGCTGCGGAGATACACCACGTTCAGCAAGAGGAAGACGGGCATCATGAAGAAGGTAACCGGGGCGGGGGAAAGAGGGCAGTTCGCGTGCAAGGGGGGGTTATTTCTGGATAATAGGGGTCCTGGGCTTCCCCTCTGCCTGTAGAAAGGGGATGGAGCTCTTGACATGCTCGGAAGCACCGTTGTCTCAGCTGCACGTGCTCCGTCGGAGCGCCCCGAGGCAATGCACCCGTTGGCTTTGGAGAGAGCAGCTCCAGGCTGGCTGGGTCTTGGGCAATTGACACCGGAAAGGGAGCCAGCCATGGGCCTAGCTAGCCAGCCCCGGCACCGGAAAGGCACGCCCCGCTCTGGCCCGGATTCAGCTCGAAGAAGGCCTCCCGCCGCCCCCCGGTCGTTGCGCGAGCCCTTCACTTCGAAATGCTTCGCGGAAAGGGGGAAATGCAGCGGAGGGGTCACCTCGGATGTTTGCCCAGCCCGGGTTGCGATCGGGTGAAAGGTCGGGGCAAATCCATTGCAGCATCCTCGGGGGAGAAAGGTGCGCCTGTGTTTTGCAACAGGGGATTCCCCACCCCCCTCCTCACGAGCCTGCAAATAAGTAGGCAAACTTGGACACCTCTGTCCCTTCCTTACCTCGTGCAGAAGAAGCCCCATTGAGTTCAGTGGGGCTGGGCTTGCAACATGCACGTGTTAGTTTGGGTGTTTGCTTCCCTGTAAAGTGGCAGTGGGTGGAACTGACAGGCTGACCGAGAGCCTTGAACCAAACAAAACTCCAGCCAGTCCCCTGGTGGGTTTCCTCTGCTGACCCCTCTAGTTTTGAGAGCAAGAATCACAGTGCCATCCTGTGCTTGTCTACTCGGAAGCAAGTCCTATAGAATTAAATAGGGATCACTCCCCACTGTGTACAGAGTTGAGCCTCTGTTGGGAACTGGGTCTGCAACCTTAAACATGGTTACTAGGGAGCAAGCCCCCATTAACCACAGAGAGACATACAGCCAAGTAGACCCACATAGTTTTGTGCTGTGGGTGAATCAGGCTTGACTCAGGGATAAGGAACTTGTGGTCTTCCAGATGAGGATGGACTTTGATTTCCACCGATCCCAGCCCATTGCCAGGGTTCAGAGATAACGGGTTCCCCATCCCTGATTTAAAGCTTGATTAAATGTTAGGGCTCCTTCTTGAGACAGGCTTGCCCCTTAATGTGTGTTTTTTTAAAAAAACTATCTTCCTGTTTAGGAACAGCATTAAAAGTTATTAGAATCATAGAGGGTCATGTAGACCCTGAAATTGAGTCTCATACTCTACCTACTGAGCTAACTCTTTTGAGCTTAAAAAATGATTTGTTAGCTATTATGGTTAAGATTTATCTAACAAACCCTGTCAACAGAAGCCCTACACAGGGACTCCCGCTTGTGCAGTGGGGCTATCCCTGCCCCCCATGTGTCCCTGAAATTGGCTGGGTTTGGGGTCGGAATAACCTCCAGGACAATGTGTGGGGTAGCAGAGAGGGATCGTGCCATCTGGTAAGCTGAAATGGTTGCGCAGATGGGACTGGAACAGCCCGATGTTGAATTATTCCCTTTGCTTTTAATTCTGGGTTTTAGGTTAGCAGAATCATTTTCTTCTCATTCCCTTGAGGATGGCACAGTTCTCCCCGTTCACTGCAGTGTTTTATCTGAATTTGTATAGGGTGCTGCAAGAGCAATCGCAAACAACTTTGGCTTAGGAAGAGGCAGATAAGGAAAGGGCCATAGAGTATTATAAAGTTATGCATGCATCTTGCAATACTAGATCCTGGGGCCACTCAGTTAAAACTGAATGTTGGAAGAGTCGGGGCGAGCAAAAGAAAGTTGAACTATGAAATTCTCTCCTACAAGGGTGTAATGATGGACACCAACTTGGATGGCTTTAAAAGAGAGTTAGACAAACTCATGGAAGTTAATGCAACTAGCCACAATGCCTTGTGTTTTGCCTCCATTGTCAGAAACAACATGCCTTTGAATACCATTTGCTGAGAATCACAGGTGGGGAGAGTCTTGTTGTGCCAATGTCTTGCTTGCAGGCTTCCCCACAGGCGCCCGGCCGGCTGCTGTGAGAAACAGGATGCTGGACTAGCGATGGGCCTTTGGACAGATCCAGCTGAGCTCTTCAAATCTTGGTTGCTGGACTAGGCTCTAAGCAGTCCAAACAACCTGTAGCTGTCCAAATTGTGGCCTGTATGAAGATTTGGCAGCTGTATTGTGCCATAAGCTTATGTCACAATTCAGTTACTAGTCTTTAAGGTAACCCTGAGACTCTTGGTTGTGTTAAAACCATCAACATCGCCCGCTCTTTTTCAGGGAGGTATTACGATGTTTGAGGTGTCAATACCAGACTTTTAAAAACACAGTGGTGCAGAACTTTCCATATCGCTTAATATTCTCTCACTCCTTCTGTTCCTCCATCTTTGTCAACACACAGAAATCGTTAATACAGTAAAAATGATTTACCCCATTATAGCTATGTCCTTACATATACAGTGGATGCTTGGGTTGCGAACGTGATCCGTGCGGGATGCACATTCGCAACCCACAGTGTTCGCAACCTGTGTCTGCGCACGCGTGGGTTGCAATTCGGCACTTCTGTGCACGCGCAAAGCGCGATTTAGCACTTCTGCGCATGTGCAACTGCCGAAACCCGGAAGTAACCCATTCTGGTACTTCCAGGTTTCGGCAGTCCGTAACCTGAAAAAGCGCAACCTGAAGCACCAAGGGCTCATGTATGCACTGTTCACAGTGGTTGCTGTGCCATTTGAGCCTCGTAGGGTGTAAGACAGGGAGGCCAGCAGTAGGTGGAGCTAGAGTCAGGGATGCAGCCAAGTCACTCTACGTTTGCCTCTGTTATCCTCCCCTACAGCCGCCAGACTGGGGACTGGGAGTGGCCGCTGGGACCATATAACACCAGATCTACATTGGCTCCCAGCACAATCCAAAGTGTTGGTGCTGACCTTTGAAATCCTAAACGGCCTCGGCCCTGTATACCTGAATGAGTGTCCCCACCTGCATTGTTCAGCCTGGACACTGAGGTCCAGCTCCGAGGGCCTTCTGGTGGTTCCTTCACTGCAAGAAGTGAAGTTACAGGGAACCAGGCAGAGGACCTTCTCGGTAGTGGCGCCCTCCCACCAGATGTCAAGGGGAAAAGGGGATTGCTGAGGCTGAGGTGGGGGTTGGCTGAGGGTAGACTTGTGGGCTAGATGACCAGCAGCAGCATCCACTGGACTGGTTGTAAAAAGGCAGGGAGGTAGAGGCTGATTCAGGATGGTGGGGCAGTGTGTCATTTGTTCTAATGGACCAGCCTCTGCTGAGTGTTTCTAGAACCCACAAATTTATTTAGGATTACAGATGAAGGCGTGGTTTGAGAATGCATCATTCAGCCCCCTTCTGGAAGCTATGCAGGTCTGGATGGGAGCTCCATGTTGACCACCTCAGGTTTCATTGTGGAAGAAAGTCCAGATATAACTCTGCATAAAATAAAATCGCAGCTTGCTTTATTTTTGATCAACAACTCCACAGTATATATAGGAAAGTTCCAACATTCTGCATGTGTTTTAAGTGTTTTGAACATGTTCCCACTCCTAGAGCCCTGTCCCAAGTATTAGACATCTTTACCTGAGCTGCAAAATATAATTTTTTTCAAAAGGCAAACGGTACACACCCATAGAAACATCATGTGCAAGTGCAACTATTCCTAAACCATTCAAGCAGTTGCGCAAAGAGAATGACAGTTGTTCCCTTCCCTGTCTTTTAAAGGGGTGGAACAATGCTGTTTGGCTAAAACTCCCATAAACCCTGACCATTGGGATTGGTAGAGGAGTTGGTTCAGTGGAAAGAGTGAAAAGTAAACTCCACCATCTCTTATTTTAAACCACGGATGTGGAACTTGTGGCTTTCCAGATGTTCACCTCCAGCTCCTACCAGCCCCAGGCAGCATGGCCATTGGAAGCTATGCTCCAGCAATAACTTTACGTTAGCCAACTGTAAGCCAGGAAGGTGGCTCACAGATTTTCAGCAGCATCTTGAAGCCATCATCCCTAAAGTTGTTTGGAAGTTGATAAGTTTGGAAACTGGTGTGTTTTGCAGCCCTAACTTAATGGTGAATGTCTTCTGATGAGCAATGATTAGGAAACAGTGACAAATCCCCAAAAGGGAGTGGTATCTTTTTGCCTGAAATCTGTAAGCGATTGCTGCAGCTCCTTTCTCTTCTCTGTGAGTGTTTCTCTCTCTCTCTCATATATACCGTATTTTTCGCTCTATAACACACACCAGACCATAACACGCACATAGTTTTTAGAGGAGGAAAACAAGAAAAATTTTTTTTAAACGAAACAGTGGATGTATGATTTTTGTGGTTCATGCTGTGGCCACAGACATGTGATCTGACAGTGAGTTTGGAGTAGCCCAATGCAAAAATCCTGAGGATCCATGTGGATCCATGCTTTGTAACCATATTTTTGCACCACTGCGACCCCAGGCAACAGTGGGTGTGTGATTTTTTTGGTGCAAGATGTAGCCATGGACATGCTATGTGATCTGATGTTGAATTTGGGGTGACCCAGTGCAAAAATCCTGAGGATCCATGTGGATCTGTGCTTTGTAACCACGTTTTAAGTGGGGAGGGAAGGAAAAGCGCTCAAGGGACAAGGAGCACGCATGGGGTGTGTGGAGAAGGATGCTGCTAATAATGCTATTTAGCGAGCTGAGTGGGGAGGAGAGAGGGACAGAGAGCCTGCTTGCTTTATAGGAGCCAACCGGAGAGGAGCCACTTACACTTGTGTAAGCGGCTCCTCTCCCGCTTTGCTCCTTTAAAGCAAGCAGGCTCTCTGTCCTTCTCTCCTCCCCACTCAGCGGCTCTTCTCCTGCTTTGCTGTTTCAAAGCGAGCCACGGAGGAGGGAAGGAAGGGGAACCATGGATCCTCTGCTCACGACTGCAGCAGATCCCCCCCCGCCACCCGTAGGCATTCGCTCCATAACACGCACAGACATTTCCCCTTACTTTCTAGGAGGAAAAAAGTGAGTGTTATGGTGCAAAAAATACGGTAATTGTAGTTTCTGAGCATAAGACTCATGCTGCATCAGATCAAGACTTAATCTCATCCAGCAACCTGTCCCACCTCCTCCACCAGTGGTCATCCAGGCACACCCTAGCAGCAGCCTCTCCCCATTGATAATCTGAACCTAGAGGGCTCCATTCAGCTACTATGATTGACAGAGTAATGCCTAAAGCATTTCTGCCCCTACTTTCCCACCGCATGGGTGGTATTCAGCTGTTTTTCTCAGAGTAGACCTGTTGAAATTAATGGCCCTAGCTAAGCCATGCCCATGAATTTTCAGTGATTGTACTCGGAGTAAAACGTAGGTGAATACTGCTTTGTGTTTTCCAAGGCAGCTTGCAACCTGAAACAGTACTAAAATTAATTTTAAACGACCAAAAAAAAAAACAAACCCACCCACACACACACAAAAGGTAGAACACCAGTAAGATAAAACTAGCAAACCATTTTATCTTCTTTTTAAAAAGCTAAGATTTAAACAGATTTTGCTGGGTTCCTAAATGCTAACAGCGGAGATGCTGCGTAAACATGTCTGGGGAGGGTGTTCAAGAAATGGGGCAGCATCACAGACAAGGTTTAATCCCAGGAGTGTCTTGTGTGAAGACCTAAGTCGCCAGGAACAGTTGGTCATTCAGATACTCTGACCCCAAGTTGTTACAGCCAAAGCCAGTACGTAGATCTTTTAATGTGGGTTCATTACCATGATTCAGTTCAGGCATACCTTGACTTAAGTTGAGTTACACTTGAGCTTTCTGCCAGCACCTGCCGCCCCCGTTCCTTCTCCACTCACCGTGATTGAAGGCTTGCCAGGTGAATTAATTATACCTGAGCTGGGAAACTACAGTTACAGGAACAGAGGAAGCGACCTTATACATGGAGTCACACCAATTGTCCGTCTAGCTTGATGTTGTCTATACACTGACTCTCCAGGGTTTCAGGCAGGTAACAACCTCGGCTCTACCTGGAGATGCTGATGGTTGAACCTGTGACCTTCTGCACGCAAGGCAGGTGCTCTGCAGCTCGACTCCAGAGCTTCCTCAATTGCAGCAAACCAGAATCTTGACCCATGGTTTGTAGTTGGTTTGGGATCTAGGTTTGTTCTGAACCTGGTAATTGTAGTTTCCCAATATGATGGACTAACTTGGAAAATCTGAGTCACGTACAGTGGAAGGGGTCACTGGCTTTAGGCACATGAACGCCTCGGCTTATTGAAATATGTCTGAACCAGACCGGTGCATCCCTGTTTATAATCTGACCGCTGTGTTCAGCTCCGGTGAAAGTTTTGGAAAAATCGTCGGAGGCAGCTTCATTGTAGCACATGAAGGTAGCCCAGAGGTGGACTCCCGGTTCTATCCCTGGTTTCTGACCAGGGAATTGGAGTTAATGATATCCACAAGTTCCTCATCCCTGTAGTAGTCTGAATCTGGATGTTACTGACTTAGGGCTAATTGTGGCATGGTGTTTTCTTTCCAAGAAAGGGGGTGCATCTGTTGCATCCATTTTGAAGCCAGTGAAACCAGCTTTGTAGCACAGAATCCCCTGAGCTTTGGATCTGACCACCCCTGAAAGCTGTAGACCTGACTCTTCCAAGATGGGCGGCAGAATGTCCCACATCTTTTCTGCACTGAGCTTCGGTTTGTTCTTTCTCATCTAACACATGGCCCTCCAGCCACTGGCTTTCATCATCTCCTCTGCTCTCCTCTCCCGAGTAAATGGCAGAAATTAGGCCAGCACCCTTGGGCCAAATGTGTTGTGTGGTTGCGGGCCCTCTGCACACGCCGTCGTCGTTGCCATTTGAGAAGCTCTCCAACAGCTGGTCTTGCCTTCCCCCTGAGTCGCTGCTGTGAAATGAAGCCTGGAGCAGCTGTTTGCCATTGGGACAAAGTTGAAGAAAGGCTCTGTTCCCTCCCTCAGCTGTCCTGCTCTCTGGTTGTGGCCATGACCATAGAGCGGACTGAAGCACTCTGCCGCTCTCTGCAGTACTTTGCCAGCAGTCTGGCCAAACAAGAATTCAAGGGGAGTCGGGAAGCTGCAATCCAGCTCTGTGTGTGAAGGTCTGCCTAAGGTCTGGGGCAAGGGGCTGTGGAGACAGCTGTAGGCAAGCTCCTAGGACTGGAATGTCACACATCCTCTCGACTTGCACCTGTAGAGTTGGCCAGTGCAGCTTGGAGCCTGTTGAGTCAAACACAGCCCAACAGCTGATGGGTATATAGGAAGCTACCATCTACTAGAGTCGGATCATGGTTTCATCTACCTCTGCATCGCCTGCACTGGCCGGCAGCACCTCTTTCAAACGGGACCCCCTGAGCCCTATCTGGAGAAATCGGGGATCGAACCTGTGACCCGCATGCAAAGGCAAGGCCCTGAGCTGTAGTCCTCCCCACCAGGGACTTGATTCAAACTCCTAGATCTGCTGTGTGCCCAGGAACAGCAGAGGGGGTGGGGTGAAAAACATGGCAACTGGATTCTGCTGATCTCTCTTTCAGGACTTGTTTCCCAACAATGCCTGCCGTTTCAAAGGGATGGCCAAAGGGGGCTTTGACAAGTGAGAGAGATGAGCAGAACCTGCATCCTTGTCAGCATCATTACTTAACTTTGTTTGTTGTTGTATGTTATTTTATCTATTTATAAGAGCATTGCCTTGCTGCAACTGAAACGTCACTCGCAAGTAATGCTCTGAGGGCCTGGGCCCAGGCGTAGCCATAACCCTTAGACGGTTAGGGCAGAACATAAATCAGCGTCTTAAAAGTTCAGATTCCCAAGGACTCTTCTTGCCCATCTTGGCTGCTGTAGGGTTGCTTCTGTGCATTGCAGAATATGCACCAAGCAACTGCCTTTTGTTTAGACACGGAGTTGCATTGAGTTTGCGGGATTATGAATGTGCATGCACACACGTGCACTTTGCTCTTAAAAAAAATAAACCTCTTAGAAGTGACTATATGGGATTTTGTTTACAACACCTTGGGCCATCATTTCAGGAGAACTTGGAGTGGCTGCTCAGTGTGAAGTAGCCTAGTTGTGCAGCCGGGTAGATCTCGCCATACTAACCTGCTGTCCTCCAGGCATTCCTTGGCTTGTCCCTGCTCTGGTTGTGGCTTTCTGTCACCTGGATGATCACCTGGAGTGTTGCTGCTGTAGAGGTCAGTTCAGCAAGCAGTGCACGAAAGCATTTAAGGCACTCGCCCTCCCCCTTTTCTTTATGGAATTATTCTGCCAAGATCTGCAGCTAACTCTGCTGGTTTTCTGTAGCTCAAGGCATTCGTTGTCTCCAGCGCTTTGTCTATTAAGCTGTTTGCAGAGAAGCAGTGACAATGATAATGAAATTAGAGGCTTCAACTGCTGAGCAAATCTTGCTTTCCCCATGCTTGGGGACTTCTTAGTATATATTTTGCATTGTTATGCGTTTGTCACCGGGATGCAGGTTTGAAAGCCAGTCTTCTGATGCATTTCAATGCTCCTTGTCCCATTTTATTCTTTGATAGGGTAGTTGAATTTTGGTAAAATCCTCATAGAGATCTTGAGGCTGCTGAAATGGTTCAGTTGGGGGTCAAGTGGTGTTATATGTATACTGCCCGAAGTTGCCACTTAAGCAAAGTGTTAGCTGCAGTTACCCTTTGCTGGACAGAATATGTGATTTACTCTGTTCTTTGGGCAAAACAAAACAAAACAAAGAACCTGCATTTCCCAGTGTTGCATTCTCTCTTGAACACCCAGTTTGTTTTGCTCTTTAGGAGACAAACTGTTCTTGCATTTTAGCCTTGGTGCTCTGGAGCAAGAGAGACGTGAGCAAATACAGCCTTGAATTTGGTGGGATGCATGGATGTGCGTTGGTTTGCATTTACTGCTGGAGGCCAACCCTTGCCAACCTGCTGCCCTCCAGATGTTTTGAACTATAACTCCTATCATTCCCAGCTAGCATACGTGCCCTGGCCAAGGCTGATGGGAGATGCAGTCCAAGACATCTGGAGGGCACCATGTAGGCAAGGGCCGCTGTAAGTTAATTAGAATGGGGGTGGGGAACTTTGACCCTTCCATATTTGGTTGGACCAAATAAGATGCTCCTGCGTCCTCTTCTCCTCGTGGCCTCTAGGAAACCCACAAGCAGGACAGAGCACAAGAACACTCTTGCCTCCTGTGGTTTCTAGTAACTGGTATTCAGAAGCATTACTGCTTCCAACCATGGAGGCAGATCATAGCCATCATGGCAAGTAACCATGGATTGCCTTTGTCCTTCATGAACTTGTCTAATCCTCTTTAAAAGCCATCCAAGTTGGTGACCATCGCTCCCTCCGTGGGAGCAAATTCCATAGCTTCCCTCTCTCCTGTGCAAATAAATACTTCATTTTGTCCATCCTGAATCTTCCAGCAGAAGGTCCAGAAGTTCTAGTGTTAAGAGAGGGAGAAAGTCTCCTCTACCTCTGTGCTGTGCGTAGTTTTAAAAACTTCTGCCATGCCGCCTCTTTCTCTGAACGAAAAGCATCCCAAGCTCTGAATCTTTCTTTAAATCAGAGTCGCTCCACACCCCCTTGGATCATTTTGGTCCCTTTTCGATATCCTGAGGCGAGGCGACCAGAACAACGCACAGTAACTCCCACCATTGGCCACGCTGCTTGGGACTGGCGGGAGTTTGGAGTCCCAATAGCATTTGGAGGGCTGCATGTTCCCCACCAAAAGGGATGCGGGTGGCGCTGTGGGTTAAACCACAGAGCCTAGGACTTGCTGATCAGAAGGTCGGCAGTTCGAATCCCCGTGACCGGGTGAGCTCCCGTTGCTTGGTCTCTGCGCCTGCCAACCTAGCAGTTCGAAAGCACGTCAAAGTGCAAGTAGATCAATAGGTACCACTCCGGCGGAAAGGTAAACGGCGTTTCCATGCGCTGCTCTGGTTCGCCAGAAGTTGCTTAGTCATGCTGGCCACATGAGTAGGTCACGACTAGACCTAATCATCAGGGGTCCCTTTACCTTTATGTTCCCCACCACTCAGGGGATCGTTGATAAAGGATAGCTCTGTGAACAGCTACTGGTAGGCATGAGAGACAAAAAGAACCTCATTGCCGTACTTGTGAACACAACTTGCTGGGAAGGGCTGTTTTCCTCATGCCCTGCTTGTGAGACTCCACAAGGCACCTACCTGCCTACAGCTTCCTGGACTAAGAATCAGAGAATCATAGAGTTGAATGGGGCCCTGAGGATCATCTAGTCCAGCGGTTCTCAGCCTGTGGGTCCCCAGATGTTGTTGGACTACAACTCCCATCATCCCTGAGCTCTGGCCTTGCTAGCTAGGGGTGATGGGAGTTGTAGTTCAACAACATCTGGGGACCCACAGGTTGAGAAAGGCTGATCTCGTCCAAGCCCCTGCAGTACAGGAATATGCCGCTGTTCCTTCTGGGGATCGAACCCGCAACTTTGGTGCTGTCAGCACCGCACTGTAACCAACTGAGCTCAAATGAGACTAGCTGGACCTTTTGCCTCTTCCAGCATTGCTCTCCTCCTGTTGTCAGACCCAAGCTGTGCAATGGCCGGAGGAGAGCCTTAGCTGCGGGATTTGACAATTAACTGCCCGAACTGCTGCTTTTCTGCTCTCTGACCTTGTCAGTGGTGGTGGGGGTAAAGGGCACCTGTGAGGAGGCAAGTCCGCCCGGGAGGTCGGCGTGGTATCTAAGAGAGGTCAGGCTGTGGCATATTGCTTGGTGATGACTTTGGCTGACGTTCCGAAAGCTCTACTGACTCCGCTTCCTCTCGCTGACTGATGGCCTGTGCTCAACTGTCAATTGCAGTACCGTTTCCCCTGAGTAAGTTCCTCCTCCTGTCATTGTGTTGGCCCAGGGATGAACAAAGCCCCCTGAAGCAAGTGACTTGGATGGAGAGCAAAGCTCTTGTGGTCCTCGCAGGAGATTATGGTTTGGTCCGGTTTGGTGCTATCTCTGATTTTGGTGGCGACGGGAGGGAAAAAAGCAGTGAGCTTTGACTCTTGCTTGCAAACTGCTGAAGCACGATAACAGAAGACAGAGTGTTGTTTGCCTTTGTTAAGGGTTCTCTGAAGTGAGATTTCTTGCCCGCTAGCGCAGGTAGCTGGCATTGAGTGGGTTTGATAAGGTAGCGAATCACAAGCTAACCAGTGCAGACTGTATGGAGGAGACTGGCGTATGCAGCAGGTAGAAAACCGTTGCCTAATTGGATACTAATTGGGACTTCTTTCACAAGTGAAGGAATGCTGACCATGCTTCTGAGCATGTGTGAAGTACTTTTCCCTCCTTGCTGTGTAATTGGAAGCAGTCCTCTGACATTTTTAGGGGTGGGGGTTGCAAGATAAGACTGTGGCTTCCAGGCCTAGAGCCTCCTTCTTTTTTAGAAGGTGAATTTTGCCGAAAACTATGTGTATACACACACACACACACAGAGAGAGAGAGAGAGAGAGAGAGAGAGAGAGAGAGAGAGGCTGGTTGTGTTCTGTCTGGATAAGCCAAATACGTAGCTGAGAAAGATGACACATATTTCTTTCTGCTTTACCCTGGATAGCAAGAATTCATGGGAGGTCTTGTTTTTGGGAACAGAGTTTTTGGATGGCCACACTGGTGCCACACCTTGTGCCAATGTGCCGGGTCGATTGTTTTCTGAGAGCCTTCCTGAAGGAGAACTCTCCAGTGCCAAGTACGCAGAATGTTGAGACTGGGACCGGGGTGTGCGCACGATATTTATAAACATGGCAAAACAGTAGATTTAGGAAAAAAGAATCCCAAGGAGTTGCGCTCCTCCAGTGTTAGGCCTGTGGATTAGAAGCCAGAGCCTGGGCTAGGGGCCTGTAGAAGCATGTAAGAAAGGCAGAGGCCAGGGGAATGTGTAAAACAGCTCTCCCCAGCTCCCTTAAGATATGGAACTACAATTCCCATCAGCCCTAGCCGGCGGGATGATGGGAATTATAGTCCAGCAACAACTAGAGGCACAAGGTTGGGGAAGACTGGTATAAACAGTGCAAGCCTTAGAAAATATTGGGGGGGAGAAATTAGGTGCAATGAGAGGAAATGTTAAAATATGTGCATAATAGTCGCTGGATGCAGAAATGGACAGAGTTTTTTAAAATCAATTGAAGTATCTTCTTTTTTAAAGAAAAGGTCAGAGTTCTTGTCCTTTTAAAAGCTGTGTCACGAAATTTCCTTTTCTGCCTGTCCTTTTTGGCCTATAAAACCTAGGCACCTTAGCTGATTTTTTAGTTTACTCCTGTGGATGCTAGGTTACTGGAACTGGCAGGGGAAGGGATTTGGATGGAGGAAGTAATTATCTGAGGGATAAGTTGTGTGGTCCAGATTGCTATCTGGCTTGGAAGTTGGGGAGGAATTGGGGAGGGTCCTGCTCCTCAGCCGCCAGAGTCTCCCTGCAAAAGCCTCTGTTGTGACAACTGGGCTCCTGGGGCCTAGTTCAGTTTAAACTCTGCGATAGCATGGGCTGCAAGGGAATTCCCGTTCTCCAGAGGGGGCTGTGGGATTGGAACAGAATGCCCAGTTGAAGAAAAGGGAACTAAAGTCAAAACAAAACCCTTAAAAATGTTACAACTCCCCATCTCCTCCAGATTGACGTTGGTCATTATGAAACCCCACTTAACGAACAAGGCCTTGCAGCGCATTTGAAAGATGCTTCGGTCTTTGGAGTTTTACTGAGTGTGGCTTTGGCTGCTTGGAAGGGTCAGAAAAGATGCTGCAGGTACTTTGGTGCAAATATACTTTGTCTGCAGTACCAGGATAATTGGCAAAAGCAGGAATTTATGTATAGTTGATTCCCCCCCTTATAATATAGCAAAATGTTTTACACACACACATACATGCAATTAAACCAAGGTGTTTGGATTTAAATCCCACCACATGGTGATTCTTGTGTTAAGTTATTGGGTTTTAGCCTGATTGAATTTAAAGTTTTGCTAACTGCGCCCTTTGTGAGACTCTTCATTTTAATCGAACTTGCTTCTCTGTGGGTCTTTGCTTATTTCAGTCAGGCTTGCCACTCGTTCAGTTTGTTTCCTAGAGGAAGGAAGTAACAAATAAGAACCACTGAATAACTAGAACATGTTTGCTCACAAGTGAGCAGAATCTAGTACCAGTCTGTGTTTCCAGGAGTCTAAACTCGTAACTATGCGCCGGTTCACTTGAGCAGTTACCTGCCTTGGAAATACTCCAATTATCTTAACTTGTTAGGAAATTGTAAATAAGGTATTTGTTAGTTACAGTCTGTATTCTGATAAGCTGAGAATGTTGTTATCATGTGCCTACGAAAAAGACACCTATTTTTTCATTAAAAAACCAAACTTTATTGACATACAGTAAAAATAATGGATATGGCAAATAAAAAGGAATGTGAAAGTAGAAAAATAAAACACAGATACAGAGGAGGGGTAAAAAAAACCAAGAAACTGCTGAAAATACAATGCCTCATTCAGTTGTCAGATATGAGAAGAAGGTGGGTCAATTCAGTTCTCAGTAAAACCTCTCCACATGCTTGTCTGTCGTACAGGTGGTGTAGTGGGCTGTTCAATTGAGTTAGCATAGCAGAGGAGCTTACACCATATTGAGTAAAAAAGGACAAGGCACCTGATTTTGACAAAGCATTGTACATAAGATTAAAAACAAGGAAGGCTTTGCCCATGTTTTGTTTTGGCTTTCTTAACATCAGAGCTTCAAAACTGGGACTGCCAGGCAAGAGGCACTGCTATATGCTTTGGGTGGTATTAAACCAGGTTTCCTCAACCTCAGCCCTGCAGATGTTTTGAGACTACAATTCCCATCATCCCTGACCACTGGTCCTGCTAGCTAGGGATCATGGGAGTTGTAGGCCAAAAACATCTGGAGGGCCAAGGCTAAGGAAGCCTGTATTAAGCTATGCCTGGAGCAACTGAAACTAATGAACATGACTAAGTTAGGTCCATTAATTTTAGTGGGTCTTCTCTTAGTTGAATATCACCCTATGATTATGGCTCTCAACCGATTAGTGATGGGGAACCTTGGGTCCAGGGCCAAATGCACCCCTCCGGGCCTCTTTGTCTGGGCCTTGAAACTCCCCAAGCCCACACCCTTCACTTGCGCTTCTGCACACCCAGAGTGTTTGGCCCCAGTCAACAAATGCTGCAGTTAACTGCCCTGCCAGCTAACTGAATTAAAACCTTCACTCTTCCTTTCAGGATTAATAAATGGGACTATTCAGAGGAAGCAACAACTTGGAAAAACTTGTGTTTGAAAATGAGCAAAGTGCATGCTCATAGGCCTATCTCTTTGCTCGAATCAGCTTGATGTCCTTCCCATGTTTCGGACTACAGTTCCCATAATCCTTTAGCCATGCTGGCTGGAGCTGATGTGGGTTGGAAGTCCAACAACATCAACATCCGGATTGACTATGGCTGATATAAATAGTTTGGGGAAAAGGTGTCCCCCATGATCCTTATACAGTACCTCTCTACTTGCATATTTAATGTTTCCCCCCTGAATCTCTGGTTGAATTATCCCCAGTTTAAGGATTGGTTCTCCCCACTCCTGCTTTCCAAATGTAATTGCCATGCTTGAGCAAGCTGCCTCCAGGTTTCTAGCTGCCGGCTTGCTTGGTTAGTGATGTGGCTGTGTTTAAGAGGAAGAAGAAAGTGCTCTTGAGTGCAGTTGACCCACCTACAGAAGGCGGTAAGCAACTCCTGTTGATTGTAACAGATTTGACTTGCACCGTGTTCCTGTATAAGCAGCAGAGGCGTGAGAAGCTTCTACCTTGGAATTTGAGCATACTTAATTTTGCCTTGTTTGAAGAAATAGTGCATCTCAGCTACAATCAGGTATATTTAAATGAACTATTCATTTTGCTTAACATTTTACTACAAAAAGATAGAGTGCAGTTGCAAAACGTTAACAAATCTTGGGTACTGCCATTTTAATTTGCAAAAAAAGGCGTTTATGGTTCTCATTCACCCTCTTCAGAACTCAGAGTTCAGGTGAAGTGGCAGGGCTGGTTCGGAGTGCCTCACTCGAGACCACATATTATGGCAAAAGTGGGACTTGAATCGAAACCCTGAAAAGAAGTTTCTTGGAAGGTATACAGAAAACGAAGTGATGGACAAGCCAGTAGAATAGTTGCTTGTTTAGTCTTCTGGTTAGAGAGGTGCAAAAGCTGCTTCTTTTTAAAAATTGCTTTTTATTGAATTTTAAATTGGTTATTCGTCTATATATTCTGTTCACTCTTTAACATATATTGTACACATATAAAAAAAATCAAACAATAACAATATTTCTACACAAGTGACTTCCCACCACCTCAGCTTCTGTCATCTTTCTCTTCTCAACTATGTTGTTTTTCCTTATTGCCTTTCTAATACATAATATATCTCAGGGGTGGCCAACTCCCAAGAGACTGCAATCTACTCCCAGAATTAAAAACTGCCCGTTTTTTAGGGGTTCTGGTCAAAGTTGTTGAGCTTCTTTTAGGGAGAAAGGGGAACAGCCACTCACCAACAGATCGCTGTGTAAAGCCTCACTCAGTAAACTCCATCTTCCGTTCTGCAGATCATGCGACAATGGAGGGCGGGCTGGGCCAGATTCTAATTTACCAATGGAATGGGACCCGGGGATCCACCACGATCTACCAAAACCTCCCAGGGATCTACCAGTAGATTGCGATCGACCTGTTGGACATACCTGATATATCTTACCTATCTGATCTTTACTTTGCAAAATTAAGTCGGAGCATATCAGGGATTTTATTTGAGAACAACGTTTCCCCAGATAATCTTTTACACATTCCCACTCCGTTTTGAATTTTTGGTTTGGTTGGTTCCTAACTGCTTCTGTCATGCTTGCTAATTACAAATACAGTGGTGCCCCGCAAGACGAATGCCTCGCAAGACGGAAAAACCGCTAGACGAAAGGGTTTTCCGTTTTGAAGTTGCTTCGCAGGACGAATTCCCCTATGGGCTTGCTTCGCAAGACGAAAATACCTTGCGAGTCTTGAGATTTTTTTTCGCTTTTCCCCCCCTTTATCTAATCTGCTAAGCCTTTAATAGCCTTTAATAGCCTTTTAGCAGCTAATCCCTAAGCCTTTAAGCCTTTAATAGCCGCTAAACCGCTAATAGCGCTAATAGCGCTAATCCGTCAATGGGCTTGCTTCGCAAGACGAAAAAACCGCTAGACGAAGACTCTCGCGGAACGGATTAATTTCGTCTTGCGAGGCACCACTGTACTGATACAATTTAGTTTGCCATTCTTCCTTTGTTGGTGTCCTATTCCCCTTCCGATTTCTTGCGATTAATGTTCTTGCTGCTGTTGTAGCATATAAAGGTAAAGGGACCCCTGACCGTTAGGTCCAGTTGTGACCGACTCTGGGGTTGCAGCGCTCATCTCGCTTTATTGGCCGAGGGAGCCGGCGTACAGCTTCCGGGTCATGTGGCCAGCATGACTAAGCTGCTTCTGGCGAACCAGAGCAGCGCACGGAAACACTGTTTACCTTCCCGCCGGAGCGGTACCTATTTATCTACTTGCACTTTGACGTGCTTTCGAACTGCTAGGTTGGCAGGAGCAGGGACCGAGCAACGGGAGCTCACCCCGTCGTGGGGATTTGAACCGCTGACCTTCTGATCGGCAAGCCCTGGGCTCTGTGATTTAGACCACAGCCCCACCCGCGTCCTTCTGTTGTAGCATATAGGAACAGCCGTTTTCGAGAGGTGCAAGAGCTTCTATGCCCATCAAGTGGAGAGTTTGTTAGACTCTGGTTCAGATTTCAGGTGATGGAAAAGGCCTGTGCCTGAGTTCTTGGGAGAGCTGCTGCCAGTCAGAGTAGGCTAGATGGGAAAGTAGTCCGACCTTCTAATTTGAAGCTGGCTTCCAACATTCCTGTTTGCCGTGCTTGCTGGGTGGCTGTTTGCCAAAGTAGGCTCCCACTCTCACCCCCCCAAGTTGTTCTTGGTAAGAGAGCTGGCTTTTGTGTTTTGAAGGACTTATTAATGAGGGAGGCAGGCCAGCCAGCCGGCTAGGCCTTGGAGGAGCTAGCTCAGCCCCAACTGCCATGTTTGTGAAGCCGGCGTGGTGCTGGCGGAAAGAGCAATGAGTGCCTCAGATAAAGAAGAGCGACACATTTAGCAGACGCCTGATAAAAGGCGCCTGCTCGTTGCAAGTGGGGGGGAAATGAGTTTGTGCTTCCCTCGGCCGCATTCGCACCATACGTACGATGCTGTTTTAAACAGACAGGGTTTCTTCTCCCAAAGGATTCTGGGAGCTGTCGCTGGTTAAGGGTGCTGAGAGTCATGAGGAGAACCCCAGTCCCCTCACAGAGCTACAGTTGCCCTAGTGGTTTTAACAGCCAATCCTCCTTCACAGGAAAATCTGGGAATTGTAGCTCTCGGAGGGGAACGCGGGTCTCACAGCAACTCTTGGCACCCTTAACAAACTACATCTCCCAGGATTCTTTGGGGGAAACCACGACAGTTTAAAGTGGTATCACACTGCTTTAAACATATGGTGTGGATGTGCCCTTGATAAAATGGAAAGCTTTCGGTTTTGGCTGTAGAGTCCTGCTGCAGGAGCCCTGGACATTATCGTTGTTGTCTGGTGTCATAGGACTGACTCCTCACTCATCTTCTCCTCTATAACCTTTCTATCAGATTGGGCAGTCATCACACTTGTCTTTTGACAGGATGTGCTCTCTATTTTTAAGCTTTCTTGTCCCCCTCCCTCCCTTGTTGCAGAGTGAATATGATGCTTTCTTCGTATTTCAGGCTTTGTAGCTGAGAAAGAAGGCTAGAAAGGGGTCAGGGGGGAGGACGCTGGACTACTTAGGCCTGATTCAGCAGGGCTCTTGCATTAGGTAATTGGCTCAAACCGCCCCCAGGTTGCACAGGGCTGTGTCTCCAGGCTGCTATTTTGCACTTGGGTCTGGTTAGTGAGCTTCAGGATTCTTCTAGTGGAAAGCAAAGTGGACATCTTCCCTCCAAAGTCCTACAGTTTGACCATTCCTGAGCTGTTTTAGTCCAGCATCACATTTTGCAGCAGCCAATAGTTGCTAGAAGGTGTGGTCATGTCTGGCTTCGAACAATGCTCAATTTTGTGTTTCCAGTCCCTTTCAAGCATAACTCCTCAACCCAGCTTCTGGATAGCTCAGTTGGTTAGGGTGTGGTGCTAATAATGCCAAGGTTGCAGCTTCAATCCCCATATGGGGAGAATTGCAGGGAGTTGGGCTAGACTAGAGGATCCTTAGAGTCCCTTTCAGCTCTACAATTCTACAAGTATATTTCGTTTTAAATGAAAATTCTCTGGAACCCTGAGCAAGGTCTCCGCTCAAGTGTAGCAACCTTCCTTCTACGGAGTTAGAATATTGATCCATTTATTGTCTCTGGAAGCCAGCTCTCCAGATTTCCACAAAAGCGTCTGTCCCAGCCCCACCTGGAGATTTCAGGGATTTGAAACTGGGATTTTCTGCATGCAAAGCAGGTGCTCTAACACCTTGCTACGGACCTTCTCTTAATGCAGTTGCGGAATACGCACAGCCTAGCAAAAATACTAACACATCTACACCCAGGACTTTGATTGGACGTGTAGGAAGGATGTCCACAGAAAATGCTGTCTTGGTGTCATCTTGATGATAGCAGAGGGTAAGGTAAAGGTAAAGGGACCCCTGACCATTAGGTCCAGTCGTGGCCGACTCTGGGGTTGCGGCGCTCATCTCACTTTATTGGCCGAGGGAGCCGGTGTACAGCTTAGCCAGCACGACTAAGCCACTTCTGGCGAACCAGAGCAGCGCACAGAAATGCCGTTTACCTTCCCGCCGGAGCGGTACCTATTGATCTACTTGCACTTTGGCGTGCTTTCGAACTGCTAGGTTGGCAGGAGCAGGGACCGAGCAACGAGAGCTCACCCCGTCGTGGGGATTCAAACCGCTGACCTTCTGGTCAGCAAGGCCTAGGCTCTGTGGTTTAACCCAGAGTGCCACCCGCGTCCCGATACCAGAGGGTAGGTGCTCACAAAGCAAGCCAGTCTCTTTACCCCTTTTGCCGCTGGGGCCAAGGGTGTTTAGTACATGCGTCCCCTGGAAACGTTTTGGAAAACTGTTCCAAAGAGCATGAACATGAGGAAAGGATCCCTGCTGGATCGGGCCAGAGGCCCATCCCTGCAGAACCCTGTTCTCACAGTGGGGAAACCAGCAAGCAGGATTCAGGCGCAAGAGCGCTCTCCCCTTGTGTGGTTTCCAGCAGCCGGTATTCAGAAGCATTGCTTCCTCTTGACCAGGGGTCAGCAAACTTTTTCAGCAGCGGGCCGGTCCACTATCCCTCAGACCATGTGGGGGGTCGGACTATATTTTTTTTTGGGGGGGGGGGATGAACGAATTCCTATGCCCCACAAATAACCCAGAGATGCATTTTAAATAAAAGGAGACATTCTACACATGTAAAAACACGCTGATTCCCGGACCGTCTGCGGGCCGGATTGAGAAGGCGATTGGGCTGGATCTGGCCCCCGGGCCTTAGTTTGCCTACCCATGCTCTTGACTATAGCTGGAGAGCAAAACCTTCATGGCTAGTAGCTTGCTATTTCAGAGAAGCATTGGGAAGGGAGCAACTTGTGCAGAACTGCGTCGGATCTCGCTGTGGGCATTTGGCAAATCTTCTATAAGGTGGACTCCGATAGCAGACCACATGTGTAAAGCTGGCTTTTCCCCATTTGTGAATACCACTAAAACCAAGCGACATCCTCTCGCAAGAGGTTGGGCTTCCTCTCCGTGGGAACCAGGGTCTTGCGAAGGTCCGCGCCTCATTGTTGACCCTCTGCTTTTCCTCTCTACCCTGCAGGCCTACGAACTCTCCACCTTAACGGGCACTCAGGTGTTGCTGCTCGTGGCCAGCGAGACGGGCCATGTCTACACGTTCGCCACGCGGAAGCTACAGCCCATGATCACTAGCGAGACGGGGAAAGCGCTGATCCAGACATGCTTGAACTCTCCTGACTCTCCTCCTCGGTCAGACCCAACCACTGATCAGCGCATGAGCGCTACGGGCTTTGAGGAGACGGACCTCACTTATCAGGTGTCCGAGTCAGATAGCAGTGGAGAAACAAAGGTATAGACACCCTCCCTTTTTCGTGCTGTGGAGGGCTTGGAGGAGGGGGAAATTATTCCTGCAGGTCTCTGGGGAGGGAAGAAGCTTTGTCCTTGCAACCTTGCCTTCTACCTAGGAGAAGGTTTACCTGGGAGGACTACAGAGCACAGGTGGGCAGATTTCAGGCTTGTTGGGTGGGTCTACTGTGCGTGTGTGGGAGAGGAAGATGAACCTGTGTTGAGGGGGACTGAACATCTGCAGGAAGGAAGCCTGCTGTTCTAATCAATTGGCCTCCATGCTCCTTTTAGAACCTTGGATCTTCCAGGGTTCCGAGTCACATGGGGCGCTGACTCAAGTAGCAAGAGACTCTGCCCGTCCGGCAGAGGTTCAAGCCTCCCACATGGAAAGAGCCACTCGCCCCTGCGTGTGTGAATGATTTGAGAACCTGCTAGATCAGGCCAGTGGCCCATCCAGTTCAGCATCCTCTTCTGGCCGCCCAGGTGCCAGTGGGAAGCCTGCAAAAGCAGGACACGGGCACCAGCAACACAGCCCACCTGCAGTTCCTAGCAGCCAACATTCAGAGGCATTTTGCTGCTGACCTCAGAGGCAGTGCCCGGCCATCAGCGCTAGTAGCAGCCTTTATCCTCCATGAGTTGGTCCGGTCCTCTTTGACCTGAAGGAGCATTTCCACCCACCCTGTCCATTCCAGACACTGAGGTCCAGCTCCGAGGGCCTTCTGGCGGTTCCCTCATTGCAAGAACCAGGCAGAGGGTCTTCTCTGTAGTGGCACCTGCCCTGTGGAACGCCCTCCCATCAGATGTCAAGGAAATAAACGACTATCTGACTTTTAGAAAACATCCGAAGGCAGCCCTGGTTAGGGAAGTTTTTAATGTTTGATGTTTTATCGTGTTTTTAATATTGTGTTGGGAGCCGCCAGGAGTAGCTGGGTCAGCTCAGTCAGATGGGCAGCATAGAAATAAATTATTATTATTATTAGGCCAATCAAGTTGGAGGGCATCCCTGCTTCCTGTGGGAGTGAGTTCCATAGTTCAACCTTTTGCTGCACAAAGAAGTACTTTTTAAAACCTTGCAACATTCAGCTTCAATAGATGCCCACCAGTCCCCTTGTTGCAAGAGAGGGAGAAAACCATTCCTGTATGCTCTACCCCCATGCCATGCATAATTTCATAAGCGTCCATCGTGACACCTCTTTACTTGCCTTTTCTCTAAACCAAAAAGTCCCAAACTCTGCAGCGCCTCCTCCTATAGGGGAGCTACACCCATGGAATAAGGCTTAAGAGAATCAGACCCCTCCATATTATTATTAGTATTATTCTGGCTTCGGTGATCTGTGGTGTTGGCAGGGGACAAGTCTATGGGCCGAGCCTCCTTTTGGCTGTAAAGATTCCTATATAGCGTGACTCCTAGCATTCAGTTGTCTCTCCCTTACCTCCTCCTCCCTCCTTCCCTGGGACTTGAGTAGTTGTGCCCTGTCAACTCTGCTGGAGCTCTGCCGAAGTGGAAGCAGGGCTGAGCCTCGCCTTGCCCTCGGCAGCACGGTCCTGGATGGGAGATCCGTGGGGTGGGTTGAGGGGGTGCAGAGCGACAGGTGCTGCTTGCCTCACCCCCCCCCCCGCCCACCCCGTGCCCCTTGCCGAGGAGTCCTGCTTTTCGGTTATCTCTCCTTGGGCGTCTCTCTGCTCGCGCTCATTGATAAAAATTTGATTCTGCCTCCGTGGCCATATAAGGCCCGGTTTCCTTCCCCGGAGTCCCTGGCTGGGCCCCTCACATTCCTTATAAGCTGCAGCTGTCTCTTGCTTTGGTGCTGTTTTGGAAGGGGGCAGGGAGGACACGGGGAATTGAAGCACTTGGCTGAACAGACTATTCCTTCTCTCCCTCTCCCTCTCTCTGTCTCCAACCAGCTCCTCTGCTGGCTTAACTCACAGCTCGCTTCTCAGCAGCTATCGTATCAGTAAAGGGAGCCGACAGCGCTGATAACGTGGGACAATTGCTCCCCTTCCCCCAGGAAGCTTAAAAGGTCTTGGGCTTGCTATCTGTATGACTTTACTCTGCTTTTATATAGCACCTTCTCGAGGCACCAGAGTTCTTCATGCACATACATGCATCTCACAAAATACAGAGTTGTAGAATTGGAAAAGGGACTCCAGGGTCTTTTAGTCCAACCCCCCACAGTGCAGGAATCTCAACTAAAGCATCCATGACAGATCGAACCTCGGCTTAAAAACCTCCAACGATAGAGAGTCCACAACTCCCGAGGGAGACTTCCACAGTCGAACAGCTCTTATTGTCCGAAAGTTCTTCCTGATGTTTAGTTGGAATCTCCTTTCTTGTAACTTGAAGCCACTGGTTCGAGTTCTACCCTCCAAAGGAGAAAACATGTTTGCTCCATCTTCCATTTGACAGCCCTTTAGATATTTGAAGATGGCTATCGTATCTTTTCTCTGTCTCTTCTTTCCCACGCTAAACATTCCCAACTCTTTCTCTCTCTATATATATTTATTTATTAGGTTTTTTTAAACATATCATTTCCAACAATCACATAACTTAACTTCTTATCTTACGCATTGTTTTAGACTTCCATCAACACCTCTGATGATTTTCCGTTCTTTATCACTTATTCTGCATTTCTTAATATATCTATTACTCTTAATTATCATCAACTAATAATTCTCCTCATAGTCTTTCTTGCACTATTTCATATAGTTCTCCTTCTTGCAGTCCTACTAGCGTAATCTGTTCGTTACTATTACTTTTCAAATAGTTCGTATATTTACTCCAGTCTTCTAAGAATCTCTGGTCCCGCAGGTTTCGAATCCTTCCAGTTAATTTATCCAGTTCTGCATAGTCCATCAATTTCATCCACCATTCTTCTTTCGTCAGTAATTCTTCTTGCTTCCGTTTTTGTGCCAGTAGTATTCTTGCTGTCGAACGTTCCCAACTCTCTCAACCGTTCCTCATAAAGCTTGGCTGCCTTCCTCTGCGCATGTTCCAGTATGTCAGTATCCTCCTGGACGCAGGGCTCCAGGTGTGGCCTGACCAAGTCAACAATCCTCTGAACCTCACAACAATCCTTTAATGTCAGTGGCATTGTTGCTGTCCCCACCCCACCCACTCCAATGCAGATGAAAAGGTTTGGGCTGAGAAGAGAGTGTTTTGCTTGATTCCACCTGGTGAGCTGAAGGTAGGATTCAGCCACAGATTTGCTGGCTCTCTCCCTCTTTGCCACCAGGGTTGTGGAAGCCCCTTCCACCACACAGGGAGCTAGCTACCTTCTACTGAGTCAGGCTGTCGGTGCAGCTAGCTCAGCATTGTCAATGGCTCTCCAGGGTTTCAGGCAGGCCTTTCCCATCCCTCTCTGGAGGTGCCAGGGTTTGAACCTTCTGCATGCAAGGCAGATGTCCTGCCACATAGGAGACTGCCTAGGGCCAGGTCAGACGGTTTTATCTCTCTCCCATTTTTGACTGCTCTGGTTGGCAGCTACCCTGAAAGGTCTCTGGCAGAGGCCTTTTCCGTCATCTGTTGCCTGCTGATCTTTTTCACAGCAAGTGCCATTGGTCCATTTCACAGAATTGTACAGTTGGTAGGGACCACGAGGGTCATCTAGTCCAACCCCCTGCAATGCAGGACTCTTTTGCCCAGTGTGAGGCTCAAACCCATGACCCTGAGATTAAGAGTTTCATGCTCTACCGACTGAGCTATCCCTTGGCTAAGTGTTGCATATTCTCAATCAGCAGAAGCTCTCCACAGATTGGAGCAGAGGTCTTTCCCATCGCCTCCCGTCCGACCCTTTTAACTGGAGATGCCGGGTATTAAACCTGCGGCCCCCTGCGTGAAAAAGCATGTGCTCTCTCCCACTGAGCTGTAGTCCATTTCCAACCTTGAGAAAATCCCTGGCTCTCATTTATTTCCTTTTTGCATATTTTGGAAGATACAGGAAATGAAGCTTCTGTAATAGCTTCCTCGGGTCACAAATCCGACCCCCGGCGCAATAGAGAGCGCAGCGGGAACTGTATGAAGCAAAATACTCCTCTTGTGAAAACCAGCATTGCTTGAACTGCTTCCCTAGTGGTGCCATAGAGCGGGGTTTCCCAAACTTGGGTCTCCAACTGTGTTTTTTTTGGAGGGACTACGATTCCCACCATCCCTGACCTCTGTTCCTGCTAGCTACAGATGATGGGAGTTGTAGTTCAAAAACAACTGGAGACCCAAGTTTGGGAAACCCTAACCTAGAGAGATACCTTTGCCCAACCTTCACCAAGCTGGCTTGTGGTGTGTTTGTTTTATGGGGATCATAAGGACATTAGATGGAGACTTGCCGGTCAGAACAAAAGCCGGTCAGTCCAGCATTTTGTTCTCACATTGGTTACCTTCGGTGCCTATGGGAATCTCACATGTAGGGCGTGAGGGCTCACTGTCACCAGCAACTGGTACTTGGAAGCATCCTGCCATCCGCTAGTTGCCGCCTGAGAGATGGAGATATCCCCAGTTCCTAGATTTGTGCTTGGGAGCATTGGGGTTTTCCAATTAGCACAGCTCAGCAATGGAGGTGTGTTTCAGATTAGGTCATAATTTTTGCCTTTACAATTAGAGGGGGGGAACCCCACTAAAACTTCTACATGCAGAAAATAATGTACCCACACCCTCACTTTCCCACCCGTGTTCTAAGCTCCGGCCAGCATTTTAGAAGACTGACTGCAGAGGCTAGAACTATGGGCCTTATTGCTGCTCTTGACCTTTTGGAGAAAGGAAGAGGGATTTGAGGAAGCTTTTATTCCCTCTCTGCCTGTTACATAAGGAGCCAATTCCTGTACTTGTGCTCTTTGGAGAGCTTGTGTGTGTGTGTGTGTGTGTGTGTGTGTGTGGCTGTTGACCGGCTACAAGTCTTCGGACTGAATGGGTTTTTAGTTTTGGAACAGAATTCGTCTGTGCTCTTTCCAGTTACCAGCAGTGCTTTTAACTTGAGGTGGTAGGATTTGAACTGGCAACCTCGCATGTGCTCTGTCCCTGTGCTGCAGCCCCTTTTGTTGCTGTTTGGGTTTGAAGGAGAACCAGACAGATCAGAGTGGGCACCTCCTCATCCCAAGAGAGCCACATTCCTTTCTGGGTAGCCTTCCAGTGTGGCCACAAGGAGGATGGGTGCATTTCAGGGTTAGTGGGGGATGTGGCTGGGGAGAGTTCCAAGGGTGAGATAGAGAGGTCTGGAGGGCCACATTTGTTGTTTCCCGCCCATTTATATTTTTTTTTTATAAAAAAAAAAATCGCATGCACTTTCCAATACATGATATATATTTTCCCTTTTGTTTTGTCAACTCCCCATCCCATTTGCCATGGTATTATTTTTATTTCTCTTCCTTGCTGCATCCTATCTTCTCTCTCTTACACCATAACCATCATACAATAACCTCTCATTCTGTTGCTCATAGTTCAAATCCCGCTTGCAAAAATTCCTCTTGCTATCATATTTCTTTAAATAGTCCAAGAGAGCCTTGCATTCTTCGACAAAACACAAGCATCATTAGGTTCTCTTATTTTAGCTGCTAGCTTTGCTGATTCCACATAGTCCTTCTGTGCTGGTCCCGAGGCTTAACCGTGTGGCGAGGTTTGGGTCCAGTCCGAGGTCGAGGGTGCGGTATGGAGGCTGTCCGTCAAAGCTGAAGCTGGGTCCAAGGCAGGGAGTTGGGTGAGGTCAGGAACTCTGGCAGAAGATGCAGGCAGGAACAGGCTACCAACAATGTTGCTCCCGCAACCTGGGACTGGGACTGGCTGGCTTTTATCTGCCCCAAGGCATAGGGCGGCCCCGGTCCACAGGTAACTCGCCTCTCCTGGCCTGGAGGCAAGCACTCCTCCTGCGGGAACTTAGTTCCCTCCGCCTCTCTTCCCCGAGCCTCTGCAGCTCAGGAGAGGCTGGAGGGTTACCGGACCCAGAGGCAACCTCAGCTTCCCCTGACGGGGCTGAGAGTGGAGCACCTGCAGGCAATGGGTCCTCCATCACCTCAGGAGCCAGAGCAGACTCAGCTGATGCCTGCACCTGAGGATCCAGCACAGGTGAGGACCCTTCAGGCTCAAGCCCCAGCCCCGGCTCAGTCGGCCCTGGAGGTGGGGACTCCTGTGCAGGCTGGGATTCCTCAGGTTCAGCCTCTGAGTCTGAATCCCAGACCATCACACCTTCACTTTAAGTATCCAGTCTTCTTTGGTGGGAACTTCTTCTTTCCATTTTTGTGCATAAAGAATCCTAGCTGCTGTTGTTACATGCATAAACAGCTTCGTCATCTTTTTTGGAACTTCGGTTCCTATATTCCCCATGGAGGGCCACCTTTAAGATGATGCTCTGGAGGTCCATCCCTCCTAAAACAGATGATGGGCCTGCCAAGGAACTAGTAAACTGAAATAAGAAGGCTGGAAGCTTTACTCAGGAAGGCGAATCGCTAGCCATTTGCATCTTTTCTGTGTCCACTTGTCTATAGATGCATGTTAGGTGTACCATTTTTGTGTTGTTGGGAGACATAGGTAAAGGTAAAGGTAAAGGGACCCCTGACCATTAGGTCCAGTTGTGACCAACTCTGGGATTGCGGCGCTCATCTCGCTTTATTGGCCGAGGGAGCCGGCGTACAGCTTCCAGGTCATGTGGCCAGCATGACTAAGCCGCTTCTGGTGAACAAGAGCAGTGCACGGAAACGCCGTTTACCTTCCCGCCGGAGCAGTACCTATTTATCTACTTGCACTTTGAGGTGCTTTTGAACGGCTAGGTTGGCAGGAGCAGGGACTGAGCAATGGGAGCTCACCCCATCGCGGTGATTCGAACCGCCGACCTTCTGATCGGCAAGTCCTTGGCTCTGTGGTTTAACCCACAGCGCCACCCGCGACATACTCCAGGACATAATAGCTCGAAACTGTGAGCGATACCCATGTTCCAGTATATCTTACTTTATCTCACTGCATCCATTCAACCAGCTCACCTGGGTTCTGCCTCCTTCCCAAAATCCACCTATTGGGTGATGGTGCACAACTTGCCATGGAAACATTTTCGCCACTCACATTCTGGCACACAAAATAACATAGCAACTGGAGACAGCAGCTTGGCAACAGGCAGCGTCTGCTGGAAGGTGGAGAAAGAGAAAAGTGGAAATTGAAGAGGGGGTTGAGCTTGAAACCCCAGTTCTATTTGACCTGAGGCTAGGGTTATAAGCATCTGCTGTGTATTACTGCATACATTGTTTTAAATCTAGGCTCTAGATTTAAAACGAAGTGTGCAAAGGATGCTTATGCTCTAGCTGCAACCTCATCCTAGGTCAAATGAAATGGAGGGTTTGAGATATATTCTGGAGAGAGCCATGGGTAGGAAATGGTAAGAGGACCTTTACAATCTCTGAAATCCTTATAACTAAACATTCACACCATACCAGTGAAAGTATGGGTAATGGTGGGAGAAAGTGGGAAACTATCCAGAAAGTTCCCAAAGATATACTGCTCAGATATACTGTAGCAATCATGGACTTACATCAGCCTTGCAAATAAGCCTACAAAAGTTACTAGCCTGCACAGATGTTTACCAGCTTTCTACGGAGGAGTTTTGGGAAGCTCTGCTCTCCTTGTGGTGGCCTGCTGCATTTCTGTACAGTGGTTCCTCGGGTTAAGAACTTAATTTGTTCTGGAGGCCCGTTATTAACCTGAAACTGTTCTTAACCTGAAGCACCACTTTAGCTAATGGGGCCTCCCGCTGCTGCCGCGCCTCCGGAGCACGATTTCTGTTCTCATCCTGAAGCAAAGTTCTTAACCCGAGGTAATATTTCTGGGTTATCGGAGTCTGTAACCTGAAGCGTCTGTAACCCGAGGTACCACTGTACTAGGGACAGAGAAGGAACAGACCACTGCAGCCGTTCTTCTCTGTTATAAGTTTTCCAGTAGCACATAGAGCAAAATATTTAATATGGATTATTTTGTTGCCTTCTGTAGCAAATGTAGAAAACAGAAACTGAAAAAGAAAAGGAAAAGAAACATATACTAAGAATTCTCAGTTATATGGGTCCATCTGCCATGGAAGCATTAGTCAAGGTTCCTGCTTTGCAGGAGGTTAGACTAGATGATCCTCAGGGTCCCTTCCAACTCTACAATTATGGTCTTAAAAAATCAAAGCGAACCTGTTTATTTATTTATTTAAATTTATCTGCCTCCCTTTATCCGAGGGAACCACAGGACAGTTTATAGCATAAAAACACAAAAATACGTAACGTAACAAACAAAACTATACCCTCCCAACAGTTTAAGAAGCCACAGATTGTTTAATTAGCCAAAGACCTGGGAGAAGAGGAATGTTTCTGCCCGGCACCTAAATATTTGTAACGAAGGTGCCAGGCTAGTCTCCCGGGGGAGATCATTCCACAAACGAGGAACCACCGCAGAAGAGGCTCGTTTAGCTCAATTTATCTGCTCCAATATATAAGAACATAGGAATCATAATCTGTCAAGAAATCTAAAATATATTCAAAATTAAAATGGGGGGGGGAGGGTTACGGTTAGTTCCACATAAATAAGTAATTCCGCAGGGTGGTCTTTTTCAGTTGAATTTATTTATCATGCAATTAGTAAATGGCTGCCAAACAGCTTCAGAATCCTCAGGAGCAGCTTTGTTGTGTCCATTTTTCAGATTCCACTATAAATAAAAGCTTTTTTGTATCATGCGCCTGAAGTCAGACTGTGCGCATCCTTCTGAGGTCTGGGTAATAACCGAGTGCTCAACTATCGTCATGGTTTTTCCTTATTGCTTTCCGAAATATCAAACTTGGATTTTTGCAGAAATGTGAAATTTGTTGACAAAGAACCTAAGATGAACCCTGCTGGATCAGGCCCATTCTGGGTGGCCCACAAGCAGGGCCTGAGAGAAACATCATTCTCCCCACTTCTGAATTCCCAGCAATTCAGAGAAATGTTGCCTATGGCGATGGAGGTAGGGATATAGCTAAGGAAGGCAGGAGGAGCAGGGAAAACTAAGCTTGGTGTGTTGATGTGCAGGCAATGTTGGAGTCTTTGGAATATGTGTTAAACATTAGCAGACTGGGGGAGTAAGGCTGGAACTTGAGAAACATTGAGGTTAGCTGATATAGTTGGAAAAGGGGTTATAAGGAGCTCAGATCCTGAAAAAGGCTCCCAGAGATCATTTTCTAGTCATGAGTTCTTACGATATGCTTCATATCCTTTGAAAGAAAAACTCCACAATACAGTCATACCTTGGGTTGAAGTTGCTTCAGGTTGAGCATTTTCGGGTTGCGCTCCGCGGCGACCTGGAAGTAACGGAACGCGTTACTTCGGGTTTCGTCGCTCGCGCATGCGCAGACGCTCAAAATGACACCACCTGCATGCGCAGAAGCGGCGAATCGTGACATGCGCAGATGCAGGTTGCATTCTGCTCAGGATGCGAACGGGGCTCCGGAATGGATCCCGTTCGCATCCAGAGGTACCACTGTAATGAGGACTAGAAACCTGGTGTGTTTATAAAGCAGAAGCTCTCTGCCTTGATACTATAACAATAATATAATAATTTATTATTTATACCCTGCCCATCTGGCTGGGTTTCCCCAGCCACTCCGGGTGGCTTCCAACCGAATATTAAAAACAATACAGCGTCAGAAAACTGTATATGCCACCAGGCTTTATGGTAAAAGGGGATGGTAGGGTTTGTTGCACAGCAGAATGAAGGCCTTCCAGACTTCTACTAAATCCTGGCCAGCCTTGTCTGTTTATCCTGCAGTTGTCCAAGCTGCAACAGTGTCAGCAATAGGAGTGCTGGAACTGGGTTCCGGTAGATGTGGTCAGAGGGCGAGTCACAGGCTACTGAAATGTACTCATATGAGAGAAGAAAACCCCCCAGCCTTAGAAACCCCAGTCCCAGTTCCTGATTCTATAGCAGCAGATGCTCAGATGATTACACCCACACCAGCCCCATTTCACTTCTTATGAAATGCTAACAGCTTTAGCTTTCCTGCTGAGAGGAGGAGAGGAATTAATGTTACTTTTTTCCCCAGTCAGTCATCCACAAAGAATCCTGCTGCTATGAGTTCTGTTCACATTTTCCTCCCCGATGTAAGGGATGCTACCATTTTCTTAATGCAGAAGTTGCTTCTTTGTGGTGGTGGTCTTTTGGGGCTGGTCCAGGGGGGCTCCGCCAGATCCTTGCCCTTCCCCCCCGTGTTTTCTTCTTAAACTGGATTTTATTTTCGTTTTAGTTTGACTGGCTCGCTGGCCACGCTGCAAAGCACGGTGCTGCGTGTGGGAGACCTCTGGCCCCTCACAGTCCTCAGGAGCTCAGAGATCGAAATGCGCATATGAATTAGCCCATGCAAATTTGTGCCATGTGTCTGTGAAATACCTAGCAACATCCCGGCTTCTGTGTAGGAAGTTTGATGAAAGCTGTGAGCAGATCATTGGATCTTTTGTCTCCTTTTTGGGTGGGGGGGAGAGAATGCATATATGCATGCTCTTCAGCATGTGCAGAGAAGATCCATGTGCAAGCATCATGTGTGATGCGTCCTAATTTCCTTACAAAAAATTGCTGTTCGCTTAGAGGGGCAATCTTAAGATATAGGGCAGGCACCCCCAACCTGTGGCCCTCCAGATGTTTTGGCCTACAACTCCCATGATCCCTAGCTAACAGGACCATTAGATTTCACTCCTCCTTGAAAACAAACAGTGTAGGGGATAGCCAGCTGGCTGCACAGCAACAAAACCCAACTACAGTGGTACCTTGGGTTACAGACGCTTCAGGTTACAGACTCCGCTAACCCAGAAGTATTACCTCGGGTTAAGAACTTTGCTTCAGGATGAGAACAGAAATTGGATGGTGGCGGCACGGCAGCAGCAGGAGGCCCCATTAGCTAAAGTGGTACCTCAGGTTAAGGACAGACCTCTAGAACGAATTAAGTTCTTAACCCGAGGTACCACTGTATTAGAGTCAGTTTGTGGCCACTGCTATCGGAGTTCCCTCAAAAATGCAGTAAAACAAGTTTTGGTTCCTGGTTTCCCTTTTAAAGAAAACAGGAGAACGGTACCGCAAAGTCTGGAGAAGTGGATAGGTTGCCTTCCCCAGCTTTTGATGCCTTGGTCTATGATTCACACTGGCTGGGGCTCATCAGAGTTTTAGGCAATATGATAAGAGCATCAGAATAGCCTGCTGATTTGGCCAGTGGTCCATCTTAGCCCAGCATCCTGTTCTCACAGCGGCCAGCTGTGGGAAACCTACAAACAGGACCCAAACTCCAGCAGCATTCTCTGTGCCCCGTGGTTTCCAGCGACTGACATTCAGACGCATTACTTCCTCCGCCTTTGATCCCAGACACGTAGTGGGTCCCGATCCACCAGTTGAAGACTATATAGGGCAGCCTTTTTCAGTCTTGGGTCCCAGGTGTTGTTGGACTACAACTCCCATCATCCCTAGCTAGCCGGTCCAGTGATTCGGGATGATGGGAGTTGTAGTCCAGCAATACCTTGGGGACCCAAGGCTGACAAAGGCTGCCCTATAGGGTAATACCGCTCAGCACTTAGAATCATAAAATTGTAGCATTTATTTATATATAATTGTACAGTTGGAAGGGATACCCAAGGGTCATCTATTCCAACTCCCTGCAATGCAGGAATCTTTCTGCTCAATGTTGGACGTGAACACACAACTTTGAGGTTAAGCGTTTATCAATTGAACTATCCCAGGATTTGACTCAATTTGCTTAAAAGAGTTGGGAAGTTGTATGCTCTTAGGACAGGGGCAGAATGGTTAGTGTGGAGAAGTCCATTTTATTTTTTAAAAGGTTTCTAGTCCCTGTGACTACAAAGATAAATTGTGTTAGCAATTTCTGTGGATTTGTTAGGAAAAACTAGGAAGGCGGCTGTATAAGATTTTCAGTGAACTGGGGTGGATCTTTGCTGTTCTTGCCCCTCCTGTTTTTGGCAAAACCAGAAAAAATGATTGAGGGTGTGAGAGATCATGCAAAGCTGCTTGGTTTGCATGATTTATCAGGCATGGCACAGAATTCACATTGCCTGTGCACACAGTTTAAATCCCTGGTAATTGATGATCTTGTATAGCAAGTCTGAAACCTTTGTTCTAACCCTGCGTTATTCCCCAGCAATAACTGTGAGTACAGTTTCTCCTAAGCTCTTCAGGTCTTGTTCAGCAAGCCTGGCTCATTTCCATTAGCATCCCAAGTGCCTCTCGCTCACTCGCATCTCCTGTTCTTAAATTAAATAGACCCTTTTTATTCCCCACTCGCCCAGCATGTTCTTCTGGATGAACAAATGATTTAGCATCGCCTATTTAGTTCCAGAAGCTATAAACTAGTCTGTCATAACCTGGGGTCCCCAAATGATGTTAGACTGAAAGTCCCGTCATATCTGACCATTGGGCTTGCTGGTTGAGGATGATGGAGATTGTAGTCCCAACAACATCTAGGGATCTAAGACTGGAAAAGGCCCGTTCTGAACTGTACTTGTGGGGGTTGGTGGGATTAACACATGGGTAGGCAAACTAAGGCCTGGGGGCTAGATCTGGCCCTGTCGCCTTCTGAATCCAGCTCACGGACAGTCCAGAAATCAGCGTGTTTTTACATGAGTAGAATGTTTCCTTTTATTTAAAATGCATCTCTGGGTTATTTGTGGGGCATAGGAATTCGTTCATTTTCTCCCCTTCAAAATATAGTCCGGCCCCCCCACAAGGTCTGAGGGACAGTGGACCGGCCCCCTGCTGAAAAAGTTTGCTGACCCCTGGATTAGCATATCTGTTACATCCAAGCTTAAAAGGGTGCTAAAAGCCAGCATGGTTAAATAAAACATGGTGGATAAAGTGTGAGCCCCAAATCAGGCGGAACCAGCTTCAGATCCCTACGTAGCTATAAAAAAAGCTTATGTGGGGTGACCTTGGAACGTCCATTTTCAATTTTTCTCAGCCTGCCGTACCTAACAGAGGTGCTGTGACAACAAAATGAGAGAACCTCGCAAGTGTGTCACCCTGAGCTGCTGGGTGGAAGTGTAAAGTAGAATGTAATAAAGCGGGCATAGGCAAACTCGGCCCTCCAGATGTTTTGGGACTACAGCTCCCATCATCCCTGGCCACTGGTTCTGTTAGCTAGGGATGATGGGAGTTGTAGTCCCAAAACATCTGGAGGGTTGAATTTGCCTATTCCTGTAATAAAGGAATAAATGAAATGAAATAACAGTGGTGTTGTTTAAAAGAGCTGAGAACTGCATCCAAAGAACTGCAGGGTGCTAAGCAGCGGAAGCTTAAACCAGCTGGATTTGTAAATTACAGAGGCTCCTGCAAATGGTCTCCGTTAAAGTGTTCAGCACACGCCTTGCAAAGTCTTTGAGATCTGTCTAGTAACGGTTAAGGAGCAGCAACCTCAGGTTTGAATTTGGGGTTGCGCTGCAAACTTGGAACTCTGCTGAAAGATCTCCCAAGTGCAAATTTCTCCCCAGCCTGACTTGGCAGCTGATGCTGCAGAAGCTGCGGGTGCCTGCTAGATACTTGCAGACGATCTGCTAGGAACAACATTCATTTTAGTCTCTCTTGTTTGTTTTCTTGCCCTCCTTACGCAAGCTAAGTAAGGCCAAGGCATGTGTGGAGTCCTCTTTACCTGGGGTTGGGGGAACGTCAGAGGCTAGATGCAGAGTTCCTAAACTTGTGGGCTCTCCAGATGTTTTGCTGGACTTCAGCTCCCACCATCCTCAGCCAGTTTAGCCAATGGTCATGGATGATGGGCGTTGTAGTACCAATCTCTCTCGGGATCCAAGAAAGGCTGGTCAAGAGAGAGGGCTGACTTTCTCCATTCTGTACTATTTTCTAGTTTTCTTTTGGCAGGGAACTTTCTATGTGGCAAAGGGTTTAAAAATGGCGTCCACCCCCTGGGGTCCAAAGTGGTAGAGGCCTTGCTATCTCCTATTCCTATTGCATGTCTAGACTGGACCTTAGATTAGAAGTGAGGAACCTGTGGCTATGTTGCTAGACTATAACTCCCCTTGTCCCTGCCTCTTGGCCCCATTAGCGGGGACTGAGGGGAGTTGAATTCCAACAACATGTCCCTCACTCCAGCCTTAAATACAGACCCACTTCCCTCTGTTGCCTCCTAGCGACTGGCATTCAGTGGTCTTTCAGTTGTAAGTCGCTTTGGGCTGCCCTGGGCAAGATAAAGCAACAAATTTAATAACTAATAGTTTTGTCTCAATGCTTCTTTGTATTAATGCAAACCTTGGGATTTCCCCAAGCCAGCTGATGACTCCATCTTGGGTGTGTATGGTGCTATTTTGGCTACACAAGTGTCAGCACTCACAGCCTGAACATCGGACATTGAGGGGATGGTGATGATCAGAGGCGGTGTACTCTGAGGACTTTAACATTTATTTACTCTGCAGCGTGTTAGGGAATTTACCTTGCTATTTAGGAGGGGAAAAGTGCGTCCTATGGTGCGAAAAATACGGTAGTGTGCCTGTTAAACTGTGCAGACTTAGTTTTGTTCCCCAATACCAGGACAGGCATGTTCCCGAACAACTTAGTTCAGAGGTAGAGAATAGGGCTGGGTGATACCTGGTTTTCAGCATCGTGATACATCACCAGCTAAACATTGCGATAGACTGATATATCGCAATGTCTGAAATAAGGATGGAGCTATGTGGAGACATTGGCTGGCGTCATGGTTTCTCCCACATTGTGATTATTGCATAACACACACACACAAACACAAACCTCATGATTTGCAATATACTGCCAGGTCAAAATGTATGAAACCAATCTCACAATATGGACCACAAACGGGTTTTGGATGATATATTGATATACTGTATAGCCCAGCCCTAGTAAGGAACTTAGGGCCAACCAGAGGTGGTTGGACTGTTATGTCAGGCATTTAGGGGTGTTTATGAACAGTGTCAGGGACGCCGGTGGCGCTGTGGGTTAAACCACAGAGCCTAGGACTTGCCGATCAGAAGGTTGGCGGTTCAAATCCCCATGACGGGGTAAACTCCCGTTGCTCGGTCCCTGCTCCAGCCAACCTAGCAGTTTGAAAGCACATCAAAGTGCAAGTAGATAAATAGGTACTGCTCTGGCGGGAAGGTAAACGGCATTTCCGTGCGCTGCTCTGGTTTGCCAGAAGCGGCTTAGTCATGCTGGCCACATGACCCGGAAGCTGTATGCCGGCTCCTTCAGCCAATAAAGCGAGATGAGCGCCGCAACCCCAGAGTTGGCCATGACTGGACCTAATGGTCAGGGGTCCCTTTACCTATGAACAGTGTTCTGGCCTGGTTCCTACTGTACCCGAAACCCCTTAATTCGCCCAGCGGTTTGTGGTGTTCTGCTGCTGTGCTTCACAGGCAGTATTAAGGGCCCTTTCCAGTCAGAGGCCTTTAACTGATTAGGGCTTGGTAGTGACTTGAACATAGCAATCGACACAGCCAACGAGAATCTGGGTCTTCATCCTGCAGGGTTTCAGGGTGAAACATTACTTATGAGGCATGCTATAAGTCTCAGCCCTGGACCTCCACATCCCAACGGCGCTATTCTCATGTGCAGTAATAGCACTGAGGCTGTGAGGTGGCTCATTCTCAGGGAGGGCTAGGCCTCTTTTGCGTTGTCCTGTGATGTTGTGAGGTGGTGTCCTCGGTTGCTATGCCTTTGCCTGCCCTGCTGACCCCCCTCCTAAGCACGCGAGGCTGCTAGTAGTTGTCTGGGTCTCTTCACGTGGCACTCGTCCCCTGACAAACGGAACAGCTGTGGGGCCGCTCCGTTGGAGCAAGGGGCTGGAATGTCCTGTGGCAGGTGTGAGAGAGGGGCCGATTCCCCTAAGGCTGCGGGGTGCGGTCTTGTGCCAGCCTGCCGCCTCGCTGCTATCCTGCCTTATCTAATTCTCCCCTTTTTTCAACCTGTGCAACCTGTTGTCACGTTTTGGCATGTTGGGAACTACCAAATCTTTTCCCTAAAGGTGCATGGCACGCTTGTGCGGACTGACGCATGGTTCGGAAGGAAATGTTCACAAGCAGAGGGCGTTAAAACAGCTGCTGGTTAGTAAGCATGCTTTAGGAGTCAGAGGAGTCAGACTGTTTGCCCATGAAGTTCAGTATTGCCTACACTGACTGGCAGTGGCTCTCCAGGGGTTTCAGACAAGGGTGCTCTCCCACCCCTAGCTGGTGAGGCCAGGGATCGAACCTGGGACCTCTCCCACGCTAAAGCATGAGCTCTGAGCCACAATCCTATGTATGACAGCTATAATGCTGTCAAGGCTCTCTGCACAATTTCTCTTCCCCGTGTTCGTTTCCCTCTTGAGCATTTTGTTTGCACCTCTTCCTTTGATGTCCTCTCACTCAATCGTGGGGGCATCAGCAGTGGAACTTCATGCTGAGACATGTGGGTGGTTTTTTCTTTCTCTCTGGGGCTAACCCAGTCACAGCGGCACCCTCTAAAGCTGCATCAAATGGTATCTGATCTAATGCAGCTGCCCTGCCGAGGGTGCCAGGAAGCGTCTGGTGCTCTGCGTTGCTGGTGCAACTTTTGAAGTCTCTTAACTCTCATGCCCTGGTTCATATATGCATGCGCCATCTAAACTCTGTTGAGGCCCAATGTGCCCCTGAGAGTTAGTGTGTGGTGTAAGAGCCATTTAAAAGTTTCACAGCGGTTACATGGGTAAGCGCTCCTCACCAGCTTCAAGGGTTGCGATGCTTAAAGCATCCCTTGGTTAAACTTGATTGGCAGGTCTGTTTTACTGCCAGTCCTGTTTCCCCAGCATCATTAGCTTTCCACGTGGTTCCACGTTTTGCAGGCAAGTGAGTGTCCCGACTCAGTTCCACGTTCTCATCTCTGTCCTCCCACTCAGACCAATCCCACCAGGATACTTCCACAATCTAATTCAGGCTTTCCCAAACTTCGTCCACCAGCTGTTTCGGACTACAATTCCCATCATCCCTAGCTAGCAGGACCAGTGGTCAGGAATGATGGGAACTGTAGTCCGAAGCAGCTGGAGAGCCGCATTTGGGAAACCTTGGATCTGTTGTTGCAAAGCGGTTTTCCTGTGTCCCACATTATAACCTGCAGCTTCATACAGAGAAGTTGCAGCGTTCATGCAGCTTGTACTTGTATTTGGCATTTTTGATGTGCATTTTACAAAACGCTGATGTTTCTCTATTAAACCTCTGTGCATAAAATGGGCTCATTTTTGTTTATTCAATACATTTATATATTTCTTTTTCTCCATTGTTTTTAAGGAAGCGTAGAGTTCATCCATCCATTTAATTTTTTTTATTATGATTGTTAATTTACTAATTGCCTTCTTTTACACAGTTGTCTCAAGAAAACCCTGGGGGTGAGTGGGGAGGAAACCCAGCAGTTAAATACTGTTGGTTCATTTAAAACCAAAACAATACAGAATGGACACTGGGGGGTGGGGGGTGGGTGGGAAGGGTGAAGGGACATGATAGAGGTGCTTGGTGCCGAGAAAATGGAGAAAAGAGATTTTTCTCCTTCTCTTATAGTACCAAAAGCTGGGGCCATCCAGCAAAACTGGACAGGTAAAATGAGATAACTCCTTCACAGAGTATATGAAATTCCCTCCCACAAGATGTAGTGATGACCCACCAACCTTGGATGCCTTTAAAAGGGGGTTGGGGAAAAGAAGCTACCGTTTGAGTGTGAAAGGAGAACGGGAGAAGAAACAACAAGAGATGGGTAGAAATATACATGGGGTGAGAAAGAGGGAAATACTGAGCACTTGCCCACTCAGAGCCTCCAGATCAAAAATCTTTTGGACAGCTTCCTGGAGAAGGCTGTTGAATAGCTTATAGCCATGATGGCTGTGCTCTTGCCTCCACAGCTGGAGGCAGAAATGCTTCTGGCTACCGATTGCTAGGAACCACAAGAGAGGAGAATGCTGTTGCGTACTTGCCCTTTTTGTGGGTTTCCCACAGTGTGGTGTAGTGGTTAAGAGCGGTGGACTCGTAATCTGGTGAACTGGGTTCGCTTCCCCGCTCCTCCACATGCAGCTGCTGGGTGACTTTGGGCCAGTCACACTTCTCTGAAGTCTCTCAGTCTCACTCACCTCACAGAGTGTTTGTTGTGGGGGAGGAAGGGAAAGGAGAATGTTAGCCACTTGGAGACTCCTTAAAGGGTAGTGAAAGGTGGGATATCAAGTCCAAACTCCTCCTCTTCTTCATCATCTGGTGAGAACAGGATGTTGGGCAAGATGGGTGACTGGCCTGATCCAGCAGGATCTTCTTACGTTCTGTCCACTCACCCTTTTTTGCAGTCACTTCCACACATGCACACACCCAGCTTAACCCAGATTTTCTGTTTCTGCTATGTGCGTGTTTGTTTTGAGTTCCATGGAAAAGGTAGATCAGGATTAAATGGGAAAATAATACAAGACTGAATTTTGAGCATAACAACATGCGGCCACTTCTCAAAACTTCCTTGCATGAGTCCACAATAAGGTGCCATTTGAACATGCTCACAATTGTTTTTTCAAGACCGTCTCTCCTCCACCCCCCATCCTTTCTCCCCAGCGTCCCAGCCTGCCTGCCTCATCCAGAAATGTTAAAGTGAAAAAGTGAGAGGAGTTTGCACAAAAGCAGGTTTTCAACCAAACACCATCGTAGCCAACTGACTTTGAATACAGTGCTTATGCATTGCATTTTTATACCACCTTTTCTCCAATGAGCTCTGGGTGATATACAGGATTGCTGCCCCCCCCCTTCATTTCATCCCTGGAACAACCCTATAGCAAGCTGAGAGGCAGTGACTGGTCACCCAGTGAGCTTCACAGCCGAGTAGGGATTCAAACCCTTGTCTCCCAGGTCCTAGTCTGATGCTCTAAACCACTACACCACAGAGGTAAGATATCTGATGTATTTTGCACAAACGAGCAAGGTTTTCAGAGTTAATTAGTTAAAGGCCCTTTCGAGTAAAGCAGAAACAATGTCCTCATTTGCACCAAAATGCTAAGCTTAGCATCCCTGCAATCTTCCAGAAAGGAGATTGCAGCTTCCTTGCTCTTCCCCAGCCATTCTGCTGCGGTGCTGGGTGCACAGAACCAAATCCGTGGTTTAGCTCTCTCCCCAAATCACTGCCTGTAATTTACAGTTTGAGGTCTTTGTGGGAGAGCATCTTAATTCTATGATGTTGCCTACCCATACAACTTTAGCGTGCAAAGGAAGCACACCATCCCATTAAGAGTCTCACGAAAGTCTTGCTTCAAACACCGGAATCCCTGACTTGCGTGTGTACATGTTTTCTTTTCCATGTTTGCCGCAGAAATGTTCTGCAAACAGTTGTACTGGCCCTAACACAGGTCATGTAGCTGCCTTGCACCCTGGGGGAAGGAATGCATTCAGCACCCGCTCTTAACTGTGTAATGTGTCCAGTAGCCCTTTAGTCATTATGCACCATGGATGGTTATCTTATTACCTCTGTAGCTGAGGGGCAGAGCACCAGAGACAGAAGGTCCCTTGATTAATCTCCCAGCATCTCCAGTAGGGCTGGGAGATGTTCTTGTCTACACTGACTGGTAGCTGCTTTCCAGGAACTCAGACAATATTGAGCTAGGTGGACAACTGGCCTGACTCTGTGTAAGGAAGTTTCCAATATTCCTATGTTTTGCCAGGAGGGGTGGGTGGGGAAGGATGCGGATTTGCCTGAATCTGCTGTGATGGGTTATAGCAACTTTGCACGTACTAGGTTGTCAAGAGGATGCCCCAGACATCATGTAAACATACCCATGGACAATTAAAATAAAGCCTCTTCCAGCCTTGCAAATAAGCCTATAGAAAATAAATAAAGTTAGTTAGTTAGTTCGTTTGTTAGTTAGTTACTAGGCCACTTACACTCATTTTTTAGCAATATCTGTTCTTGAAAGTGAGTGACAGAGGGCAGACATACGTTCATATCCCATCTTTCTTCTGTCTAGGAAACCCATGTGGTTCCCATGTGGTCTCCCATCCAGGCACAGACCAGATCCAGACCTGCTTAGCTTTAGCAAAGTGGTAGCTTCATGTACCCTCAGACCATAACCACCATGTTTGTAAGCTTCCCTATCCTGTTGGTTGGAGATGGTGTCTGCCTGCATTGCCTCTGGCCCTCTAGATCTTGTTAGGGCTACAACCTCTCTGACCATTGGCCACAGTGGCTGGGGCTGGTGGGAGCTTGAGTCCCACAGCATCTGGGGAACCATAGATGCCCCACTGCTGCAGCACATACCAAGTCGGCCACAGTGTCATCTGCCAAACCCATATGAGAGGGCAGTCTTTGCATGATTGGCAGGTGACTCAGAGACCCATTGGCTTCCCAGCCAATGGATTTAAAAGCTAGTGGTTAAGAGTGTTGGACTAAGACCAGGGAAAACTGAATTCAAATCCCTCCAAACTTGAAGCATGGGAAGTCCTATTAAAAAAAATTGGCAGAATATTCGGATTATTTGATATGTATATGCATAATCTGGAATATTTAATGTGATTTGATTGGATTGTTAAAGTGGAAAGTTTAATAAAAATGATTTTTTTAAAAATCCCTGCTCAGTCTTGAAGCACACATGGTAAGCTTGGGCCAGTGGCTCTTCTGGGCATAGCCTACCTCTCGGGGTTGTTGTGAAGATAAAAGGGGGGGGGTAGCCATTGTAGAGAGCCCCGAGCTCTTGGAGGAAGGGTGGGCTTAAAAATATTGTAAATGCAACCATAGTTATTCAGAGAACTGATGCCGTGGGGTTGTTGCTCCCCCCTAGTTTTTGTAGATTTGATCTGTGAGAAAGTCAGGCCACTTGTTCATGTAGCCCCCACTTCACCCCCCCAAATAAGCACAGTGTTAAGTGTGTTTGTGCAGAATAGAGACCTGCTCCTGCCCTTTTCCCATGGCAGGCAATTGCCCTCCCTCTTGTGGTGGGTGGCATTATTTTTGGGGGTGAGTAACAGCTCTCCCTTCTCTAGTGGAAAGGAGGTTGCAGCTGAGATAATGGAAAGTTAATTTGCCAGGCTATGTACCATTATCACATGCTCATCCTAATTCCATCTACACAGATCTCGGTGCCAGGACTGGAAAGGAATTGGGGGCTGGCGTCTGCTGGGCAGCCCTCCCCACCTCTTCTCTCCCCTTCCTCCTCCCCCCCTCCTTCTCCTCCACACTCCCTCCATGCAGCAGGGAAGGGTGATCTGGATTGGCTGGCTCTGTCCAAAATGGGCTGCCTTTCCTTTTTTAGATGTTAGTCGAGCTGTGAATTCCTTGATTTTGGCAGAGTGTCAGGTCAGGAGCCTGGAGGAGCACATGGGAGCTCCAGACCCGCCAATCTGCATGGGGTGGGCAGAGCACAGACATCACACAAAACCCATTAACCCTTTACCAGGCGTGGAAGGTGCAGGCATGCTGACCCGCAGGGACCAAGAGCAGATCACTCCCAAGGGTTAGTTTCCACCATTCCAGTTAAGCAGTCTTTAAAGGTCAAGAACTTTATATACGTATTTCTCTTTCTTTTAAATTAAAAACAAACAAACCCAGTTCCCGGCATTCTGTCACATTTTAGCATGACCAAGAATCCAAGCCAGAATGTGGACACAAGAAGGCTAAGGTTCTCAATGGCTAGATTCTCCCAGGGAGTAGTAAGATCTCGCGTATCACCGAATATTTGTCGTTTGCTCAGATGTGGAACAGCAAGATGCAGTGATTCTCACTACATGCTGCTGCTATTCCGCTGATACGGGAGTCAAACAGATTTTACTTTGGCTAAGCATGTTTTCTTGGGAGTAGGAGCACTGTTTTGTGGCATGAGACGGCAACATGCTTTGAAAGATGGAAAATCAGGCAATCAGCATCTGTAGCCATGTAAATACCCGTTGGCTGGCTGCCCCTCGAATATAATATGTTCGCAAAAATAAAAGGAAAGAGAGGATGCTCCGAGGTACCAGCCCAGGTGCTGACACTGGGCCTGTTTGCTTGTTTTTCCAATGTGTGTTACCTTCTGGGTGGCTGTTTGGGGTTTCCTTATTCTATGACGTCCAGGCCCTGAGAGACAGCTCTTGTTGTACCACTGACACTTTTCTTCCGCAAAAACCAGAGTCGAGTACTAACATGGGTGAACCTCCACAAGTTTAGTTCCACTTTAAAATAGCGGTAGAGCATCTCTTTTGTTTACAGAAGGTCCCAGGTACAATCCTTTAGCATCTATGGACTGGGAACTTCTCCCATCTGGAACTCTAGAGAGCAAGTGCCAGTCAGTCCTGAGCTCGATGGACCAGTCGTCTGACTCACTTTTCCTACGTTCCTATGTAAGAACCAGGATTTGGCCTGGTGCCCGGAACCAAGTTGTGTTTTGAGCCTGGCCTTGTTCCCATAGGGCTGGCGCTTTGACAGAAAAGGCCCGGCTCCTAGCGGTAGGTAAATATGTATCACCATCAGACGTGTCTGTCTCCCTGCCGTGAGGAGCTTACAATTGCAGGTGGGTGGGGAGCTTAACACGGAGTGGGGATACAACAGGAAAGGAACGGAAGTGCAGCCAATGGCAAACAGGAAAACGATATTTGGTGGTTTCTCTTGCGTGTGCTTATGCTTCCAGGATTTGAAGGAAGTAAGAGAGGGGGCGTGCTGGCTGCTCTGGGAGGCAATTTCAAGCATCTGGGGCGGCAAGGGAGAAGGACTAGAGTCCTCTCAGGTGTTAAGAGGCTGGAGGAGTAAAATTCAGAGGCAGTAGGGTATTGGGAATTGTAAAGAAGGGTCAACTCTGCAGAGGGCTGACAAACTTGGGCTGGAAGCGGATACTGTTTGGGGTTGAAGAGGGAGAAGCATGTAATCGGAACTGTGAGGGATTTTGGCAGCAGATGAGCGCTAGACTGATGCAACAGGACCAAGGCGAGAGGATGGCAGACCAGCGTAGAGAAGGGCTACAGTAGTCTCAATGAGAGATGGTCAGGGCATGGACCAGACCTTTCGTCAAGGGGAAAGAGAGGAAGGGCTGCATTTTTGCAGTGCTGTGATGGGAAGAAGAAGAAGAGTTTGGATTTGATATCCCGCCTTTCACTCCCTTTAAGGAGTCTCAAAGCGGCTCACATTCTCCTTTCCCTTCCTCCCCCACAACAAACACTCTGTGAGGTGAGTGGGGCTGAGAGACTTCAGAGAAGTGTGACTGGCCCAAGGTCACCCAGCAGCTGCATGTGGAGGAGCGGAGATGCGAACCCGGTTCCCTAGATTACGAGACTACCGCTCTTAACCACTACACCACACTGGGAGAAGCGGCACGACGGTGGCTGCAGGTCAAATGCGGGGTGCAAAGGAATAGGTGTGTGTCAAAGATAAAGAAAGGCCATTTAAATAAACATTCACATTACAGTGGTACCTCGGGTTACATACGCTTCAGGTTACAGACTCCGCTAACCCAGAAATAGTGCTTCAGGTTAAGAACTTTGCTTCAGGATGAGAACAGAAATCGTGCTCTGGCAGCGCGGCAGCAGCAGGAGGCCCCATTAGCTAAAGTGGTGCTTCAGGTTAAGAACAGTTTCAGGTTAAGTACGGACCTCCGGAACGAATTAAGTACTTAACCTGAGGTACCACTGTATCAGCATCAAAAAATGTTTAGAAGATAGTGAAATAGGATGCTGTATTCACTTTTATTTTTATGTTTTTAGGTTTGATGTTATGTTATTAATAACTTTTTCTGTTGAGAGATAGCAAAGTGGGTGAAAATAGAAACAAACCAGAAGCGGAAGTTGGGGGAAGTCTTGGAGGAGAGGGAGGGAGGAATATATAGTAAATGTTAAGAAATTGAGATGTATGTAATGAATGAAAAAGAAAAATGAATATTTTCTTTTTTTTAAAAGGACAAAGAAAGGCCTTTTCAACAGGATGGCTGATAACATTATCGATGATCAGGCTTATGCGAGAGGAGGGCCTGGGTAGAAAAATGAGAAGTTTGATCTCAGTTTGATGTCCACCGGACATTTCTGTCTCAGTGGATCCAATTTTTGGACTTTGTGCTTGTGTGTGTGTGTGTGTGTGTGTGTCTCAGAGAGAGAGAGAGAGATTCATCACTTAGCAGAAGTACTCAACTGGCCTCTTCCTTGGCTGCAGATTTCTGGCTCATGTCGCAGATCAAAACAAACACCCCACATCCTTCCCTCCTTCCTTCCAGCAGCCCAAAGGTGGCTCCACGTAAATTAGAACAGAGCTGAATGTTTCGATGAAAACATTCAGCCCCGGGGACTGTTCCCTGCCACGTTTGGCACTGGGCAGTTTGTACGGTTGGAGCAGCAGGGTTCACAGGGAGGTTGGTTGCGGCAATTCTGATTTTCCTGGCGTTGTGCCTGTTCTGAACGTGAGTTGCCCTTCTCTTGCAGGACTCGCTGAAGCCTGCATTCACCGTCACCAACCTGCCAGGGACGACGTCGACCATCCAGACGGCGCCCACCACCTCCACCTCCATGCAGGTCAGCAGCGGCCCCTCGTTCCCCATCACCAACTACCTATCGCCAGTCTCTGCTAGTGTCAGCCCCAACACGGTAACCAGTGCCAACGGGACGGTGCTGAAAACCACTGGAACCAGTGCAGTGGCCTCCGGAGGGCTAATGCAGATACCCACCGGCTTCACCCTCATGTCAGGTCAGTTTCCCTCTTGCCGACTGAGGCACTTTCCTGCTTTTTCCCTGTGGAACCCTCCGGGTTTTAGCCTCAACCTCCCTCTTTCGCTCCGGAGAGGCTGGAATAGGAATGCTGGCGCTGTGCTCTCTCGAATATGATTGGTTCAGGAGGGAGAGTGTGGCTTTGAGGCCTAGCTGCGAGGTGAAGCCTGTGAAATTCCGTGGCTGCAAATTCGCCACCCCATGGCTCCTGTGGGGAAGAAGAGAGCTTCCCAAGGAACTCTGCCATGACTGTTCCTCTTTTTTTGTGTGGCACACCTGGTTGTGAGAATTGTAGGGTTCGGAGCTGGGATGTGGAGCCTTTCCTCCTCTTCCTCCCAACAAGGGCCTGTGATAACAGATAATAATAACCGGGAGGAAACTCAGCCTAAGCTAAAAATTAAAATTTAAATTTAAAAAAGCGAGCCGGCCCCTGATTTTTTTAAAGAAGGCTTTATTTTTTTCTCCCTCCTTCTGGCAGGTGCTCCACTCCCTCCCGGGACCCCTGCCATTCCTCTCACTCAGTTGCAGCCGCACTCCCTTGCCCTCTGCAGCCAGCAGGGCCAGGCGGCCGCTGCAGCCACACCTGGACAGGTGCAGCAGGCACAGCAGACAGTCTTCCGATTTCCAGCCTCCGCCGGAGGGCAGTTTGTGTCCCTGACAGGTCAGCAGCGCTCACTTCTCCCCTTGCTTGTGGGAGGTGGGTGGAGGGTGCACGCTTTCAGGGAAGCCTCTCCTCCCACGCCTCAGAAAATATAGGTCCAGTGGGAGCAGACTGAAGGCTCGTCTAGTCCAGCGTCTGGTTTTCCAGATATGCCAGCGGGAAGCCCACCGGAAAGCAGGATTATGAAGGCAATGGCCTCCTTGATGCAGCTGTTCCCCCCTAGTGGCTGGTGGTATTCAGAGGCGTGGTACTTCTGATCTTGGCGGGGTAGCACATAGCTACCGTGACTGGGCGCCATCGATAGTCTTACCCACCACGAAATTGCTAATCCCTTTTAAAAGCCGTCCAAGTTGGCAGCCATCTCTTATGGCAGGCAATTCTAGAACTGGAGCTGTTTGCCACGGGAAGTGCTTCCTTTATCTGTCCCAAACCTCCCAGCATTCAGCTTCTTTGGTTATTGCTGTTCTTATTTTTATTACAGTTTATTAATTGCCTTCTGAGCCAATGTTCTCAAGGCTCCAATGTTCTCAAAGCTAATTCAAACTGTTTGGACACAAAAGTCAGGTTGTGTGTAGGAGGCCCTGTTTCAAAGGTACCCATCACGTCCTCCTCTGGACATTATTTGGACTACAAATCCCATCAGCCCCAGCCGGCGTGGCCAATAATCAGGGATGATGGGAGTTGTAGTCCAGCAAAGATCAGGGGCACCTCGCTAGCTGTGCCTTCCCTGTTTGAATGTGGGCACTCTACTTCCGCTAGTATGATTATCAGGAAAGCAAAGGTGATGGGGGAGCGTGTGCGCTTGCCTGACGTGTTGGTCCCCCACTTGATGAATGAAATCTCCTGCCTCCTGAAGCATGGTTATCTCTTGGTACGTTCCTCTGTTGTCACAGTTTCCACTTTTAGGGGCTGCCGCTGCTGTGGTGGCACAGACTCTGCTTTGCACTGTTTCATTAGGCAGTTGATTAGTGGCAGGGTGGGGCAAGGGGAGAGACGTCTCCATGGCAACACAGGAGGAGGTAGACAATACCTGTGGAGGGAGGGGCTTCTGGCCCCACTGACCTTGGCTGTGATTGATGAAATGGAAAATGGTGAATGCTTACTTAGCGGGGAAGAGGACCTGTGGCAGTTGCTGTGATGGAAAGTAGCATCTTAACTGGAAATTTGGACCCTGCAAATTGTCTAGGGAAGACAGGGAGCCGGGAGGCCACCTTGCTGGAATCGTGCTGGAACTCATTTGGATGTCCTTGAGGCCCGTGCAGCTGTAGGAATAATAAACAGCACTTCAGTCTTGATGCAACAAGCCATTAGCAGTAAAACTGTTGTAATGCTCTCAGGCTGGCCAGCTCTTGTCTTATCCTTACAAAGGGCTTGGGTTCCTTAAAAGCCTAAAATCATATGCTGGAATTCTGCTGCAGAACATCCAACTTTCCTCGAGCAAGTTTGCTGGGTTAGTGGTGAGGAGTACGCATATATGTGGCGAGGGAAGGTTTAAGGACGTATTTAAAGGACCTTTCAGATCACTTTGCATGAACAATATGCTGAGCAGTGTATTGAGATTTGAAGATGGCTATCACATCTCCTCTCAGTCTCCCCTTTTCCAGGCTAAACATTCCCAGCTCCTTCAAACGCTCCTCATAAGCCTTGCTTGGGATGATTCCAACTAAAATGTTCCATCAATGCAAGGATTCCTGCTTCCGCAATAGAACTCCTCCCCACCCCATCATGAGCAGCCAGCGCCCTACCCAAATTGCGCTTGTTGTAAACAAAATCTGCCCTTATTCCCTTATGGGGTACACAAGAGCCCTTATAGAGTCCTTTGTAGGTTCTCCATCGGTAGGAGAAAATAACAGAGGCCAACCAGAGAATATTGAGAAGCAAAGCAGCTAGTAAGCCTGATCTTTATTAAACTTTTGCAACAGGGTGCTCCCCCACACGCAGGAGAGAGGAGGAGGACCCAGAACAAAGGTGTGCCCGCCCTTATATAGACATTTTAAATTGCCCACCTTGGAGTCCAAGACCACCCCCCAGATACATCATACCTACATCACAGAAAAGGCTGTCTACAACAGAAATCTGAGTGTGTTGTTTTTACCCTGTCTGCCAGGTTACCTGTTAATGGTCACTTGACTGGATTACCTGAGGAGTCTGGCCATCCTTTTGTAATGATAATACTTAATTCCTGAGCCAGGTCACAGGCTCACGCTATTCACACCTTAAATGTGTCCTTAAGGCAGGATTTGTGAGGACAGAGACAATGGGGAGGCGCATTTTCTTCGAAATTGTAGAGCAGGGATAGGCAACCTAAGGCTTGGGGGCCGGATGCGACTCAATTGCCTTCTCAACCCAGCCCACAGATGGTCCGGGAATCAGCGTGTTTTACATGAGTAATAATAATAATAATAATACCTTTATTGTCATTGTACAACCTGTACAATATGTCCTTTTATTTAAAATGCATCTCTGGGTTATTTGTGGGGCTTGCCTAGTGTTTTCACATGAGCAGAATGTGTGCTTTTATTTAAAATGTATCTCTGGGTTATTTGTGGGGCATAGGAATCTGTTCATTCCCCCCCAATATAGTCCGCCCCCCCCATGGTCTGAGGGACGGTGGACCGGCCCATGGCTGAAAAAGGTTGCTGACCCCTGTTGTAGAGAAATATCTGAGGTGACTGAAAGAGTCAAAATGGCTTTAGGACTTTTCCTATGGGTTTCAGACATGTGGTTTATATATATATGTACGTGTTTGCTTAGTACATTTATGAACATTTATTATACATATAAGACCTTTAAAATTTTATTACACGCTAGAGGGTTGGGTGAATCCCCAGAACCAGAAATGAGTTCCTGCAGGTTCCTGCTGCAAAAAAAAAGAAGCCCTGGTTTTTGTTATGTGGGTGTTTTCAATCTGTATGGCTGTTTTAAAATGCATGAAAGTAATAAAGGTAAAGGGACCCCTGACCATTAGGTCCGGTTGTGACCAACTCTGGGGTTGCGGCACTCATCTCGCTTTATTGGCCGAAGGAGCCGGCGTACAGCTTCCGGGTCATGTGGCCAGCATGACTAAGCCTCTTCTGGCGAACCAGAGCAGCGCACGGAAACGCCGTTTACCTTCCCGCCATTTACCTTCCTGCCGTTTACCTTACCTATTTACCTACTTGCACTTTGAGGTGCTTTCGAACGGCTAGGTTGGCAGGAGCTGGGACCAAGCAACGGGAGCTCACCTCGTCGCAGGGATTCGAACCGCCGACCTTCTGATTGGCAAGTCCTAGGCTCTGTGGTTTAACCCACAGTGCCACCCACGTCCCCTGAAAGTAATGGTTGGGCACTAATTGATTTCCTTCTCTTGTGCCTTTTTGAGGAGGAATGAACCCTAACAATAACACGCATGCACTGCTAGTGATTTGGGGAGGTGGGATTTAGTTCTTGGTTGTACATACTCATGGAGGATAAGGCTGTCAGCGAGTCATGATGGCTGTCAAAGACAGTTGCTGAGAACATTCCTGCATTGCAGTGGGTTGGACTAGATGACCCACCGGGTCCCTTCTATGAGCAGGAGAGGGCTATTGCGTTCATATCATCCTTATGGGCTTCCCATAGGCATGTGGCTGGCCACCGAAAGAACTGAATGCTAGACTAGATAGACCTTTGGTTTCATCCAGCGAGGGCTTTTCTAACGTTCTTCCCAGCATGAGAACTGGGAGGCTGTCAGGATGGGGTAGGTTTCCTTCTTTTCGTTTTGCTGAGTCTTGGGTGTGGGAATGCTGATATGTGGTTGGTGTCTGGGTTTCCTTACCACTGGTTTGACTGAAGGTCTTCAGTAGTCCCACCATTAGAGGCCCGTTATAGAGGAAGGTCCATAGCTCAGTGGCAAGAGCATCTGCTTTGCATGCAGAAGGTCCTGGGTTCAATCCCCAGCGTCTCTGGGTAGGGTTGGTAATGTTTGAAATCCAGGAGAGCTGCTGCCTGCGTGTGTGGACAATACTGAGCTATTACTATTATTATTAATATTATTTATTATTATTATTAAAATTATATTATCATTTGTTAAATGTATATGCCGCCATTCATCAAAAGATCTCAGGGTGGTCCTACAGAATAAAATACAAGTAAATAATTAAACAAAAACAACAAAACAGTAACACCCCCTTCCCACAGATACATTTAAAAGGCAGTAGGATATTAATCAGCCAAAGACTGTCAGTGAACATATTTATTTGCATTACTTAGTGCTTTAAAACTACTGGTGCAGCCCAGGACGGCAAAACAAGGCCAATATTCCGGAAATCCTTGTCTAGACTCTGTGAAAGGATTTTGTGGAACTGTAACAACCTTACATGTGGATTGTTTGGACTTTATGAACAGACAGGTGGAATAGACACCATTACACGGATGGACCTTATGCATGAACTGACTAGAGAATGATCTAATCCACTGGGTCTTCTGCTTTGTTCGTTTGTTGAACTTTATGAGTCACTTCTGTTGAAATTTACAGTTTTATACAATGAATAGTATACCTTAATTATCTAAGAACACAGCTAGTTACGTCTCGTGTGATTATTGAATATGTCAGTGAACATAAAGCAGCTTCGGGTATTCCAGGGCAGCGCGTGATCATCCCCCTGCTGCAACGCATCACAGGTTAGCTTTTGCCTGTAAGAGTTCAGGTGCCCTGTTGCTTAATTTGGAATCCCAGCTTGCCCATGATTTGTATTTGCTTCTATCTTGCCTTTCTCGGATGTATTTATTTATCTTACTATTTCTGTGGAGATCTGGATACCGCAGGCCCCTGGGCGGCTGTGCCAGGACCCCACTCAACTGCCCCAGTTGCAAAAGCCTTGGAAGAGGCAGAAGGGAGTAGTGGTAGGAGAGAGGAAGAGAGTGAGCCCCAGAGGACGGGGAAGGAGATTTGTCAGGAGCCAGCCAGGAACCTGGGAAGCCTGCAGTCGGGCTTGTCTTCTGCCAGTTGAAGAGAGTGCTTAGCCAGCGGAGAGGGGAAATCTATCTGCTGAGGGAAAAGCAAGTTGGCTGCCTTTAGAGGGCACTCCTGTTTAGCATTAGAACAAATTGAGGCTTCTGGGCGCAAGCAAAGCCCGAACAGGGGATAAGACAACAGGATGGGCCTTGTCTGCATTGTATATAGTTAAACCAGTACTGCATCACTTTAAACAGTCATGGCTTCCCCCAAAGAATCCTGGGAAACGCAGTTTAAGGGTTGTTTAGGAAACCTCTGTTCTCCTCATAGAGCTACCATTTCCAGAGTTCCTTGCAAAGTCAAGTTGATTGTTAACCCACTCTGAGAACTGCCTGAGAGATGTTAGGAGACCCCGATTCACCTTGTCCCTAAACCAGCAGAGGTATTTTTGCTGTGGCGGTTTTTACAGATTTGTAAACCTTGCCACAGCCAAGAAACTATTGAAGTGGTGTGCCATAAGACAAAACGAGATAAAATATGAAAACAATAACACTGTTTCTGTTGCTGTATGATTAATATTCCATCAAATCACCAGATCAAACTTTCTTACACAAAAAAGGCTTCTGTAGCTGCCTAAACATCAAGATGACAGGTTCCTGCCTCTGATTTTGGCTTGGAAATGACTGCAGAAAGAGTCCTGCTCTTCAGAAAAAGTGTGTCAGGGCTTATACTGTGTTCAGGCTGACTGAACGGAGGAGAGTTTACAATTTTGGTCCTGCTTTTCAGCTCAAAAGTTGAAAATGATGGGAGCTGTAGTCCTGCGGCATCCGGGAGGCCTCCTTGACCCACCCTACCCCACCCCACCCTCAAGCTTTCCAAACTTTTCATGTTGGTGACACACTTTTTAGATATGCATCATTTCACAACATGATAATTCAGTTTGACTAGCAAACCGGAGGTTAAAGTCACCCTTTTCCAGCCCCCGGCGGAGCATGGGGAGCGTTTGCGTGACGCACCTACACACTGCAGCCGGTACACTTAACATGTTGCGACACAACATTTGGAAAATTCTGTCTTATCAAGAGGAAGGGCGAGTGCCGCCTGTTGACTTTTTGCAGTATGGTAGCGCTGCAGAGAGCTTGCTGGGGAGACCATGCATTAAAAAGGGACTCAAAAATAACTTAAACAAGGTTTTAATAAGAAAAACAAAAACTCCTTTTACACTAAATACATTAACAAACAAACATGACCCAACCACCAACCCATCCCCCAGGGTAATGGGAGAGCTAGGTGCTGCTCCTTATATACTACACCCAATTGCCAACACAGCTTAATCAGTACAACTCGGCAGCACCTGCTATGTTTCACAGCTGTAAAGCTGGGTCTCGTTATCTTGCTCTGGCCCTTGCTTTGGCCCCTTAAAGACATACACATCGGGTGGAACAGTGATGAACCTTTACATTTAAAGAAACCATTCAACATTTCCCCTGCGGTTCATCATTGTGGAACAAAAACATAAAGCATACTTTGTACATGTTTTTCATGTATACCTTTTGGAAGTGCTTTAGTAAAAATGTCTGCAATTTGATTGTCACCTGGAACATATTTAAATACAACCATTTCATCAGCAATTAGTTTCTTTACAAACTGTAAACGTAATCTTAAGACTTTAGTGCGCTGCGTATTGGTTTCTGAACATAGGATAGCGAGTCCACTCTGGGAATCAAGGTAAACTTTTACTGGTAGTGTTACTTGCATCTGTAGGTCTGCGAATACTTGCAGATACCATTCCACATCACGAGTGGCCTGAACACATGCACATAATTCACTCTCTGTTGTGGAGAGACAAATAATGGTTTGTGTCTGGGACTTCCATTCAAATGGACAACCATTATAACAAAACACCATACCAGACACACCCCTGCAATTATTTTGTTCCACTGCATGAGATGCATCACAGAAAATTTCAAAACCTTTGTCAATACATGTTGTAAACTGCAACCTATAATGTTTGGTATGTTTAAGGTACATTACCACTCTCTTAAGAGCAGAGAAACATTGTGTAGTGGGCTTTTCCACAAATTTTGCCAGAAAGTGAAAGGCATAAGTTATATCTGGTCTTGAGATTCTTTGAATGAAATTTAGCTTGCCTATAGCAGAACGATACAAAGTTTTGTTAGGAAATGGCTTATCTTCACCTGTAAAAGTGAAACCACACACCATGGGCGTTTCCTTCCCATTTGCATTTTCTAAACATAGCATTTCAACAAGATCGTCAATTTTTGCAGTTTGATGAACCAGAAAAGATCCATTTTTGCCTTTCTCAATTTGCATGGATAAGTAATTTTTAGCTATGCCTAATTCCACCACATCAAATTTCTTCTGTAACTGTGTTACTACCTGTTCATATTCCTGTTTAGTTTTTGTAGAAATTAACACGTCATCTACATAGACACATATTTTTGCTACAGAGTTTGCCCTTTCCTTTATAAACACACAATTGTCTGCCTTTCCCTGTGAAAAACCAATATCCAGCAATTCTTTTGCTAAAGTTTGGTGCCAGTTCCTTCCACTTTGGTGCAGACCATAAAGGGATTTATTTAATTTGCATACCAAACCTTCAGCGGCGTCTATGCCTTCAGGGACACGCATAAAAATTTGTTCTTTTAAATCTGCAAACAAATATGCAGTTTTTATATCTAGGTGATAAACAGAATGTCCACGTTGTGATGCATCTTTTAACAAAAGCTTAACTGTTTCATATTTTACACTTGGTGAATAACACAAATCATAATCTTCGCCTGGAATTTGTTGAAAACCCCTAGCAACTAATCTTGCCTTGTACCTTACAACTTCATTTTTGTCATTCATTTTAACTCTATAAACCCATTTTGAATCAATAAGTCTCATATCTGGGGTTTGTGGTACAAGAGACCAAGTGTTATGCTCTTTTAAAGAAGCTATTTCAGAGTTCATAGCTTTATACCAATTTACAGCTTGGTGCTTAGGTAAATTCTGAACATCATTGTAGCTTTTTGGCTCAAAAACTGCCTTATTGGCATACACAGTATTAAAATGTTCATCTGCAAAACGTTGTGGCTTCTGTCTCTTTCTATCTGAACGTCTCAGTCCGGAAGGAGAGTCAGACTCCTCAGACTTAATGGGACTATGTAAACTACTAGTTTCAGGTTGTAAATCATCATTGTCAGACTGAAGAGATGCCTGTTGGCTAAGCTCACGGTCAGAAAACTCAAGAGAATCTAACCTCCCCTCGGGTGCCTGTGACTTTAAATCATCAAAGAAATTATCAGATTCAACAGGCTTTTTGTCTTCTTCCATTAATTCAGAAGCACCATTTCCTGCTGCTGCTGCTGCTTCTTCTACCTCTTCTTCCTCAGTATTATCTATACCATTACTATCTTGGAAAACAGCAACACCATTCCAATTTACAGTTTGTATCATGCTTCTGGTAATATGAAATTTGCCAGTTGCTGGTATGTAAATTCTGTACACCCCTGCTGGTAGCCCATTAATTTTCCCTGGACACTACGTTCACCCAATTTCTGCTTAGCGGGATAATGCATTATTACATCTGAACCCCAAATGCGTAGGTATTTCAGATTAGGGCGTTTTTAAACAGCTTCTCATAGGGGTGACATCTAAACCAGAATGATAACTGCGATTTCTAACATAACAAAAGGCATTGAGCGCTTCAGCCCAAAAGTCTTTGGGCAGATTAGCATCATGCAGATAAGTTTTAACCCCTGCCTGCAGGTCACGCTGCACAACTTCAACAAGCCCATTTTGCCAGGGACTTCGGGGCAAGATAACTCATGAGTAGTCCCCTGCGCTTCCAGGAATTTCTCAAAATCCTCAGAAACAAATTCCCCGCCCCTGTCAGAAAAAAGGTTCTTAATAGGTTTGTTAAAATGTGTTTTTACCCAGTTGCAAAAAACTTTGTACTTCTCAAATGCTTGGGACTTCTCAGCTATTGCATAAGTCCAACAATATCTACTATACTGGTCTATCAGGGTAAGCCAGTACTTAGAACCTCCTAAGGATGGTGGGAGTGGCCCAACTAAATCACAATGTACACGCTCAAATGGCTCAGTTACTTTCCTATCTGAGCACCTACCCTTACGTGCAACCTTAATCTTATTCTTGCAACAGGATAGACATTGCATAAAGAATTTACATGGTTTTAAGTTGAGGCCATTAACAATATTCTTGGTCTTAATTACATCAGCAAAATTCAGATGTCCCAGAATTCTGTGCGCCTCATGGACACACCCAGAATGTGGCCTTACATTCCTCAACCCCTGGCTTGACTGTGCTGCTCTGCAATTTATAGGCGATTGGGAGTAGGTGCGAAAATACAGTCTATATAAACCATCAGATTCCCGGGCATACAATAGACGTTTGTTCCCCTCGAAAAACTCACACATTGACTTTAAGAAACGCACAGTTATGCCTTGACGAGCAAAACACCTTACTGACAATAAATTGTCCACTGATGGGCAGTAAATGCAGTTCGCTATAGTAATGTTTAAAGAGTCAAGTTTAACAGTACCCCTGCCAAGCGACTGCAAGACTTGTGAATTGGCTAAATGTACATTACCAATTTCCTCTTCAAAGAAATAAACAAGCTTCGATCGTTGCAAACGTGCTGAGATGCTCCTGAGTCCACAATAAAAGAATTCCACTTGGCACCTTTAATTCTTTTACGATCTCTTGTGCTAGCGTGAAAAGCTCGCGGCTCGTTTCTGTCTTTACGGTACGATGCCGGCTGCTGAGCTGACGACCGTGACTGACGAACAGAAACAGACTTGGGAGTACTTTGCTTTCTTTTGGATCTGCAGTCCTTTGCAAAATGTCCTTGCTTATTGCAGAACCAACAACGCTTTGCAGCTTTAAATGCAGTTGTATCACCACAAGTTTGCATATGGCGTTCCTCATTCTTTCTGGAAATAGGAGTGCTTATGGCACAAGCCTCCCTTCTGTCCAACTCGCCCATTAATCTTGCCGTTACCCCTTCCACAGTTAATTGTGCTGGTGGAATGGCAGATATCTGGCTAGCTATACCATCAAAGTCCTCATTAAGGGAACAAAGGATGATGAAAACATACTGAGTATCAGGTATCTCCATGTCCCTTTGAATTAATTCGCAGCGTATTGCCTCCAGACGTCTCAAGTGTGCTGCCAAATCACCACCAGGCTGCAACTTTGTCTGGTACAGCTGCTTGAAAAACGTCAATGCAGACGCTGACTCTTTTCTAACATGCACTGCTGCAAGACTGTCCCACATTTCTTTGGCAGTTTTCTTATTCCTTATATAGACTACTTGCTGGTCGCTGACTGCCAAATTAATTATCGCCCTGGCTTTCGCATCTCCTTTCGACCAAGCATTAGTCACAGGGTCAGGAGGGTCATCAGTTACATAGGTCCATACTTCTCTAGAGGTCAAAAGCGCCTCCACCCGAAAAGACCATAAACTATAGTTCTCATCTGTCAGCTGTGGGAAGACCAGAGCCTTCTCAGCTTCAGGAACCCGGTCAACCATTCTGGAACTCTTCCAGACCCACAGAACTACGCTAACAGGAGAAGGAGTTTTCAAACCTTTCTCAGAGTCCAAAAATATGCAGTCATCCACTCAGCAGCTGGGCCCATAACCAAAGATGTTGACTTTTTGCAGTATGGTAGCGCTGCAGAGAGCTTGCTGGGGAGACCATGCATTAAAAAGGGACTCAAAAATAACTTAAACAAGGTTTTAATAAGAAAAACAAAAACTCCTTTTACACTAAATACATTAACAAACAAACATGACCCAACCACCAACCCATCCCCCAGGGTAATGGGAGAGCTAGGTGCTGCTCCTTATATACTACACCCAATTGCCAACACAGCTTAATCAGTACAACTCGGCAGCACCTGCTATGTTTCACAGCTGTAAAGCTGGGTCTCGTTATCTTGCTCTGGCCCTTGCTTTGGCCCCTTAAAGACATACACATCGGGTGGAACAGTGATGAACCTTTACATTTAAAGAAACCATTCAACACCGCCACCACTGTACCAATGAGACACAGCACAAATGCTCTTCACAGTCCTGAGAAAACCCTTCAATCCCTCAGAAAAAAAACTTATTAATGTATGTGACAACAGCGGCTTGGATTTTGTTCGCCCCCAAATGGAGGGTGAGTGAGGTCCCTGGTAAGGAGGGCTGGCAATTTAAGATGATAGAATATTCAGAGTTAGCAGGCCTAGCAAGTAGAATAAGAGAGCAAGAAGAACAGGTCTTTAAAGAGGAGTGGAAATTTTTTGTTGAGAATGTGGGGAATAATTGAAAACGCCGGCAAGTACTAAGGTAAATTCAACAGTGCAACATACCGTATTTTTCGCCCCATAGGGCGCACCTAGTTTTTTGGGGGGGAAATAAAGAAAAAAAATTTTATTTCTCCCCCCAGGCGCGGGGCTGGGGCGGGGGAAGCCCGAGCTTCCCCCGACCCCAGCCCCCAGAACAGGCTGCTATCCGCAAGCCATGGAAGAGCTGCGCGAAGCCCGAAGCCTGGGGGGCGCTGAGCTCAGTGCGCCCCAGGCTTCTGGGTGCAGGCAGCTCTCCGCAAGAGGTGGGAGAGATGCACGAAGTCGCGCAGCTCTCCCACGGCTTGCGGATAGCTTCCTGAAGCCTGGAGAGCGAGAGGGGTCAGTGCGCACCGACCGCTCTCCAGGCTTCAGCGAAAGCTTGCATTCGCCCCATAGGACGTACACACATTTCCCTTCATTTTTGGAGGGGGAAAAGTGCGTGCTATAGGGTGAAAAATACGGTATTTAAAAGGCATGTAAAAATGGGGGGGGGACTAATTCAGATGGATATGCAAGAATATGCAGGAATTGTGGGATAATTGAAAGAACGTTGGAAGGGGAAGGAGGGAAGTCATTGAATGTATGGGTATAATGAAAGGTTTTATTTTATTCTTTGGTAGGTTTATGGATGTATACTTTTCTTTTTGTAAACCTACCAATCAATAAATAAATTTTAGAAAGGGGCAAGGTTAGAAGTAGATGCACAAACCATATTTTTTTTTAAAGGAAGGCTCCTTTTTTTCTGCCCTGCGCTCTGTCTGCACCTCAGACCCAATGTGTCAGGCAAGACGGGGCCTCTGTGGCGGCATCGCCTCTTCCTTGCCCACTCTCCAGCAGCCACTACAAGCTGCCCAAGGGAGGAGAGGCAACGGGATGCTCCCTTGCCACTGCTGCCCCTTCTCAGGACAAGCGCTAGCCTCCTTGAGCTTGGTTGTGGCATCACTTGTGGGGGAAATAGAGACATTCCAGGATCAAATCAGAAGCACTGATTTTCCAGCACTGTCCCTGGAAAATAGGGGCACATTTGGAGGGTATGCAATCTGTAGCCTCCACAGACACACTGGGCCAACTGCTGCTGTGTTTTCTGCGTTTGCAGAAAATATGTGTCAATGCTCGGCCCACCACATGGCAGCATGGCCTGCTTTCCTATGTGGTTGGAGCTGTCGTGTGGAAAGGGGTCGGCTTGTTTCTGCCGTGAGAAGAGGTTGTGGTTGTGGTTGGAGGCGCAGAGCGTTTTGCTTGCTCGCGATAGTGCACCCTGGGGACCGATAGCTTTGTTTAGTCGTTTAGTCATGTCCGACTCTTTGTGACCCCATGGACCCGAGCACGCCAGGCACTCCTGACTTCCACTGCCTCCCACAGTTTGGTCAGGCTCATGTTTGTAGCTTCGAGAACACTGTCCAACCATCTCGTCCTCTGTCGTCCCCTTCTCCTTGTGCCCTCCATCTTTCCCAACATCAGGTCTTTTCCAAGGAGTCTTCTTTCCAGTAAGAGCTGTTCGACAGTGGAATTTGCTGCCAAGGAGTGTGGTGGAGTCTCCTTCTTTGGAGGTCTTTAAGCAGAGGCTTGACAACCATATGACAGGAGTGCTCTGATGGTGTTTCCTGCTTGGCAGGGGGTTGGACTCGATGGCCCTTGTGGTCTCTTCCAACTCTATGATTCTATGATTCTCTTCTCATGAGGTGGCCAAAGTATTGGAGCCTCAACTTCACGATCTGTCCTTCCAGTGAGCACTCAGGGCTGATTTCCTTAAGAATGGATAGGTTTGATCTTCTTGCAGTCCATGGGACTCTCAAGAGTCTCCTCCAGCACCATAATTCAAAAGCATCAATTCTTCGGCGATCAGCCTTCTTGATGGTCCAGCTCTCACTTCCATACATCACTACTGGGAAAACCATGGCTTTAACTATATGGACCTTTGTTGGCAAGGTGATGTCTCTACTTTTAAGATGCTGTCTAGGTTTGCCATCGCCTTTCTCCCAAGGAGCAGGCGTCTTTTAATTTCGTGACTGCTGTCACCATCTGCAGAGATCATGGAGCCCCAAAAAGTAAAATCTCTCACTGCCTCCATTTCTTCCCCTTCTATTTGCCAGGAGGTGATGGGACCAGTGGCCATGATCTTCGTTTTTTTGATGTTGAGCTTCAGATCATATTTTGCGCTCTCCTCTTTCACCCTCATCAAAAGGTTCTTTAATTCTCCTCACTTTCTGCCATCAAGGTTGTGTCATCTGCATATCTGAGGTTGTTGATATTTCTTCCGGCGATCTTAATTCCTGCTTGGGAATTAGCCTTTCGCATGATGAATTCTGCATATAAGTTAAATATAAGGACCATCGGCTGGGTGAGGACTGCAGGGCCTGCTCCCTTCCAGGGCCTTTTCCAACTGGCCCAGGCCCTCTCTCCCAGCTATAAAGGGACTCCTGCTGCGGGGAAGCCTCGGACCATCGGCTGGGTGAGGACTGCAGGGCCTGCTCCCTTCCAGGGCCTTCTCCAACTGGCCCAGGGGGCATGGCCCAGGCCCTTATTTGGAACAAACTTTTGGGGAAGTGTGGGAAGTGTTCTGCCATTGCTTCCCTGTTCCAGGTGGTTAATGTGCTTTAAAATGTCCTCAAGCAGTTGGTGGCAATTTAAATTTTTGTTTCTTTTTTTCCTTTTTTCCTTTGTTGGGGGTGGGTGGGTGGGATGGATATTTGGTTGGGGATTAATTTTAGTATAATTGTTCTGTTCCTTTTTGTTGTTGTTGTTTTATTGGTTCTGTATAGTTTGTGTTTTGTTTTTAAGGGGTGGGATCAGGGCTGCCTGGGAGTGGCTCCCCAGCCAACACGATGGCTGGGACAAGTTCCACAGGGGGGAAGCACTGGGACATCCGATCTCAGTGATCATGGGCAGGAGGCGGAGTTACGCTAAGACCAGACTATGTCATTACCGAGGAGGCAGGTTTAGTCGTTGTTTGAAGACTATCCCTGCCTCCGGGTCTGGCCTTGACCGGATGGATACTGGAATCAACAAGGGAAACCCACATGACCTGAAAGTGTTGCTGTGCAATGCCAGGTCAATGATGAATAAAACCACTGCCATCCACGACTTGATTGTGGATGGAGGATTTGACCTGGCATGTGTGACAGAGACCTGGTCGGAGGAAGCAGATGGGCCTGTCCTTGCCGCTGCTTGCCCACCAGGTTTCTCTTACGCACAGCAACCCAGGTCATGTGGGCGGGGAGGGGGGGTTGCAGTGATTTTTAGGAAGTCACTAGCTTGCACCAGGCGTCCTACTGGGAAGATCCAGTTCTCTGAGTGCATGTTCTGGAAGTTGGGTAATAGGGGCAGTACAGGATTCCTTTTTTTTTTTTTTTATAAGATATTTATTGGTTTTACAAAAAAAAATTCCAAAAGATGCAAAAATACAAAAATTCAACAAACAGAAAACAACAATAACAATGACAAAAAGCAAACAGAGATAACAATATCCATAACAAAGAAAGAAAAAAGAAAAAAAGAAAAAGAAACAGAAAAGTTTAAAAGATATTATACTTTCATTTAGCCTTCTTATCTTTACCTAGTTCTTTGACTTCCCCGCATCTCCCCGCTTGTATTTCCATTTAAGAACTCCTTTCAGCAAATCCTTACCCTCCTTTCTTTATCTTAACTCAAAAAACTTAATCTATTTATATATAAATATTTTTACAACCTTATCAATCAAATATTCCATGCTCTTAATCACAAGGCTTTTGCCAATACCAGTTATTTTCAATCAGACCTCAATTTAACATTCATTAATTTTATAGTATTTCTGTAGATAGTCTTTAAATTTCTTCCAATCTTCTTCCACCGACTCTTCTCCCTGGTCACGGATTCTGCCAGTCATCTCCGCCAGTTCCATATATTCGATTACCTTCATCTGCCATTCTTCCAGAGTGGGTAAATCTTGTGTCTTCCAATACTTTGCGATGAGTATCCTTGCTGCTGCTGTTGCATACATAAAGAAAGTTCTGTCTTTCTTTAGCACCAATTGGCCAACAATGCCCAAGAGAAAGGCCTCTGGTTTCTTTAGAAAGGTATACTTAAATACCTTTTTCAACTCATTATATATCCTTTCCCAGAAGGCCTTAATCTTTGGGCACGTCCACCAAAGGTGAAAGAATGTACCTTCAGTTTCCTTACATTTCCAACATTTATTATCGGGCAAATGGTAGATTTTTGCAAGCTTGACTGGGGTCATGTACCACCTGTACACCATTTTCATTATATTCTCTTTTAAAGCATTACATGCTGTAAACTTCGTACCTGTGGTCCATAACCGTTCCCAGTCAGCAAACATAATGTTATGTCCAACATCCTGTGCCCATTTAATCATAGCAGATTTTACCGTTTCATCCTGAGTATTCCATTTTAGCAGCAAGTTATACATTCTTGAAAGTGTTTTAGTTTTGGAATCTAGCAGTTCTGTTTCCAACTTTGATTTTTCCACCTGGAAGCCAATTTTTCTATCCAAATTATAGACCTCTCTTATTTGGTAATAATGCAACCAGTCTCGCACTCTATCTTTTAATTTTTCAAAACTCTGCAATTTGAATTTGTCTCCTTCTTGTTCCAAGATCTCCCAATATTTTGGCCACTTGGCCTCCATATTGGACTTTTTTAGAGCCTTTGCCTCCATTGGTGATAGCCACCTTGGGGTTTTATTCTCCAATAAGTCTTTATATCTTATCCAGACATTGAACAATGCTTTCCTGACAATATGGTTTTTAAATATTTTGTGAGCTTTAACCTTGTCATACCACAAATATGCATGCCACCCAAACACATTATTGAAACCTTCTAAGTCCAAAACATCAGTATTTTCCAGAAGTAACCAATCCTTCAACCAGCAGAAAGCTGCTGATTCATAATAAAGTTTAAAGTCTGGCAGGGCACATCCCCTCTTTCTTTAGCATCAGTCAATATTTTAAATTTTATCCTGGGCCTCTTGCCCTGCCAGACAAACTTAGAAATATCTCTCTGCCACTTCTTAAAACAGTCCATTTTGTCTATTATTTGTATCGATTGAAACAAAAACAGCATTCTTGGCAATACATTCATCTTGATGACAGCAATTCGACCTAACAAGGAAAGCTTCAAATTTGTCCATATTTCTAAATCCTTTTTAATGTCCGACCAACACTTTTCATAATTGTCTTTAAATAAATTCCCATTTTTAGCTGTCATATGAATCCCCAGATATTTCACTTTTTTTACCACTGTTAAACCTGTCTCATTCTGAAACCTCTCTTTTTCAATCGGTGTTAAATTCTTCTCAAGTACTTTAGTTTTAAACTTATTCAGCTTAAAACCTGCCACCTGACCAAACTCTTGAATCAGTTCTAATGCTCTTTTCGTACTAGATTCTGGCTCCTGTAATGTCAGTACAAGGTCATCTGCAAATGCTTTCAGTTTATATTGTTTCGCTCCGACCGTTATGCCCTTAATCAGATGGTCCCTTCTTATCATATTTAACAAAACCTCCAGAACAGAAATAAAAAGTAATGGGGAAATTGGGCAGCCTTGTCGTGTCCCTTTCTCTATCTTAATTTCCTCTGTTATCACATTATTAACTATTAATTTAGCTTTTTGTTCTGAATAAATTGCATTTATACCATTTTCAAACTCTTGGCCTACCCCCATCCCCTGAAGATTTTTCTTCATAAAACTCCAAGAAATATTGTCAAAGGCTTTCTCTGCATCCACAAAAATCAAAACTGCTTTAGTATTGATCTCCTCTTGCAGCTTCTCCAGAATATCAATTATGTTCCTTGTGTTGTCCGAAAGATGTCTATCTGGAAGAAAGCCAGCTTGGTCCTTGTGAATCACTCCTTTTAGCACTTTTTAAGCCTTTTTGCTAAAATGTCAGCAAAAATTTTGTAATCCACATTTAACAGGGATATGGGCCGGTAGTTCTTAAGCTGTGTCTTTTCAGTCTCAGCCTTTGGTATAAGTGTAATAAATGCGTCTTTCCACGACTCTGGCGCTCTTTTCCCCTCTAAAATTTCATTACAAACCTCAGTTAATGGTCGAATTAACCAGTCTTTCAAAGTTCTGTAATATTTTGAGGTTAAACCATCCGGTCCTGGAGATTTTCCCAACTGCATATTCTGAATGGCACCTTCAACCTCCTGTTCTGTAATTTTATAATTCAACAATATCTTGTTATCCTGAGAAATTTTTTGTAATCCATTGGTTTTCAAAAATTGCTCTATCTCAAATTCTTTCTGAGGCCCTTGTGTGTATAATTGTTTAAAATATCTCTGGAAGCATTTCCTAATTTCTTCTGGATTCTGGATATTTTTCCCTTCCACTTCCAAATTAGTAATAGTATTAAGTTTTTGTCGTTTCTTCAACTGCCAAGCCAGCAGTTTCCCACATTTATTTGCCGATTCAAAAGTCTTTTGTCTCATTTGTTTAATTTTCCATTCCACTTCTTGATTTATCAATTTCATATATTGCACTTGGTACAATTTTATTTCCCTCAGAATCTCTTGTGAATTGGGCTTCACTCTCAATTTCTTCTCGCCCTCCTTTATTTTTTCCAGAATTTTTTCTTTCTTTACGTTTTGGGCCTTCTTCTTAATTGAATTCTGTTGAATCAGGAAGCCCCTCATAACAGCTTTACTTGCATCCCAGATTACTCTTTTTTCTACAGTTGTATTCAAGTTTATCTCAAAATAGTCCCTCAATGTCTTTTGGGCCTTCTTAATCACCTCTTGATCTCTAAACAAGGTGTCATTCATCCTCCATCGGAAGGAACCAATAGATGTTAACTTCATCTCCATTCTCACGGCGTTATGGTCGGAGCATGTTTTTGGGCAGATCTCTACCTTCTTAACCTTGGGTGCCAGTCCTCTAGTAGTCCAGATTTGGTCAATTCTTGTCCATGTCTTTTGGGCTTCAGAAAAGAAGGTTCCTTCTCTATCAAGGGGATTCTTAGTTCTCCAAATGTCAATCAAATCCATATTGTCAGTTAGTTCAAAGAATGTTTTCGGTAGTCTACCATCTTTAGTAACTACCTCTCTTTGTGACTTGTCCATATTTGTAGAAACCACCCCATTCATATCTCCCATGAAAACAGTGTTATAGTCCATATAGTCCATCAAGGTCTCATGCAACTTTTTGTAAAATATAGATTTCCCCTCATTTGGTGCGTATACACCTACTATCAAAAATTTTTCTCCTTGTACTTGAATTTCAATTGCTATAAACCTTCCTTGTTGATCCTTAAAGACAAATTTTGGTGAGAGGCTCTCCTTTGCGTAAATTACCACTCCTCGTTTTTTAACTTTGTCTGATGAAATAAATTCTTGGCCCAGTCTCTTATTAATCAATATTTTCCTGTGAAGCCTCATCACATGGGTTTCCTGTAAGCAAATTAAGTCCAATTGTTCTTTTTTAAGTATATGAAATACTTTCCTCCTTTTTTCCGGAGAATTCAGGCCACAAACATTCCAAGTTAAAAGTTGCAGAGCCATGATGATTTCTTTATTTCCCTCCAACTGCTCCCAATAACTCTTCTTCCTCTGTTGGTGGTTTCACCTTCTCTGTCTTATCCTCTCCCAACGGTGGTAGTGTAAGATCCAATCCTGTTAAAGGGGCTTCTGGCTCCAATCCTTTTTGTAGGTCCTCTTGGTAGTCTCTCAAAAAGTTCTGTTTCTCCTCCACAGATTTTATTTTAATTTTCTTGCCTTTAAAACTGAAAGATAGGCCTTGAGGGAACTCCCACCTGAAAAAAATTCGATTTCCTCTCAGCAACGTCACCAGGTCCCGATAGTTAGACCTAAGCTCCAAAAGGAGCTTTGGAATGTCTTTGAATATTTCTATCCTTGAGTCTTGTATTGTCAGTGTATTTCGATAATGTAGGCTCAAAATTTTATCTCGTTCCTCTTTTGATCGCAAGGTAATCAGGCAGTCTCTCACTCTATTTTTTCTTGCTCTTCTTCCAAGCCTAAAAGCAGACGTTATCTTAAAATCTTCCTTATCATTCAATTGCCAAAAATTGGCAAATTCTTGTGTCAAAAAGTCTGCCAGGCTCTCTTTCTCAATCTCAGGTACTGCTCTGATCCTTAAATTGGTCTGTTTCTCCTTTAACTCAAGGACAGATAGCAGTTCCTGGTGCGTTCCCAATCTTATATGGTGCTCTTCAACTTGTTTAATTAAAGGTGGTAATTTTTCTTCAGCAGCTACCGCCTTTTCTCTAGCTTCCAAAGCTGTTTTTTGGGTTCCTTTTGGTGAACCGACCTCCCCACTTCACCAAGGATTCCCTGTCCGAGCTGCTTCAGGTCGTGGCGGATTTTCTCCTGGAGACACCTAGTTTGGTTGTCCTAGGGGATTTTAACATCCATGCCGACACGACCTTACAAGGGGCTGCTCGGGACTTCGTGGAAAGCATGGCCTCCATGGGGCTGTCCCTGAATAAGTTTGGCCCAACTCATAGTCATGGACATGCCTTAGACCTGGTGTTCACCTCTAGTGACGTGGGTGATCTGACACTAAGTAAAAGTGAAACAAAAGAAGTGCCATGGTCAGATCACTTCCTGGTGCAACTGGACTTCTCCGCGACCCTTACCCTCTGCAGGGAGGTGGGACCAATTCGGATGGTCCGCCCCCGCCACTTAATGGATCCAAATGGTTTCCATCGACCATAACATCCTTCTGGACCGTCTAGAGGAGCTGGGAGCGGGGGCACTGTTATACAGTGGTTTCGCTCCTTCCTCCTGGGCCGTGTTCAGAAAGTGGTGGGGGGGGGATGAGTGTTCAGACCCCTGGGCCCTCACTTGTGGGGTGCCTCAGGGTTCCGTCCTCTCCCCATGCTTTTTAACATCTATATGAAGCCGCTGGGAGATATCTTCTGGGGTTTGGACTGGGTGTCCATCAATATGCAGATGATACCCAGCTCTACCTCTCTTTCAAATCAGAACCAGTGAAGGCGGTGAAGGTCCTGTGTGAGTGTCTGGAGGCAGTTGAAGGATGGATGGCGGCTAATGGATTGAAGTTGAATCCTGACAAGACAGAAGTACTGTTTTGGGGGGACAGGGAGCGGGCTGGTGTGGAGGACTCGCTGGTCCTGAATAGGGTAACTGTGCCCCTGAAGGACCAGGTGCGCAGCCTGGGAGTCATTTTGGACTCACAGCTGTCCATGGAGGCGCAGGTCAATTCTGTATCCAGGGCAGCTGTCTACCAACTCCACCTGGTACGCAGGCTGAGACCCTACCTGCCCGCGGACTGTCTCGCCAGAGTGGTGCATGCTCTAGTTTTCTCCCGCTTGGACTACTGCAATGCGCTCTACGTGGGGCTACCTTTGAAGGTGACTCGGAAACTACAACTAATCCAGAATGCGGCAGCTAGACTGGTGACTGGGGGGCGGCCGCCGAGACCACATAACACCGGTCTTGAAAGACCTACATTGGCTCCCAGTACGTTTCCGAGCACAATTCAAAGTGCTGGTGTTGACCTTTAAAGCCCTAAACGGCCTCGGCCCAGTATACCTGAAGGAGCGTCTCCACCCCCATCGTTCTGCCTGGACGCTGAGGTCCAGCGCCGAGGGCCTTCTGGTGGTTCCCTCATTGCAAGAAGCAAAGCTACAGGGAACCAGGCAGAGGGCCTTCTCGGTAGTAGCGCCCGCTCTGTGGAACGCCCTCCCATCAGATGTCAAAGCGATAAATAACTACCTGACATTTAGAAGACATCTTAAGGCTTCAGGGAAGTTTTTAATCTGTGATATTTTACTGTATTTTTGGTTTCTATGGAAGCCGCCCAGAGTGGCTGGGGAAACCCAGCCAGATGGGCGGGGTACAAATAAATTATTATTATTATTATTATTATTATTATTATTATTATTAATAATAATAAGCAGGGAGACAATATACAGCTTTGTTGTACTCCTTTCCCAATTTTGAACCAATCAGTTGTTCCATATCCAGTTCTAACTGTTGCTTCTTGTCCCACATAGAGATTTCTCAGGAGACAGATGAGGTGATCAGGGACTCCCATTTCTTTAAGAACTTGCCATAGTTTGCCGTGGTCGACACAGTCAAAGGCTTTTGCATAGTCAATGAAGCAGAAGTAGATGTCTTTCTGGAACTCTCTAGCTTTCTCCATAATCCAGCGCATGTTTGCAATTTGGTCTCTGGTTCCTCTGCCCCTTCGAAATCCAGCTTGCACTTCTGGGAGTTCTCGGTCCACATACTGCTTAAGCCTACCTTGTAGAATTTTAAGCATAACCTTGCTAGCATGTGAAATGAGTGCAATTGTGCGGTAGTTGGAGCATTCTTTGGCACTGCCCTTCTTTGGGATTGGGATGTAGACTGATCTTCTCCAATCCTCTGGCCACTGCTGAGTTTTCCAAATTTGCTGGCATATTGAGTGTAGCACCTTGACAGCATCATCATTTAAAATTTTTAATAGTTCAGCTGGAATATCATCACTTCCACTGGCCTTGTTATTAGCAGTGCTTTCTAAGGCCCATTTGACTTCACTCTCCAGGATGTCTGGCTCAAGGTCAGCAACCACACTACCTGGGGTGTAATTCCTCTGTGTATTCTTGCCACCTCTTCTTGATGTCTTCTGCTTCTGTTAGGTCCTTTCCACTTTTGTCTTTTATTATGGTAATCTTTGTACGAAATGTTCCTTTCATATCTCCAATTTTCTTGAACAGATCTCTGGTTTTTCCCATTCTATTGTTTTCCTCTATTTCCTTGCATTGCTCGTTTAAGAAGGCCTTCTTGTCTCTCCTTGCTATTTTTTGGAAATCTGCATTCCATTTCCTGTATCTTTCACTATCTCCCTCGCATTTTGCTTGCCTTCTCTCCCCCGCTATTTGTAAGGCCTCGCTGGATAGCCACTTTGCTTTCTTGCATTTCCTTTTCGTTTTAGTTGCTGCCTCCTGTATAATGTTACTAGCCTCCATCCATAGTTCTTCAGGCACTCTGTCCACCAAATCTAAATCCTTAAACCTGTTCCTCACTTCCACTGCGTATTCATAAGGGATTTGACTTAGATTGTATCTTACCGGCTCAGTGGTTTTTCCTACTTTCTTCAGTTTAAGCTTGAATTTTGCTATAAGAAGCTGATGATCTGAGCCACAGTCCGCTCCAGGTCTTGTTTTTGCTGACTGTATAGAGCTTCTCCACCTTTGGCTGCAGAGAATATAATCAATCTGATTTCGATGCTGCCCATCTGGTGATGTCCATGTGTAAAGTCGTCTCTTGTGTTGTTGGAAAAGAGTGTTTGTGATGACCAGGTTGTTCTCTTGGCAGAACTCTATTAGCCTTTGCCCTGCTTCGTTTTGAACTCCAAGGCCAAACTTGCCAGTTGTTCCTTTTATCTCTTGACTCCCTACTTTAGCATTCCAATCCCCTATAATGAGAAGAACATCCTTCTTTGGTGTCATTTCTATAAGGTGTTGTAAGTCTTCATAGAATTGGTCAATTTCAGTTTCTTCAGCACCAGTGATTGGTGCATAAACTTGGATTACTGTGATGTTAAAAGGTCTGCCTTGGATTCGTATCGAGATCATTCTATCATTTTTGAGATTGCATCCCAGTACACCTTTCGCCACTCTTTTGTTGACTATAAGGGTCACTCCATTTCTTTTACGGGTTTCTTGCCCACAGTAGTAGATATGATGGTCATCTGAACTGAATTCACCCATTCCCGTCCATTTTAGTTCACTGATTCCCAGGATGTCAATATTTATTCTTGCCATCTCATTTTTGACCACATCCAACTTACCAAGGTTCATGGTTCTTACATTCCAGGTTCCTATGCAATATTTTTCTTTACAGCATTGGACTTTCCTTTCGCTTCCAGGCATATCCGCAACTGAGCGTCCTTTCGGCTTTGGCCCAGCCGCTTCATCAGCTCTGAATCTACTTGTACTTGTTCTCCGCTCTTCCTCAGTAGCATGTTGGACGCCTTCCAACCTGAGGGGCTCATCTTCCAGCGTCATAACTTTTATATGCCTGTTGCCTTTGTCCGTGGAGTTTTCTTGACAGGGATACTGGAGTGGCTTGCCGGTTCCTGCTCCAGGTGGATCACGTTTGATCAAAACTCTCCACTATGACCTGTCCATCTTGGGTGGCCCTGCACGGCATACCTCATAGCTTCTCTGAGTTATTCAAGCTCCTTCACCACGGCAAGGCAGTGATCTATGAAGGGGACCGATAGCTTAGCCGCTGTAATAGATTGAACTGGGAAAAGGAGAACACCGCTGAGCCGGTTATATCTTCAAAGTGGTGTAATTAATCAGATTAGGCTAATCTGGAGAAGACCACAAGGGAAGAACCTGGCGATTGGGCAGAATAATGGCGTATGAAATTCGGCTCTTGCTGATGTGATTTATGCAGTCGGCTGGGGTGAGGTCACACCGCTCAGAAACTTGCTTTCTCTTTGGCCCGTGGGAACTCCGGTTTGCATTGCGACACCTTCCGTGGAACTGTCGCCTGATTCTTGGTTGCGTAATCGTTTCCTGTGAATTTAGAAGCAGCTACTCTGTGCTTGACAAAACCCTTTGCATGTCCGTCCCCCCCCCCCCAATCTCCATTCGGTTCAGGCCGTGGACCGTTGAGTATGAAGTCAGCCTGCGACTTTGAAGCCAAGTGTCAGTGCAAAAGCAAGTCCTTATTTCTATACAGAATAGTGTGGGTGGGGAAACAACCTCTTTCAGCTCTGGCAGGCAACTTGTGGCAGGCATGTTGCAGCCTTCATTTTACCCTTCTCCCAAGCAAGAAGAGAGAGACAATGAATGAATGGTGGGAGAAAGAAGGGGTGCCTTGTCCACTTTTTGCTTTGCCCCAACAGCCACAGTGGACACACTGCATCCATATCACTTTCCCCCCTCTCCCCAGCGAAATGCAGCCCCCAACCTCAAAAAGATTGCTCACGGCCGACTTCCAGCTCTTTCGGTGATATGCTGTCCTATAAACGCTCCTTTTGTGCTCTCAGACATCTCGTAGGAAGCCTCCTTATGATTTTCTGTTTTTTAAAAAATAAAATAAAGAAATGGGAGAGAGGATTAGATAGAACAGTTTACTACCTTTCACCTTTCCATTGAAGGCAGTACTGCTGTCTCTGGAGGCTACTTCCTGATTGGGTAGTGCTGGCATAGGAAGACTGGAGCTGGATGGAAGACTTGGCTTAAAATAGGTTGAAAACACACACACACGCGCAGAGGCATCATGAAGTCCACAAAGCTGAACGGTGGAAGACATAGACCTGTATGTCCTGCCCAATGCGCCCAGTTGAAAAGGGCAAATGTCCACACAGGTCATCCTGAAATGACAATAGCCAGCTGAATGCTTTTTCTAGAAATTTTGGGCCAGTCGCCTTTTCCCTTTGGCCTTCCGCTGCTCTGTTTGTGTGCACAAGAGTTTCAAGTTGCTGTGTAGATCAGCAGAATCTTCTTGGTTAGGGTAGTATGCATACATATTTCTTAATATATAAACATCCTGTATACCGCGTGGGGTGGGAGTGCCGATGGGGAAATAAGACAAGCTGGAACGCAGCAGATCATTGTATGAGTAGAAACCTGCTCTGTGCCCCCTCTGACTGTTCGACGTGGATTGCTTGTGTGTCTTGTGTTTTCTAAATGCTTGTCAGACATTCCTGCCTCCCTGACCTAGGAAGTTGTCCCGCTTGCACAAGGACTTCTGTTTGTGCTGTCAAACGTTCCCTCCTTCTCTCCTCCCTGCGACCCCTACAGATCCACTGCAGAGGGGTAGGGGAGCCCCCAGAACAGATTCGGAGGGCACATGGTGGGGAGAAGGGCTGCAGTGGAAGTCCTTGCACAAACAGGATGACAGTTCTTTGGATGTGACACCCGCTTCCCATGCAACATGGGTGTTGCTTTAATCCAGGGCAAAAACGATCTGAGTGCTTTCTTCATAGAAATAATAGCATCACAGAGTTGGAAAGGGATGGCAGGGGGTCATCTAGTCCAAGCCCCTGCAATGCAGGAATCTTTTTGCCCCGCGTGGGGCTCGAACCCACAACCCTGAGGTTCAGAGTCCCATGCTCTGCAAACTGAGCTATCCTACCTGCTTCGTGTTTATTGCATGCGGCCTGTGTGTCATGAGCCCCATGGAAGCTTCTTGGCAGGGTGAAGAGGAATGGGATGGAAGTGCTGAGCTTTGATGGAGGGGAGGGACTGAGTAGTTTTTTCTGGACATCCTCCTCCTCGCCTCCTGATACTGCTGTTTCCGCAGCAACCAGGGAGGCACTTGGGCCTGGACCGGCTGGGTAGAGCTCACCTTTGTCTCCAAGGAGCTGCTGCCAGATGCTCAGGTTCTAACAGACCCAGCTTACTCTCAGGAGCGCCCTGCTTGCTTGCCTAGTCCCATTTCTTGGGACCCGAAATGTGTGAATCATTGGTCCCACCCTGCTCTTCAAAAGGAAGGGGGGTGTCCAATGCCTTGGCGTATGCCAGTCTGGACTTCTCCTGTGACTAATTGCTGTAGGTTCATGGCATCATTAAAGGTAAAGGGACCCCTGACCATTAGGTCCAGTCGTGGCCAACTTTGGGGTTGCGGTGCTCATCTCGCTTTATTGGCCGAGGGAGCTGGCGTACAGCTTCTGGGTCATGTGGCCAGCATGACTAAGCTGCTTCTGGCGAACCAGAGCAGCACACGGAAACGCTGTTTACCTTCCCCCTGGAGCGGTAGCTATTTATCTACTTGCAGTTTGACGTGCTTTCAAACTGCTAGGTTGGCAGGAGCAGGGACCGAGCAACAGGAGCTCACCCCGTCGCGGGGATTCGAACCGCCGACCTGCTGATCGTTAAGTCCTAGACTCAGTGGTTTAACCAACAGCGCCACCCGCGTCCCCATGGCATCATTAAGTTGGCATAAATTGATAAAAAGTATATGTCCCTCAACGAGCTATCTTGACCATGGTGCTAGTTCTTAAATTTAAAATGCTTAGAATTGAAATCTTAAGTTACAAATATTCAGTTCCGACACCTCTTTTTATGTTCTTGTTCTGAGCAAAGGAATTGCATATAATCGGTTTCTGAGCAGGGCTGTTTGTATTCCTTTCTGCTGCAGTCATGGCATGCAGGCGCAGAAAAGAAGTATTCACTGTCCTGGGAATTTCAGCTTTTCATCTTAAATATTTTAGCACTCAAGGTTGCAGGAAGAGAGCTGGAAATGCATCAGACTTGATGAAATTGGGGGGGGGGGGACTGGGGAAGGAATAGGGCTGCAGTTGAACAGGATTTTGAATCAATCCTGGAGATTGCTATCCTTTCCCCTACAACAGCAGAATAATAAATTGTGCAGAATGACATGCATATCCAAATATTATTAAACTGCATGAATGTATGCAGGTTGCAAGATTCTGTGTGTAAGTGGCATAGAGGGGTGAGAATATTTTCCCTCCCCCCCAAAAAATAATTGTGCAAAATACACACTTTCCTGCGTCCTGACAATGTAAAATGAACTTCAGAGCCATAATGTACAGTGGTACCTGGGGTTAAGTACTTAATTCGTTCTGGAGGTCTGTTCTTAACCTGAAACTGTTCTTAACCTGAAGCACCACTTTAGCTAATGGGGCCTCCTCCTGCTGCCGCCGCGTCGCCACCGCGCGATTTCTGTTCTCATCCTGAAGCAAAGTTCTTAACCCGAGGTACTATTTCTAGGTTAGCGGAGTCTGTAACCTGAAGCATCTGTAACTTGAAGTGTATGTAACCCGAGGTACCACTGTATACTAATGGCCAGTTGCTCAAGCGGTTTTTGAAGGGGCTTCAGCAAATTTGTGGCCCTCAGCCAACATAGTTCAATGGAACCTCCATGACCAAACATAGTGTAGCTTTCGAAATTGGTTGCTACAGAACAAAGTGTTTGTGGATGTCTTCACACCCGGCTGGCAGTGAGTTTCCCAGCTGTATCATGGGTCCCTCAGCCCCATCAGGATTTGGCATGGTTTGGCAGCCTCAGCCAGAAGGAGCAGATGGGGGGAGGGGGCTGGAAGTCTGGGACCCAGGCGTGGAGGAGAGCTGGAAACAAAGGGGCAGGATGCAGTCTTGTCGCTGAGAACCAGGCATCTAGGTGCGATCAGACGCGCTTACCCAGATCACAGTGCGTGTGTGTGTCTTTCGGCAGCAGACCTGTAGGGTGAGAGAGTCTCATGAGTGAGCAAGCACAGCCTCATCTTGAAATCCCTTGTGGGAGGGTGTTAGTCGTCAGCACATCTTTGTAGCTGCAGTTGGGTTAGGAACTTCTCGCCTTGCTCATTTACTTTCGAACAGGGTTAGAAACTCAGATATATAAACTAATATATAAGGCCCTGACACTGAGGTCCAGCTCCGAGAGCCTTCTGGCAGTTCTCTCACTGCGAGAAGTGAAGTTACAGGGAACCAGGAAAGTGGGCCTTCTCGGTAGTGGCGCCCTCCCATCAGATGTCGAGGAGATAAATAACTATACGACTTTAGATGACATCTGAAGGCAGCCCTGTAAAGGGAAGTTTTTAGTGCCTGGTGTTTTATTATGCTGTCATATTTGTTGGAAGTTGCCCAGAGTGGCTGGGGCAACCCTGTCAGTTGGGTGGGGTACAAATAATAAAATTATTATTATTAATCGTCAAATGGCACCTTAAACCTAGGTTACAGCCACCACAATGTCTAGGCGTCTTTTTTTTTGCAGTGGGAATGATGATGCTTAATAGAATCAGACCCCTCCATGTTGTTGTTGTTGTTGTTGTTGTTGTTGTTGTTATACATCTCTATATTTCTCATTTGTTTTACACTAAAATTTTAGGACCAGTTTTGTATATGTGTGTGTTTTATTAAATATTAAAAGACAGAAATTTACAGTACTTTCTGAAATCTTAATTTACCTAGGATGGACTGAACTTTTTTGCAATTCCTTTCATATGGAACAGGGAGCATGCTTGTTTTCTCCTGCTCTTGAGGGTAGGACTCAAGGCATTGCCTTCAAGTTACAACAAAGGAGATTCTAACTAAACATTCGGAAAAAAATTCTGACAGTAGGAACTGTTCAGCAGTGGAACGGACTCCTGTGAGAGGTGATGGACTCTCCTTCCTTGGGGGTTTTTAAGCAGAGGTTGGATGGTCATCTGTCATGGATGCTTTAGTTGAGATCCCTGCATTGCAGGGGGTTGGACTAGATGACCCTTGGGTCCCTTCCAACTCCTATGTTTTTATGAATTTTGGGCCAGTGGCTCTCTTAACTGGATAGCCTTTCTTAAAAACAACAACAACAACACATTAGCACCCATTTTACTCTCCATTCTCAGAATAACAATAAACATATTCCTCTCCCCACACAGGAGCATACATAAAGAAAAAAACTTAAAAACATTTGTATTGATTAGTCAAACCACTTCATCAGTAGAATAAAAATATCATTCTGCAGATCCTTGCAGGTTGCGGGTAGCCTATAACCATGCTTTTCCATTGCCGCATAATAAATAAATTTGTATCGTTGAGTAAAATGTATAATAATAATATTAATGATAATAATAATGATAATTTTTATTTATACCCCACCCTCCCTGGCCAAAGCTGGGCTCAGGGCGGCTAACACCAATAAAATCACAGTAAAAACGTAAGGGGGGGGGGGAGAAAAAAAAACAATTTAAAATGCAGGTTAAAATGCAATTTAAAATGCAGCCTCATTTTAAAAGTAGCCGATAGATCAAGACCATAAGGGGAGGGAAACATAAGGGTCAGACCGAGTCCAAACCAAAGGCCAGGCAGAACAGCTCTGTCTTGCAGGCCCTGCGGAAAGATGTCAAGTCCCGCAGGGCCCTAGTCTCTTGTGACAGAGCGTTCCACCAAGTCGGGGCCAGTACTGAAAAGGCCCTGGCTCTAGTTGACAGGGCATACCAGGAGAGGCGGTCCCGTAGGTACGTGGGTCCTAGGCCGCCTAGGGCTTTAAAGGTCAAAAGCAGCACCCTTTCAAAAACAACAACAACAACGGAGCACGAAACCAAGCAGTTTAAAAAGAAGTTGCTGTTGATGTAATTTATATGTTGCCTTGTTAGCTCTGGAAAGGTGAACTTTGTCAATGGGCTGAATGGAGCTAAGTCGAGTTTAGGAGTTAAACGGTCCCCGTCTTGCTTCCTAGGTGGAGCCGTGGCTCAGCAAGTTCCCGTGCAAGCCATCCAGGTGCATCAGCAGACGTCTCCCACAACTGACAGCAGTACTGACCTCACCCAGACCTCTTCCAGCGGGACAGGTAAGCAGCCACCAAATCTCTTGCTGCCACATAACTCTGGGTAGGGAACGGGGAACTCTCATTTCTACCAGGGCCATTGACTCACAGACGACGACAACAACAACGTGTGGCCGTCCTGCCTTAGTACCCCTGGGCTTCCATCCCTTGGTGGCTGTCTCCTGTGGTCACCAGTCAGCTGACCTCTGTCTCTCCTATCAGTGGATTGCTGTTGTTTGAAACACCTCCCAGCCACGGTGCCCAGCCAATCGGGAGAGACCAGTGGGGGAGAGCACATGCTATTGGGCTCCACTGCCTAAGAACCCCCGCCCAACCTAGACCTAGGCCTTTTAGGGTTGCCATATGTCCTCTTTTTCCAGGACATGCCCTCTTTTTCATTGGTATGTAAAATGAGAGTCGCCGTTGCGATCTATAGTTAGAAGAAGAAGTCGGCAGATGTGTCCTTTTTTTTGCTCTTCAAAATTTGGCAACCCTACCTTTTTATCCAGGGAAGGGGTTGATGCCCAAAGTGGCTTTCTTCAGCCTTGCTTCCCTGAATGCCATTGGACTACAACTCCCATCATCCATGACCTGCGGCTGAGCTGGCAGGGGATGCTGGGGGTTGTAGTCAAACAACGCACAAGGAGGACCCAAGCTTGAAGAACTGTGACCTTAATGGTTTTCTCTCTCTCCCTCCACCTGGCAAAGTCTGTTACCCAAACAGTTAGTGAGGCTGGAGTCTTCCAGCTACCCATGTGGCCTGGATGAAATGAAGTGGCAGGATAAATCTGGCCCATGCTTGTTCTAGGCCTTGCAAGGCTTTCCTTTCACCCACACCTACATCCTTCCAATTGAACCTTCTGGTTCTGACTTGCAGTTGTGTAGATTTGCAGTCCGTATGCCCTGCCTGGGCTTATTGAGTGCTGTTGCAGAGGCACCTGAGCTCCCCTCCCCCCTTTGCTTGCACAGCTAGCTCCCTGCAATCGGAGCTTCTTTTAAAGATCATTCTTGTCCCAAGCACTGCTCTGCGCAAAAGTATATCATTGCTTACAAGGTCACTGTCTCCTTCGAGTTCAGCAGACCCTTGTGTAGTCAGTGCTGATAGGCCAGCAGGAGAATGCTTGAGAAACTTAGAGGAAAGTATTTGTTCTAATATAGTGTTACTCTAGTGCCATCTAGTGGGTGGTAGTTTGCATATATGCATGCATATATCTATATCTATATATGTATATGTATGTATATGTATATGTATATGTGTGTGTGTGTACACACACACACACACACACACACACACAGTGTCATACCTCTTGTTACGTTTGGTTCAGGAAACATCTTTTCAGGTTGCGTCCCGTGGCGACCTGGAAGTAACGGAACTGGTTACTTCCGGGTTTCGTCACTCGCGCATGCGCAGATGCTCAGAATGACGTCATGCGCATGCACAGAAGTGACGCGCAGACGCGGGTTCCGTTCTGCTCATGATGCGAACAGGGCTCCGGAACAGATCCCGTTCGCAACCAGAGGTACCACTGTATACACACACACGCACACAGTGATGCCTCATGTTTAGTCTGGCTCGTCGAGCGTCCATTTTGTCGAACGTCCGTGGCAAACCTGGAAGTACTGGAACGGGTTACTTCCGGGTTTGCCGCATGTGCAGAAGTTCTAAATTGCGCTTTGCGCATGCACAGAAGCACTGGCACTTTGTCCTGTGTCCTTTTTGTCTAGCGTCCAGGGCTCCGAAACGGATCCCGGTCGCAAATCAAGGTCCGACTGTATACACACACACACCAACTTTCTATTCAAAGGAGTTCTATCACGGCTGTTTCCAAACCAGCCCAATTCCTATTTCAGGGCTACTTTGTACATTGCCTGGTAGCAAAGTGGGGTTTGCCACTGACAGTACTCTCAGCAGAGAGTTGCAGGCAGTCCCAATTTCCTGATGAGGACCCCTGCATGGCACATGAATATATGAAAACAAACCAGAAATACTGGGGCCCTTCCTCCCAAAAAAGTAGGTGAAAACCCGGGGGTTTTCCATTGAAAAAAAAGGTGGGGTGGGGGACCCTTGAAAAATGAGAGGGGACAGCTCCCCTCAATCTTTCCACATGTTTTCAAGGCCTTCACATCTCTATGTGTGTCTCGCACATTCCTTATTTGTCTTTAGGTGTACACTTTAACATACCCCTAACAAAGCATAATGTATAGGAGTGTGGTTGTTATTGTTTTTGCAAAATTTGAGAGCTGGCTGGATTTTCCAGCAGCCGGCTCAAAGAGAAGGAGACCTACATGTGCAGAGAAGTGCATCTTGTTCTCAGCAGTGTATTCCAGTTGTCTTGGCGCTGACGTGTGCTCATGTGCATAACCCCTGTTCCCCCCACATGCCAGCCATGACATCTGTTTTCTGGCAGATGTTGGGAAGCCCTGAAAGAATTGAACTTCCTATGTCAGCTTAATCCTGTGTAAAGCAAATGCATGCAATGAGCTGGCGATGGACCTCGGAATCCCACTGTGAGGTTTTCAAGCAATTGCTTGATTGGCTGCATGCAAAAATCCTCACTGGTTTTGCATCTTAAAAACAAGCAAGATAACGGACTGAGGCTGATGCAGCACGGGGGACTGAGGCATTGTGGGTGTGGTGCCATCTATTATTATTTTTAAATATATCTTTATTAATTTAAAATAAATAAATTTATGAGAAAACAGACATACATACAAGTAAACAAACATACAATCAAACAAACAAATAACAGAAAAATCAAACCACCACACTGTAAGGTACAAGAAGATTAATATAATTGTCATCATATATACTCCTGATACTGAACACAATTATAAAACTTATAGAGAAAAAATTTATAACTGACTTCCAATTAATCTCACTGTACTTTATCTATCCATTACTTTATACCGCACATTTACACATTTCTTATATTATTTCTTTTTACCTCCCTGCGAACTTATATTTATACAATACAGGGATCAGTCTAATTCTGCCAAGATGTTTCCTTTTATTCCATAGTTTTCTAAATATTCTTAAAGATTCCCCAATCCTTACAGACTTTTTGTTTTGATTGGCCTCTCACTCCTCCTGTTGCTTTCGCTAGCTGCAGATATTTTACCATTAGGATTTGCCAATCTTCCGTGTTGGGTATTGTTGTGTTTTTCCAATTTCTTGCTACTAAAATTCTGGCCGCCGTTATTCCATACATGAACAATTGTGCCTTGCCCCCCCGCTTCTTTTGCCAGTGACCCTGCCAGCTACGATCATGACTTCGTCCGTGCCAACCACCGTAGGCGGCCATATGATGTACCCCAGTCCTCACGCAGTGATGTACGCGCCTACGTCAGGCCTGACAGATGGTGGCCTTGCAGTTCTCAATGCCTTCTCCCAGGCACAATCTGCAATGCAGGTTTCACACGGCCAGGTCCAGGATCAGGGTAAGACTGGAGGCAGACTTTTCCTTTACGTAGAATGCTCTTATCACACTTCTGTAGCTTCAAAGGGCTCTCAAAGCAGCTTGCGGAACATTCTCGAAATAAAATGCGTCAATCTAGTACAGCAGCAGGTGTCGCTTGGTGTCCGCGACTAGGTTAGAACGACAGCTCTCCCCAAAATCGTCTGAAGGGTGTGGGGCTGAGCTGTTGTGTCTTGCTCACCTCATGATGAAATCCGTCTTCCCTGATGCACAATGGTGCTTCTGAAAGAGTGAACGATCTTCATTCTGCCATGTGTTGCGTTCCTCAGAGCAAAGACAGACAGACAGACAGACAGACAGACAGACAAATAGATAGATAGATAGATAGATAGATAGATAGATAGCACCAGTAATGTGCATGGTGTTTTACCGAGTAGAAGAGCACAGCACTCTGCCCTGAGGAGCTTACAATCTAAAATTTGAACCAGAGGAAGGGGAAGAAAGTGGGGTCAAGGGAATACACAGGAAAGAATGTGTGATTATTTAAGTTACATCTGCTCAGGGTAAGTTGGGTTTGGAAAGAGATATGAGGATAATTCCAGAGAGGAAGATTTGAGAAGGGTGAAAAGGAGCAGCTACATGTCTTTGATGCATAGCTCAGTGGCAGAGTGCATGTTTTGCAGAAGGTCCCGAATTTGTAGTTACCTGTAGGGAACTCAGGTACCAGTTTGTAAGAAAGACCTCTGCTGGAGACATGTCAGAGCTGCTTGCTAGTAAGTAGGGTTGCCATATTTGAAACAGTGAAAATCGGGACAGAAAAGTTGTTGAGCTTTTTTCAACAACAACAAACCAATGGAGCTGCTCTATATATTTTAATACTTAAGCTTTATCAAAATATATACACATTTCTATTTCGGTGAGCCTCCATCCTGCATTTCAGCAGGAGATTTGGTGATCACTGCTTTTATAAAGCATATTTAGGACAGCTTTTGTTCAATAGAACATTGTTTGCTCTCTTTGAAACGACTCGTTTTGTTTCTAGCTTTAATGATATTGGTTCTGGGTTTATTTTCGTTTATGCCACTATGATTACACCTGAATTGTTCTGGATCATTTGAAGGTGGTGCTGTTGGCACTGTTAGTTTTGGATAGTGGCTAATGGCACACTTGTGATTTTTTTCTTTGGCAGGTGGAGTCCCTCAGGTGTTCCTGACAGCACCATCAGGAACAGTTCAAATCCCAGTCTCAGCTGTCCAGCTTCACCAGGTTGGTTCGCCTTAGACTTAAACTTCCCCCAGACTGGGACTGCAGTCCTATTGAACCTTAACGGATTGTGCTTCTGAGGAAACGGGATTGTGCTGTAAGGCTGGCTGTAATTTTCTTTGCACCCTGTTGAACATATAGCAAGATACACAGCTCCCAGGTCTGTTTCCCAAGTTGCCTTGTGTACTGAATTGCAGCGGTCCCATTTTGTTACATTTCCCTATTGTTTCATTCAAGCTTCAAGACTCCTAGGGATGGAAGCAGACAATGGCCTGGTTCGCACATAACACTAAGCCAAACTTAGTGTGAACAGGCAAGCGTGCTAATGCAACAATTAGACAATCACAGCTGCTTTACTCCCCACTCCTGCTGCTACACTGCCAGGAGCTAAGTGTTACAGTCAGGCCTGGGTTTATGATTTATCTCGCTCCAAACAAAGAAAGAGAAAACCAAGGTTTGTTCTAGGCTTACTGCTCTTGGAGTGTTTGGCAGCTACAAACCACAGTTAAACTATGTGCTGTGTAAGTTCTTCCTTTTGTCTGTCCTCAATCTTCCAACACTGGATGGCCCTGAGTTATAATATTCTGGGAGTGGGTTATAAGCTTATCTTCCTACATTTTTCTCAGCATACATCATCTGTCATATCCCTCATTACTTGCCTTTTTTCCTAAAAGTAAAAAGCCCCAAATTATGTAACTTTTCCCTGTAGGGTAGTTGTTTCATCCCCTTGATCATATTGATTGCTTTTTCTTCATGTTTTGATGAGTACATCATATTTGCGTGATCGTGTCTTGACTTACTATTATCCTGAGACACACACAAGCTTTGTAGTCCTTTCGCTTATCCTTTGTCATCAGGAAATCCCTAATTAACTTAGCTTTTCGTTTCATCCAAACTGTGAAACTATGGTTACTAGCATTGGAAAAAATCAGGATCTTAAACCAATTTCAAAATGGTCTAATATCCTGACTTGTTCTGCAGCTGGTTACCATAGTTTCCTGGTTTGGACAAAACAGGAAACTATGGTTAGTTAGACACTTTCTGGTGTAATTTCAGCCCACGCTAAAGAGAAGGGGCTTTGAGATTTGATAGTCTGAACCAGCTCTGAATTCTGTTCATACAAGAAAATACCACCTTTAAGTAAAACAAATCCATGTATATTCTTCTCTGACTACTTTAATATGTGTACCTCCATATGGTGAAATACTGAGAGAACCATGTGAAATTAGAAGCAAATGGTGTGTTTCACGTGATTGCATCAGACAACCAGTCTGTCCTGTGACAGTTGAGGCCATCATGCAATTGCATTTCCTAAGCCAGTGTTTCCCGATCTTCTGAAACCTGCGTTCCGAATCTTCTTTTCTCGATGAAGGCACACCTCATTCTTACACTTGAAAGACAAATTCACCATCACTGCCTGCAACCAACTTTGTATTTTATATGACTTCATCGTTTTTAGTATTAAGATTTTTTTTTTAACTGCCTTGGATTCCTTGGGAGAGGGAGGGGTGGTATATAAATGTAGGATTGAGACAAGTAAAATAAGCATGTGCTGTTTGAATGCAAGCGCTCCTTTGCTTAACAGTTCTCCTTCGTTCTTTTGTCTCCCCAGATGGCCGTAATCGGGCAGCAGTCCAGCAGCAGCACCAACTTGACAGAGCTACAAGTGGTCAACTTGGACACGTCGCATAGCTCCAAGAGTGACTGAGCAACTCTGGAGGTTGGGGGGCGGGAGGGGGAGAACCTGGGGGGCGGAAGGAGAGAGACAGAGGAGAAGGTGTGTCCCTGGCACCCAAACTTGCAGTGGCTGCCTCCAGTTTTTGAGGCCTGTGCCTGGCTCGAGGACCCGCGGCGCTCCCCAAAACTGCACCAGGATCTCTGCGGTCCCTATTTTTCTATGGACTCTGTCACTTATTTATTGTTGCCTTTTTCACGTTTTCTTTCCTTTTCTCTCAACACTTCACACCGACACACACACGCACAAATACACACACACACACACACACACACACACACACTCAAAACACATATTAAAATGGCTGTTGAGGCCAGCGGCAGGGAGCTGAGCCTGGGCTGTAAGGGGGGGCGGGGGGGCGGTTTGCTTTGTTACCTTTGGACGCTGCATATACAGTGCTTTTATTTGTGTGTGTGTGTGTTTGTTTGGTTTTGTTTTTCCCCTCCTCACTCCAGCCAAAGAAACGTGTCTCTTGTGGGTGGGGGAACTTTACTCTGCCATGTGTATATAATATATAGGAAGAAAACAACCCTCCTTCTGTCGTCGTCGCCAGAGCGGGAGTTCCTTCTCCCCCTCTCCGCAGTGTGTCCACGAACTTCGTCAGCTCACAGTCTCCAGCCTGAGCAGCCAAGACTGTGGCGGGGAGATAAGCTGGAACGCAGAAGGGTCTGAAGCCATCGTCATCCAAAAGGGAGTCTCTTGTTTCTGCTGTCATTTTATTTTCACTTTTAACCTATGCTGGAGCAAAGGGTCATCTCTCTCTCTCCCCCTCACCCCCCACCCCCATCACCCCAGGTTCAGGTTGTCCAGCTGGCTTGCAGCAATGTGCCTTCAAGCAAATCAGTGATGCGTTGTGGCCTGGCCTCTGCACAGCGACCCTTGCCTCTTACGCTTGGCTTGCAAAGAGGGGTCGCTCCCGCCGGTGCCCTCCTTCTCCTTAGGCTCTGCTGTGGGTGGGTGAGGAGAGGCAAGAGCACATTGGCAGCAACCCTGGAACCGTTCCTTCCCTCGAAGCTGGTGTTTGGTTGGTGAGAACCCACCGGCTTTAGGAGTACGTGCCCCGGGGGTGTGTGAGCGGGCAGCGGACACATTTCACTGCCAGACAGGGCGCTTTTAAACACCGCCCTGCCCACTTCCTTGGGTCATACCCAGCAACCCTTAAGCCCCATCGTTGCAATGGAAGCATCCTCTCGGGCGAGCTTTGTTCGTTTTTGCAGAGGCTGCTCCTCTTGAGAAGGTCGATGAGATGAGCCACCGTCCTTTTTCTAAGTAATCGGGGAGAAGGGTGTAAAGGAGCAGTGTCGGAAGCAGAGGGAAAGCTCTATTTTTGTAAGTTTTGAACTCCACAGGCCTTCCCAAGACTGTTGTGCCCACGATTGGAGACCTCTCACCCCAACGCTGATCAGGTAGCCCCGAAAACAAGATGATTCGTCCCCTTGAAAGCGTGTTCCGCCTGCCTCTGCTGCTTCCGAGTCTGCCGTCCTCAGTTGGGACTGGGTAGGACTCAAGAGTGGTGGGAACGCACCTCCCCTGCAGGAGAAAGGCAGCGCCGGATGAGTAAGGCGACAGCCGCCGTCGGGTCCTTGTGCTTTAGAAAATTCCTTATCGTGTAGATCCGTGGTTCGGTGTCAGCAAATGCAAAAAAACAAAAAGGGAATAGCCGCAAGGGAGATCGGGAAGGGCGTTGTGCTTCCAATGGGAGGGGTGTGCATGTGATGAAGCTATCCCATTGGGGAAAGCACTCTGCCGTTGGATACTTTTCTTGCCACACAATCATGCACTTCCTTTTAACCAATCCAGAAGTGGCGCAGGAAAGGAATTCTTCATCCCCCTTCCACACACACACACATACACACACGTACACAGACACAGGCCTACTTTGGAGCAAGGAGGCTGCAGACTTTTAGAGAAAGGAAGCAGCTGCTGTAACCTTTTTTTTAAACTAAAAAAGACAAAAGAAGCCTTTGGGGGGGCGGGAAAGGACTTTATTTTTCTAAATGTTAAACTCAGTATTTATGTAATTCTCAAAGGAATTAAAGTCTGGCTCCTGTACAGTTTTCATGGGGTTTGTACTTGGGGAGCGGGTGGGTGGGGAAGAAAGGGCCATGGGGTGGGGAGGAGGAAAGGGGCCTTTTAAATTTGTATTGTCACCTTTATGAAATTTCTTCCATGAACATTAGCGTTTAAGCTGGTCTCCTGCCTCAAGCACTTGGGTCAAGCTTGATGGGAAGTCCTGACAGTGGAGGAAGGGAGACTTCCTTTTTAAGGTTTATTTTCCCCTTTCCCAACTTTGCTTCCTTTGAAATCTACGGATGAAGGGCGGTATACAAATTTTATTAATAATAATAACAATAATGGAGTTGACCATACTGTGGAAATTAAGCCCAGCTCACTCACACCCGCTTATGTCTTTTGGTAAAATGGACTGTGTAACATCTGGCTGCAAGGGGTGCCTCACATTTCTCAGTACTCCCTTAAGAAACAAAGTCTCCACTCAAAACACAGAATCAGCACAATTTCTTCCCTGGTGTGCTAGTATTGTAAATGTCAGAAAGCAATCAAAAATTGTATCTCCCCTACCGCAGCGTAAGGAATAGTGTTTGTTCTTTCACTTCTCTTCAAGTTATATTTCCAAAGGTGTAGTAGCAGTGTCAGTCTTTGAGGGTGCCACAAGACTCTTGATTTTTGCTGCAAGAGACCAACAGATTTACTTCAGCACAAAGTTTCTTGGACTCAGGCCCATTTTGTCAGGTGTGCGAAACCAAAATTTAGTTGGCTTTATAAAAGTGAAAATTGTAAGTGACAGCTAGATACTAACTACTGTGTTAAACAAGCACATCTTTAACTTTTTATAGTACCAGATTGTTGGTCAGTGGTGAGATGACTGCATTATTTCCCTGGTGAAAAAGGCTAAAGATGTGTCTATGTAGCACATCTAGTTAACATCTTAAGTATCACTGAGTTTTAATTTTTGCATCTTACTGCCATTCAACTAGCACCTTGATTTTTCTCTTCTATGCACCTGCCAACTTGAGTGGGCTTGAGTCCAGTCTTTTAAGATACAATACTTGTTTGCTTTTGGTACATGTGTTGATTAGCCTTCAGCCAATGTGCTCTATGGACTCTAGCAATGGACTCTAGCAACTGGAGGGGAAATCATGTTTCTGTACGGGAAGATGAGGTCCTAAAGAGGAGCCAAGGTAACCTTATTCTTTTAAGTCTCCCATTTTCCACTGTGGGATGTCATGAGTCCAGGAAACCATCCTTTGGTTCTCTTGGCCTGAGCAAGACTAACTCTTGAATTCCAATGTCCTGATGTGCTTCCAACTTCCAGCCTCGCCCTAGAGACATGCACTACATTCTTCTATTAAGCTCTGAGCCGAACACTCCTTCCATGGTTAAAACATTTTATCCTTAAAAGACATGGATGCCACACATGCATTCAGAAAAAAAAGTAACCTACTTCCAGTAATTAAGAGCTTCTTATGAGAATTTGGTCCAGCCATTCTGGTGAAGCGCAGGGAGTTCAAGGGAATCTGATGTAATGGGTAAATATAGCTCATTTTTTATCTGCATGCAACTCCTTAGCAAGCTGGTGGCCTGTGTTGACCTGCCAAGTGATGAGAATTTTACTAGCCTTTTGTATTTGGTCAGGAGTGGAGAGTAGAGGGGGAGTGGTAAAGGGTGCTTAACATGGCCAATAATAACAAATTGCTGGCCTCCAGGCAGTTGCACATGGTGGCATGTTGGTAAATGGTCAATTGTACTCTCCCACTAGTGGGGGGTGGGGTGGGAAATCTCTGGTCCTGTAGTAGTTGCTAGGCTACAACTCCCATCATGCTTGACAATTGGCCATGCTGGCTGGAGGTGATGAGAATTGGGAGTCCAGCCACAGGTGACCACCCAAAAAAACCCCACTCTTAGGAATTGGTAAGAGTAAAGGGGGTGTGTATGAAGAATATATTTGTATCAAGAGGGAGTTTGTGGTGAATGATTATGGATATGTTTGGGTAGAGGAACATCGGCAAAGCCGGTTTTCTCTAATGTTGCTGCCTCAAAAGATGCCTGTTAAATAGGATCAGAAACCAAACTGATTGGATGTAGGTTCCTACCCCCCAAAAAAAATTCTTCCAGAAACCCCCACCCCACCCCTGCCCGATTTCAAGCGCTGAGGATCTTGTTCCATTTAATCTGTAGTCCGTTCCCCACCCCCCCTATTTTAGGAAGTTTTGTTGGCTACGAAAAGCACCTGCAGGTTAAACGCTAATGTTGCATGTAATTTAAAGTGTTGACTTGTAAGAACACTTATCAGGGATGAAATGGCATTTATTGTGTGGTGACCTTTCTAGTTCACACTTTACAGATTGTTTTGGAGTTTTGTGTGTGTGTGCGCGTATGCGTGTGTGTGCGTGAGTGGCTGTGCGTGTGGGGTTAATTTCCAGGGTTGTGTTTCTGGAAGGATGTGACTGTAATCGCAGTACTATGTACAGAGCTTTCTTTTGTATTAAAAAAAAAATACTCTTTCAATAAATGTATCATTTTGTGCACAGACTTTGTGTCCTCAGTGTTGCCTCAGGGATTCAGAAACGGGAAACAAAATGGGGGATGCTCACAAAGTTCTGGGATATTCACAAGCCAAAAATGAAGAGAGCCCCCAACATCACCAGCAACACTCCTAGCCCTTTCTGCATTGGACAGAGATCGTATGCATCTTGGAACTGGTGGAGATATATATGAAGGGGTCTTGTCCGTCATAATTTATTGCAGGGTGAAGTGGGGAGAGGGAATTTGATTCTCTGAAGAAGAGCCAAAATGCATGTTATCACTAGCAAATTCAGGTCCCCAAAATTGTGTCTCTTGTTGTGATGCAAACAGGGAGGTGGGAGTGTTTGTCAGGTAATTTGCCGAGAGTGGCTGGGGTACAAATAATAAAATTATTATAATTGGGTGGAGGGGTGGTGTTTTGCCCTTCTCAGCATTTTTTCCCCACGGGCTCTCCTCATCCCTAATGAACTGAAGTTTGCTCTTGCTCACAGATTCTAGGGCCTGCCCTTTTTCATTTCTTAAAAAAATGTATGAGCTGCTTGCACAGTAAAATAAATAAATTTTGAAGTGGTGTACTTGAGAGTCCCATGGTCTGCAAGAAGATCAAACCTATCCATTCTTAAGGAAATCAGCCCTGAGTACTCACTGGAGGGACAGATCCTGAAGCTGAGGCTCCAATACTTTGGCCACCTCATGAGAAGACTCCCTGGAAAAGACCCTGATGTTGGGGAAGATGGAGGGCACAAGGAGAAGGGGACAACAGAGGATGAGATGGTTGGACAGTGTTCTCGAAGCTACTAACATGAGTTTGACCAAACTGCGGGAGGCAGTGGAGGACAGAAGTGCCTGGCATGCTCTGGTCCATGGGGTCACGAAGAGTAGGACATGACTAAACGACTAAACAACAACAACAACAGATTCAATGTCATAATAAAACCTAACTAAACTGCACAAAGCAATTAAATAGGCACATGCCATCATCTAAAGAGAAGGATAAATTCAGGAAGACTTTTAAAATAAATGTAACTCGAACCTTGTGTCTGGATAGGCTTGATGGTATTTATTGCTAGACTTCGCAAATGCTAAAAATTTAAGGTCCAGCAACACTGGAGGGCAATTAATTGCCTGCCACTATAGTGAAGCCCAAGTCTTCGCATGTAGGTAAGTCCAATGGAGTTAAAGCGGGCTTCTTTCCAAGAAAATCCTCTCAGGGTTGGTTAACAATGAGCTGGGGTGGGGAAATCACTTTGGCAGGTTCTGTTTGTTGTCTTTGCGTCACACTTTCACAAAATCATGGCCTCAGGTGGTATACAGGCTCCATCTTGGGGAGGGAAGCAGTATGTAGGGTAGTCACCAACTGTATGTAGCTTGTCTGTGCCAAAGTAGTTTATAGACAGTAAAATGGCAAAGTTTAATCCCTTGAGGTTGTTGTTGTTGTTTTTTTTTTTGTCAAAACAGGACGATATAAAGCCAGAAGAAATAATGTGTTTCCCCTGCTTTTTTCCTATAAGATTGCTTTTTTAAAAAAAGCAGGATTCAAGTGCCCATGTTTAGAGTTTAATACAGTACAGTACTTATATATTCAAAAAGTTGCTTGCCATAGGGGAAGGATACTCTGTAAGTGCTTAGAATAAAGATGCTAATGACTAGCACAGGTGGCAAATACACAATCCTTCATGTCATTTGAAATCACAACAAAATTAAATGAAGAACCGAGTTTGCGCTTTAGCCTTGTTCTGGCCAAGTTGGTCTACACAATCTAATGAAAGCACTTAAAGTTGAGCAAATAAAGCTTGCATGAATCTGATAGTGACTTCTGTTCTAATCAATATAGAGCTAATACCCGTTGCTAGGAGGCACAGGTAGGCAGAATGCTGCTGTGCTCATCTCCAGTTTGCAGGCTTCCCACAGGCATTGGGTCAGCCACTGTGAGAGCAAGATGCTGAAACTAGATGGGCCATTGGGCTGATCCAGTAGCTTCATTTTATGTTATTAAATACAAGCAGTGTATGTAGAGCTAGGGAGTAAAGGGCTTGGGAGATCTCTCACTGGTGGGTCAACACAGACCACCAGCTTGCTGAGGAGTTGCACGCAGATAAAAATGGGAGACTCTGTATCTTAAGGGCAGAAAAATCTCTTTGGATTTATTACATACATTTTGTGTTTTTAATCTTGTATTTTTGTGCTGTGCGCCACCCTGAGATTTACAGATGAAGGGCGGTATAGAAATTTAATAAAAACACACAAAAGTAAAACGCATGACCTGCTGTGGCTTTCCTGGTCTGGAAATGGCTGCAGCTGTTAACCATCCGCAGCTGATAAAAGACACACGTAGCTGAGCCTCCAGGGAGAGTTGGATCCAATAGCACCTCCAGACTGTGAATCTGCTCCTTCAGGAGCATAGCTGTCAACGTTTCCCTTTCTTAAAGGGAAATTCCCTTATTCCGAATAGGATTCCTCACAAGAAAAGGGAAAAGTTGACAGCTATGTTCAGGAGATGTGCAACCCATCCAGGATTGGAATCCGACCAATTTATTTTTTAATGTATTTCTTTTCCCCCTTGGTTTTTATGTATCTATTTGTGTGCTCTGTGTGGGTGCTGTTTGTTTGTTTGGCTGCAAGTCGATTTGGGCTGCCCTGCGCAAGATAAAGAGACTAAACACATTTAAACAACAACAACAACAACAATAGTAATATAATGCACATTTGTTCAGCAGCAAGTACCGGTGTACTCAATGGGGCTTGTTAACCGGTAGATGCAAATGCTAGATTAAATAACTAGAGTGAGAATGGTCTCAGCTGCAGGCGGGCTCGCCAGCTAAGCAGTGACGGCTCAGGTGGAATCTACAGACATATTTAAAAAGTTCTGAAAATGCTTATTAAAGCGTTTTTTTAAAAGACACACACAGACACTGAATTTTCCATAAGGCTCGCCATCGCCACCTAGTGCCACGTTGTACATTGCACTTTAAAAACACACTTAGAACGCTTTTTTGCTTGCAGCTGCCATTCACTCGGCACTCCTTATAGCGACAAAACATACACAGCGGCGCGCGACTTCGCGGCGTCCGAACTGTCCCTCGCAGGGCCCCGTAGACTAGACTAGAGGCGCCGGCGGCGGCGGCGTTAAAGCTGAAGGGAAAGGGCTTACGCACGCGCGACTTCCGGCGCATGCGCCCTGGTGACCCGGAACTTGTGGAGCTGCTGGAGTGGCCGGGCGAGGAGGCGGCGGAGGAGGAGGAGGAGGAGGAGCGGCGGCGGTGGCGGCGTCGCCCTCGGTGCTTGGCTGGGCAGGTAACGGGGCTCCCTGGGCGTCGGACGGGGCTCATTCCCCTCAGCAGGCCCCTTCTGGGGTGGTCTCGGCTTAGGGCCCTCAGCGTCAGGCGAGCCGGGGCGCTTCCCCGGCACCACGTTGTGTCGCCCCGCGGCCCTTCTGGGCGGGGAGCTTCATCCCGCCGCTCCGTTTCTTTGTGCTCCTTTCTCTTTCGCTTCCGCACCGCCGCCTCCCTGGTGGGGAGGGAGCCCGGCTTGCCCACAGGGGCTTCAGTCGAGGGACTCGTGAGGGGAACTTGCCCGCCGCTGGGGGTGTCGCGGGGATTCCTCTGAATGGAGGCGGCCGAAAGGGAGCGCGTGTCCGAAAGCTCAAGAGAGACCAGCGGCCGTGTGGATTAAACGGGCGGCAAAGCCTGTACAGTGGTACCTCGGGTTACATACACTTCAGGTTACAGACTCTGCTAACCCAGAAATAGTACCTTGGGTTAAGAACTTTGCTTCAGGATGAGAACAGAAATTGCGTAGCGGGAGGCCCCATTAGCTAAAGTGGTGCTTCAGGTTAAGAACAGTTTCAGGTTAAGAACGGACCTCCGGAACGAATTAAGTACGTAACCTGAGGTACCACTGTACCTTATATGAAAGGGGGCCGGGGGGGGGTGGAGAGAAACAACAGGACGACCCTCCTCCGTCGGATGCATTGATTGAACTCGGACCGCCCCAAGTATAGGTAGGAGGGAACCGATCCCAATAACGTATTTCACACGCACACACACGCACCTGTATCTCACGCGCCGGCTCGCGAACTGCTGCTCCAAGAAGAAATCCGAGTGCAATTAAAACGTCCCGACTTCCAGTCCGAAGGGCCTGTACGGATGGGAAATGTGGGTCGAAGTGACGTTTCAGTGAGCAAATTGTACTTTTCTCACATAGAACTTGGTTCGGGGGACCTCTCCTGAAATGAGTTTGAGGCTTCTTCCGCGCAAAAGGAGGAAAGTGCTTGACTTCTGAGAGCAAGCATTATGGCTCTTGTTAATGAGTGGCTCATTAGTAGCATTTCTGACTTATTCTTGACCAAATGGGTGTGTGGTTTTTCGTCATATGGAGAATCTCTTCTTTCCATTATGTGCTGGATAGTTTGGGGTGTTTCACCCACGGATAAATTGCCTTAGTATCCTTTGATGTGTACGGTGTGACAGATAAAATGTTTTTAGATAGTATAAAGGCTTTGCTTATTCTGCATGAATGTGATTTAAATGTCATAACATGCTATCAGTGTGGACTGTGATAGGAAACGCTGAGTGGGAAACTTTAAATCAGTATTTTTACATCAATTTACATTACTGCTTTAAAATTGCCTCGATTTAAGCCGATGCACCGGTGCTGCAACAGAATCTCTCCCAGCGCTGCACTTTATGGAGTAACAGGTCATTGTTGCATGAATTTTCATAGGCGAGAGTCTGCTTCATCAGATGTATTACTAAAAGTATATTCCTTAGATGCCAGAGAATAGATTCTGACTCATACATCTGATGAAGTAGCACGTAGAATTCATCCCTCAGGATTCCAGTTTTAATTTGAAATACACTTGGTGCTAGACAAGCAAAATAATTTTCCATGTTCATGCTGGCTAGAACTTTCTCAAAGACTGTTACTCCAAGATTAAGTTACGCTATTTGATTAAAAGTTGATTATTAAGTAATGGTCAGAACGGAAATAAAAGCAGAGGGAAAGACTTCTTCCGTTGTAACATTTATGGGACATTGCAAATGGATGCGCAAGCCTATGTCGGCAAGATACAAAGTAATGGAAAGAAGAAAATGTTGGAATAGCTTGATTATAAATCACCTGATGGGCGAGGTTATCACAGGTGCAATGCCAAATGAGCCAGTTGCTGTGGTAATGGCTCTGAGCTGTAGCTATATCACGGTGATTAATGTATGTCAGCTAGTTTTAGTTGGCCTTAGTACAGTAAGCCCGCAACTTACACACATTTAACTTGTGCGCATTTACATACTTGGCCATTTTTTAAAAAAAAGAGGGCGGAAAGGGGGCACAAAGGACTTTGGCAGCCCCACCCATCAATGAACCCAGTGTGTTTTGACTATGTGATTTTGGCTTTAGGAGCAATCCCCAGAACATGACCCCTGCGTAAGGTGTGGGCCTATTTTACTGCGGTTGAAGCCTTGGAATTAGAGCAACAGAGATGTTCTGTATCTGTATATATCTGTAGCTGAAAAACCTGCAGGCTAAAACTTCCTGTTCTGTGTATAACTTTCTCCAGCACTGTTTGCTGTGTCTGTTACTTATGCAGCAGTAAAAGATTTGGCGACTTTTACTGTGAGCATGATCTAAATCCACACTTCCATTGTATATGTGTCTTATCTCAGATTCCTAACAGAACACTTTATTTTTATGGTTAGAATCATTTACAGGAGCTGGAAAATCAAGATTAAGAAAAAGATAGGTTAATCTATGGGAGGAAAAGTGTTAAATGTTATCTTGGGTGGGGTATAAAACAATTTAAAAATGTTCTACACCTCACAAGAAGGAAATATAATTTCAAATGTTACCAAATTTGAAAATACATACTATCTTTTTATAATGACAAAGCCAAACGCTTCCACAAACAATCAAATGGCAGTATTGTACTTCCCATTTAAACTATTGTCATTGGACAATAGGCCAGAGTCTTGTGAACATACTTCCCCTCACCCCAATCTTCTTCAGAGGGTCCTTCAGCATTTGGGAGCAGATTTTAGGGGCAGGTGAAGGGGTGAGGGAGAGTCGTTTTTGCCATTGGTGCCCATTTTGCTGGTGGATGGACACAGTAGGATTTTGCCCACTGATTTTAGCTACATGGTATTTGCTTCAGTTTCTATACGTCCTATCTGTGTGGTTTGTTTCAAAACCAGCACATTAAAAAACCCAAAGATTTAAATGTATAAAATGACAATAATTAGAAACATTGTCAACTGTCACGGAGGGGTTTATACATCTCTGGACTGATAAATTTCGCATTTGAATGTTTATTGTTTTCTAGCCCCTCTGTGGTGAGAGACTTTGTCTTATAGTCTGTATTGCAGAGATGTAATATTTTCCCCCTTTATCTAGTTTAAATAAAATAAGAAATAAAAAATGAAATGTAAGAAAGTCATGGTTTATTAACTCTTAGAAGCAAATATTGGGCTTTTCTTCTTCTTTCCAGTTCATATTCAAAGTCAGTTTCTTTTTTTTGTGTCATGTTATCAGTTAGTGCAGGGATATTTCAAAACATGTCACCTTAGCGCCACAGCTTCCAGCTTGTCCTTTGCATTTGAAACTGTCTAATCTTACAACCTTAGCACCAAAGTTCACATGACAGGAGGCAGGCTCATAAAGCACATGTGAGTGTTTCTCATTGTGTGATGATTTGGTTGATGCAAGCGGTTTGTTGTACCTACTGATTTCTTGAAACTGATGGGAGAAAACTAATGTTCTTGTGACACATGGCATTAGGGAAGTTCTGCTGCTTTAAATGTGTTGATAGGCTAATTTGCAGTCCTGTGAAATTGAGGATTTTAAAAAAATGTTTTGAAATGTGAGCCTTGGCAGACTTGCTTGGAAATAGAGTGTGAGCAAACAATCAGATTCAGAAGTAAAATAATTCTGTTTGGAATGAGTGCATCCGTTGCACTGCTGTCAACAAGAACACCACTAGGTCCACAAACTAGGTTTGTGTCACTTTCCAGTGATAACACAGCTAAGGATGAGCCGGGTTTCAATGCCTGCCCCTTGATGGGAGAGAGAGTGTAAAAAAATATTTTCCTGTAATTTTTGCACTGTATTTCAGGCCACCATGCAAGAAAGGAAAGAACTGTAATTCCCACAGCGTTTCCATCATAAAGGGGATAACGTCTTGTTTATCTTGGAGAGCTGTGCTGAAGACCATTGCCAGTGAAGGGGCATCTCTTGAAGGCAGGCAGAGATTGTTTTTAGTGGGGGCTGGCGCTGGTCAGTTTGAATCCCAAGGTCTCCTTTCCAAACCTGGCAAAGTCCAGCAGAGTTGCCCCATAGAGCAATGTATTCTGATCAGTTGTTTAAATTTGGCTAGAAGACGTTTGGTACAGTATTACTTTTAGTCCAGGAATAAGTTCCATGCTGGTTTCAGTAAGAGGTTGGCACTGAGTGGAACCCCTGATGATGCGGCATGGGTGGAATGCTGAGCGATGGAAGCGCAGTCTTGGAGCCAGGCTGTTCCAGATGACAAGAAGTCTGCCAAGCCTCCAGCACAGAAGTATTATTAATTGGTGTTAGCTTAGCAGATGTAAGAAAATACTGGTCGAACGACGTCCGCAAGGTCATGTTAAGTGAGAGAGAGAGAAATACAAACACCAGAAGGAAATATGCAGTGCATGGTGGAAAGTGGAATCATTGAAGGCATTATTGAAGGAGGCAGGTTTGCTCTTTAGTTGTTGGATATTGGAGGATCCAGGACTGGGGGTGCTGGTAGCAATAATGTCTAGCCCAGAATGAAAGTTGTCATTGTGCTTGGAAGACAGTTACTTTTAAACTGTGCGGCTGCTTTCTCTTTTTGTTCCTAGTTGCAGGCCCGCTGATTTCTTTTCACTGTGCAAAGTCTGTCTCTCTTCCATTGCAGTCAGCACTTGAGTATGCAGAACAGTTGACAGATTGCAAAGCATGGCTCACAAGGAGGAGAAGTTGCATGTAAGGCATGCATGACTAAGTCTCAGTTCTTACCAGTAGGAGCTAGACTGTCCGTCTCCCATCAGTGGGTAGCAGATCACAGATGACTTGAACATGCTGTCAAAAGTAATAATGCTTTTTTCTTGTCCTGCCTCTGCTAGCAATGTGGGGCTTTAGGAAGGATGAGTGAAGGCAATCTATTGTCATGACTTCCCACAATGAGTTCTGGAAATTGTAGTTTTTGAGAGAACTAAGAATTCTGCTAGAAAACTCCCCCATCTATGGTTCCCCAAGGGGAAGGAATGATTGTTTAACACTGAAGTGTAGATATGATTTTTCTCCTCCTCCATCTAAGAGGATTAGAGAAAGGAACACACACATTTTTCTGACCTTTGCAAAGCTCTAGTTCTGCTCAGTTTTATTTGAACTGTGAGAAAGAAGAGACTTTGGGGGGAGAGTGGTTTGTGCTTTTCCTTTTGCTCTGAACAACAAAAGTATAAGATGGAATTTCAGAGAGGGCTGCCTCCCATTTCTTCTAAAGAGATCGCAATGTGTGCCCACATACAGAAGAGGATCCACCTCTGGATGAAACTATAAACCAGGATTGGAAGTTTCTAATTGCTGCATGGTGGGGGCTTTGGTGAGGGAGAGCAGGGGAGGCAGAAGAGTTTGGGCAAGGAGAATGAAGCTCTTCAGAAACCTGTTTTATCTTTTTATAAACTGCATTGAGGTTTTCTTTCAAGCAGCATATAAATTTTAAGAAATAAAGTCTTGTGCATGATTTTATGTTGTGAACCAGCCACCCTGTGATCTTTAGGTGGGCAGCATACAAATTTAATAAATAAATAAATAGTTCACCTTGATCCTATCAAATAAAGTACAGGGATGCTGTTTTTCCTGGACTGGAGAGAAGATTTTCTTAGTGTGAAGATTGCTCAGATCTCCTCTTTTTAGATCTGACATCTGCTCATCTTTTGTTTCTATAAACGAGTTTCCTGGTTTTACTTTAAAAACCACAGCAACTCTCAGTGAATTTTATGTGGCCCATGTTTATTAGCAAATGTGTTTTATTGTGGAGAAGAGTGTTTTTCTCTTGTTAATTTTAGCAGCGGAGGCTCTTAATAAAAGAGAAGCGTCTATAGTCCTTGGCTGCCTGATTCACAGCATATAGTTCCCTCCTATTAGAAGAGAACAAATCTCAAAGTGGTTTACAACACATTACAACATCCGATAAAACAATCCAGAATTCAAGCTTCAAATAAAATAGTCCAGGTCCTTCTCTAAGTGATATTTTGCTTTTCCCAGTCGCCAACCTAGCACCCAGAAATCTCCATGTGGTCAAAATTGGACCTGCACCAGTCACAAAACACACCTGGCACCCGGCTAGTTTTGAACACTGAATGAAAACCATGTTCCCTGCCTGCATGCTTGCAATGTAATAATGCATGATACATCAGGAGTCCTTCAGGGCCATGCCAGCTTTTCAGTGATCAAGGATAGGAACCTTTGGCTTGTAGCAAAATGTTTCTAAATGTGCATTAAATGTCACACACTTGTAAGGGAGAAGTCAATGACACTGAAAAGTCTGTCTGGCATGGAGTGTATGACAGGGTCCCCACAGGTACAAGGAGTCATATTTGATGTTATGCATTTTGCACCAGACCAACTTTTTTACTTAAAACAATTTGGTGCCTCTAGTTATGGCACTATGGGGCACCTAGCCTGGATATCTCTCAGGAGCCTAACCTCTTCCCTTCGCTGTTCACAGATATATCTTCCATCATGGTGGGCGAGAGGAGAAATGGAAATCTGCTGGTGCATCTTGGGCCCAAACTGCAGGCCTATCCCGAGGAGCTAATCCGGCAGCGCCGTGGCCACGATGGCCACACCGAATACTTGATTCGCTGGAGCATCCTTAGCTTGGATGACAGCCTAGGAAACAGCGCCAATGCTGCTTCCTCCGAGAGCAAAACGGAGAATATTCTGATGTGGATGTCGGCAGAGGAGGTTTATGCCAACTGCCCCACACTGCTGGGCAAGAGGAAACCTGAGGGGCAGCGGGTAAAGGAAGAAAAAGCACCTAGTACATACCCATCTGACGTCACTCTGGATGAGGCCTCACTGCTTGAGATGAAGGCTGATGTCAGGAACCTGGTGCAGCGGGCTGCTCGGCAAATGGCCAGGACTACAGGCCCAGAGTCCTCCATCCTAAACACCATCCATGTGCTCAGTGCCTATGCCAGTATTGGCTCGTTGACGGGTGTCTTCAAAGAGACAGGTGCTCTGGATCTGCTGATGAAGATGCTGTGTAACGAGGAGAAGCAGATTCGCCGAAGTGCTGGGAAGATGCTGAGGGCCCTGGCTTCCCATGATGCAGGTGAGATTTCCCGGTCTGAAATCCTAGGGTGACCTTCAGGCTTAGAATTTTAGAGTTGAAAGGGACCCCAAGGGACATCTAGTCCAGCCCCCTGCGATGCAGGAATTCTCTGTTGATAGTCCCTAGAATGCTTTGAGAAACTGGAAAATGATAATGATTCATGTGGATGGAGTACCTGGTGGGATTGGGTGGCTGAATCTGCTCAAGGCTTCTGCCTCTTGCATTTGATGGTGGTATTGTTATTCAGATAAGAGGAAGGAATCTTGCATCTGAAAATGTGGTCGTCTTGTTCATTAGGGCTGAGTAGAGTTTTGATTCCAAACACAGTCAAAGTTTGGTAAGTCTGAACCTGCTCCAGAGACACTGCAATCACTGTTCTTTTACGTAGCATTTTAAATTGCTGAGGCTTTCTGTGTTCCTCATGGTGTTAGATTGCAAGACAGATAAAGTGTGGTTTTCTAGTTTTCTTGGGAGAACCAAGTTCTTAAGAACTTCTAAAGAAACTTTCATTTTATATTTGATGATGATTCCAGGGCTAAATGAATAATTACAGATCCGTTGCTGGAACTACGTTTAGTCAGACCTCTCAGACTTTTATCTGTGGGTTTTAATAGGGTTATCCTGTATTTCTTGAATTTAGACAAATAGGTTTTCCCTGAGTCTTTCCTCAGAGGTATGCTGCAGCAATGTTCATCTGTCACATTCTCACACTAAGCATGGTTTATCTTTTTCCTTGGAGTTCTCTAGAGGAAAGGAAAAGGGATATAGCTTGCCTTGAGACCTTGGCTATCTTGATTTTTAATTATTTCTAGGATACTTTTAACCTTGATGTTTTAAGTATTCAGTCTGTAGTTCCCGGCTACTGTAATGTTTCTTACTAGACTAGACAGGACTGTATCCATTAGCTGTTTAAATGGAGGTCCGCTCACACAAGAGGACTTCCCCTTCCTCTGCTCTCCCCGTGCCCTCAAAATCTACATGAGGAGGGGGCATGGGGTGGGCTGCAGAGGAGAGAAGGGGAAATTCCATTGTACAGGTGGAAGTCTTAAGTGTGGAATGGCAGCTTTGGATACAGACTTCATTGTGAGTCATGGGGATACTTCTCTTACCCATGAAGTCAAACATCATTATAATTAATATTCTTATTTTTAATTCAGCTCATTGGACTGAAGTTAGTCAAGTTTGGTCCCACTTCAAGCAAACAAAAGTTCAGTGTCTTCTTTGGGAGACAGTTCAGGTTCATGTGCAAACATTTAAAAATTCACCCCATGCAGGATTGCCCCTGCGTTTAGACCAGGAAACGCTTTCGGATGCTGGGTCTCAGCCTCAGGGTGTGGGGATTTTTTTTTAAAAAAAAACACCTTTTTTTCGTGGTCATTTGTCAGGTCATTTGTGGTTCCTGCATTGGAAGGGGTTGGTTACCTCCCAACTCTACAATTCTGTGATGTGGATTTTTATAGTTATAAAATGATTAAAATCTTTATTCAGTATCCTGATCTTAATGATGGATAGTAAGCATGTTACACAGCAGGAATGGGGAATCTTTTTGCCTCCATGGGCCAGATCCACATTGGGATTGACCTTGTGTGCTAAATTTAACAAGTGGATGGGCCTACCCACCCGTCATTCTCCTGACCCCACAGTGACATCAGCTGATTTGGTGCTGTTGAGCTCCAAAACTGGGACTTCAAAGCAGGTTGCAGGCAGCAAGGAGCTGGAAAATTGAAAAAACAACAACAGTAAAACTTTTTTATAGCAGCTGTATCAATGCAGCTCTCTTGTTTCAGAGGGGTTTTCAATGCAAAACCCCTTCCTGGTCCAGTTTGCATTAAAACTGCTCCGAAAACAAAGACAAAAAGCTCTGTGCAAGGTGCTCTGAAGTCCTGACTTAGGGACTTCAAAGCATAGCCAAACTGAGCAACCAAGCTGCATTGCGTTAAATAGCCCTGTTTGTATCAGTTAACTGGAGCAATGAGACATTGAAAAACCCACTAGGACAGTAATTGAGAACAAGCACAAAATGGCAGTCTTCTCTAGAGAAGAAGAATAAATAACATTAAAATGCAGGCCTTCCTCTTGTTTCTTTGATTAACAAAACAGGTGAATGCTGTTGACTTCAGCTGGATTACTGAGAGTGGCCATGGGCAGGTGAAGAGAGAGTTAGACTTTGATCCAGGAGATTGGAGTTAAAATTCCACCTCAGCCTTGGACTTGCTGTGTGGCATTAGAAAAATAACAACTTCAGTTTTCCATCTCAGAACTTTAGTTTTCCATTTGAATTCTCCTCCGCCCCAGCAAATACAGGCTGACCTCTATAAAGGTAGCAAATAATAAAAAGTTGCATGGAAGCATATAAGAAGCTGTTTTATATTGAGACAGACCAGCAGACAATGTTCAGTAGAGTCAACTAGCTGCTGCCTAGAGCCTCAAGCAGAGGTCTTAATGCAGTTTTGCTTCTTGAGTCATCAGAGTTTGTGCCTGGTACCTTGTGCTTGCTAATCGTGTATCCTCTGCCCCATGTAAATGTTAAATAGGCATGGATTACACCAGTTTAAACTTTCTGAACACAGCAACCTGGCTGTATCTGCAATTGATTTGGTGTTGCTACATGATGTGGCTCTATCTAGACTTGCAAAGTTTGGCTGTGATTCCCAGTGTGTTTCGGTAATTAAGTTAGAAGGGCTAGAGACAAACTTGGCAGCTTTCTTTTCAAACTTCTGCAAAGTAAGTTGTAGTGTTTCAGGGTAAAGCTGACCTTGTATGTAATACGTAAATTGGTTTTAGGGTTTTCCTGCCTCCCTTCTAACACAGATTGTGATAATTATTTATTTGGAGCCTTTGTGAATGTTTCGTTTCTTTCATGCTTCTCAGGAACAGGCATTGACAATTAGTCATCCATTTTTGGAGTTGTTCTCTTATGCTCAGTTCACATTACAAGCTTTACCTGAATTTACTTTTCAGCTATTTCAGAAACCTGGAGACAATGAGTCCTACCACTCCAAATCTTAAACTTCCATTGAATATTTGTTGGCTTGAGTAATTAAGAGAGAGAGTAAAAGAAATTCAAAACATGCTCATTTTCCAATTCATCCTTGTCTGTGTAGTGAAAAGAAGGGAGAAACTAAATTCTGGCAGACCATTAGCAAGAATGGTTGTTTTTGATTATACATCTCTGTTGTATTAGCAAGTATAATCTTTTTTAACAACAGGAAGAAATGGAGGCACAGAGAGATGACCAACTTGCCGTTAGAGAACAGAACTCAGTTCTAAAACTCTTGACACCCACTTACCTGGCTTCCTTTTCCTATGTACTGAGATTAAATTTGCACTGAAAAATGTAATGTGGGGCAGTTCTTGGAAATTATGGTTTTACTGATAGGATATCAGCTGCTTAATCTGTGATCCTTTGGTGGAAAAGACATTAGCACTGCCCTTCATAATGTTCCAGAATGCATGTTTTTCCTACACAGAGATTAATCTTGCGCTTAAACTCATGATTCATTAAGCCAGAATCTCACAGCTGCTTAGTGTAAACTTTTTAAAACAAAAAGATTAGGAAGTGGGCAGGGCTATTTATGGTAAGAACCTTAAACAAGAGTGGTTGATAGAATGCTAAAGCCAATATTTCTAAATTTTATATATTAGTTGGAAAGGACTTACACTGCCTACAAAGCTAGATGAAAACCAAATGTTACTTTACCCAGTAATAACTTACCAGGTGCCATCATGCAACCTGAATGCTCACTCCTACCACTGACTAATGCCTGCCCCTGACTGTATAACAAAAAACCCAGGAATACAATTCCTTAAACTGCACAGGCCTTTTTGATCTTTGCTTCTGCTCCTACGTGTTCAGCTTCTCACAACCCGGCTACATATCTAAGTACCACTCAGAGCATTTCCAGACTTCCTCTGTCTCTCCTTTTAAAATAACCTTCTGGCTTTCATCCTTGTATATGTAATGGCAAACATTTTGGAGACAGTTTCTTATTCCTGCCACCACATCACACAAACTCATTCTGATAGATATGTATTGTGGTAAACCTGCCATACCAGACAAACTGCATACTAGACAAAACCAAAGCAAATAACCAAGAAATAGTGCCCATTATATTTGAGAGCAACTGAGGTCCTTTCTGGATTCCCAGGAAGATAATGTAAAGAAAAGCCCTTAAGCTGTGTTTTATGTTGTCTGCATTTTGTATTGTACAATTTTGCAAAAACATTCTCGGTATAAAATGAGACATTGCATTAGATGGAGTTTATTGTTCTTGTTCCTCAGACCCCCCACTTTCTTAACCATAAACATTTCCCCTTAATCTCTGAGGACATGCTGTCTTCAGAAACTGTGTGACTGAACTTCCTAAAATGTCCTATGCTTCTTAGTTATCATACCCTGGACTTTTGAACTGTCACAGTTTCCACTAATTCTCAATTTTGTTGTCATCTCTGAAGACAAGAGTCTAGGCAAGAGCTGAATTTGTAGTGAAAAATTGGAGTGGGAAAAGGAGGAGGAAGTATGTTCTGGCTTCTTGTCATATCATAAATAAGCAAAGGTTGAGCGAGTCTAGATCAAATTGGTGGCAATTACTTGTCACTGATGTGTAATAGCTATTCAATGTTTCAGTGCAAAGTTTGTGCTTTGTGGACAGTGCTTTGTTTGGTTCTTGGGCTTCTGAGGTTTTGAAAGTATACCTACATTGGCCATTTATTGGGACTGATGCAGATATACGAATGTTTAACTCAGCTTTACATTCTTGTCAATTTTTATTTTTTTAAAAAGGGGGGGACAGATGTTTGGGGGGGCGATACTTTGGCAATCCCATCCGCCATTGCACCCAATGTGTTCTTACTATACGCAATTTTGGCTTTAGGAGCTTACTGTAAAACTTCCAGCAGGAAACAGGATAATCATTTCTTTAATGTACATTCCCAAGCTCTTTTCCTTTTCTCCCTAATAATAGCTAGTGCTAACCAGAATGTATAAACCATCTTCAAATTCTGTATTCACGTTCTGGTTAAGACTGAGAACATTAGCATTAACTTTCATTGAAGCCTAAGGGTGGGAGGAATTAGTGTGGCTATCTGAAGTGATCAGCTGGCTCCCTCTTACTATTCCAACTTTAATTTATAGGGAAAAACTAAGTTTAGGCTCTCTTGGTGATGAAAATAAAGGTTGAAGATATGAGAGTAGTGTATTTGAGAGGTTCAGTAACCAGAAGAAAGGCAGTAGTATTAACCATGTTTTGTTTTTACATTCTGTGATTTTGAGAGGGACTGGGAATGCCAGCTGCCTTGAACTGCTGCATCTAACGGAAAAACGCTCATTCTGCTAAAGTAGAACTTGTCTGCCTTGAAAAGCCTTTTCACCTACCACATTTATGCATTTGTTACCTGTGTGTGTGACTTACCTGTGGGTCAAGATACATTTCTAATGTACATCTTGGAGCTGCATTAAATGTGATAATCCAGAACAGATGTATAATGCTGGAGAAGCACCACTGTCTTGCGAAGATCTCCTCTCACTGGCAGAATATGAGGCGCAGCACTGAGTATGTCTGTTTTGGTTTCAGGAAGCCGAGCGTATGTTCTCTTGTCCCTGAGCCAGCAGGATGGCATTGAGCAGCATATGGATTTTGACAGCCGCTATACTCTCTTGGAGCTGTTTGCAGAGACGACATCTTCCGAAGAGCACTGCATGTCCTTTGAAGGCATCCATCTCCCTCAGGTACCTGCTGATCTGGTCTGATTCTGATATGGTCAGGAAGGGTTCCCTTGTGAAGACAGATGGTTGAGAATGCAAGGATTTGAGTGCATGTCTTAGATGAGATAAGAGTGGCATGACCCAAAGACCGAGATCAAGGATGTTGGTTGGCTGGGGTAATCCAGGGACTTGCCTAGTGTGGAGGTGGAGGGCAGTGGGTTTGGAGAAAGCCAGAACTCACAGGGGCAGAAACTTATTTGGAAATGGAGATATAATACAGGATGATTTAGGGTCTAGCTTAACAATGAGCTAGGGGAGAGCATAATTTTCTAGTTGTTGGCCTGATTCGTTGCATCTCTTTCAGATTCCAGGGAAGCTGCTGTTTTCTCTGGTGAAGCGCTATTTGTGCGTCACCTCCCTCATGGACAAGCTTAACAGCACCACAGAACTGGGAGGGGAACGCCAAGACTGCGCAGCCCCCAGCGCAAACTTTGGGGAAAAGAGTCGGGTTCAACGGGAGTTTGACTTCAGCATGGCCATGGCGAACCTCATTTCGGAGCTGGTGCGGGTCATGGGGTGGGACCGCAGCCAGGAAAGGGAGCTTTCCCTCAGGGAGACGCAGCCTCAAGTCGTCCGCTCCATCTTCCAGCCCAAGGGTTCCACTTGTACTGCTGTCCAGGTCCCTCTGGTCACCCCAAAGCCGTCGCCACGGAAAAAGCAAGGGCAGGGATTTTTGACTTTGTCAGATTTCTCCAACCGTAGCAGCTATGTAGAGTATGTGCAGGAGAACCTGAAGCCGGGGATGACCGTGCGCATGCTGGAAGACTACGAGGAGATCAATATCGGAGACGAGGGCGAATTTCGCCAAAGCAATAGTGGGATGCCCCCTGTACAGGTATGTGGTTTGGAGAAGGAAGGAAGGATGGAGCAGAGCAGGGGAAAGAATTGGGGGGTGGAGGGGTGGAACTTGCAGTGTTGTTCCTCCCAGGACTCAGGGGTTGTTCTTTTGGGTGGAATGGTTAAGTGGCATTTAGAACTGCTGCATCTTTCATTGGTTTAATCATGGAATGGGGAGGGGATGTACTTCCTTAGAAGGAAGATTTTTGATTTGTTTTATGTTCATTTTCGCTTCATGGCAGGATGGCTGCAGGTCAGAAACTTCAGGCCAACTGTTTTGCAGCCCCCTACCTGTGTGAAATATGCCCTTTCCATTATTAAAGTTATAATGTTGATTCATGGGGTTAAGGTGCTCTGCTTGCTATCTGCTGTTTGTTTGAATGCTTATTCTGTATCCGATTTTTGCCGGTTTGTACAAGTCAGATTGTATTTTATTGTTTGTGTGTCTGGCCAAATTACCCTTTTCATGTGCCTGGCTATCTAGCTCTGAAGTTATAGTTAAATATTGTTCACCCTTTCCCTGATTTCAGCAGTATAGCTTCTTATTATCCTCATTGTTTGTTCAGTCAAGCCTATGTCCTCAGATAGCCTTTAGGAATGATTTCTTGTCTGGTTAATGTATTCTGGTTTAAATTCCAGCTTATGGCTGGAATACGCATAGTGTAGGATTGAAGCCACTTACCCTGCAAGACTGAAATACTAAATCATATTCATGAAGCCAGTTTCAGTATGCTTCATCCTCTCAGATTTAAACATCTGAGCTTCAGGGTGTTGGATCATAATTTCAGAAACTAGTATGAGTAGCACTGGGGATTTTTCCAGCCCTGAGACCACTTTAAAAGAAAGAGAGAGAAGGAGAGAGAGAGAGAAGAAAAGCTTAGGCTAGGTAAAGGGTTATGTATTACATACTTAAGAGCCTTAGTAACCATGAAATCACCTGATGAAGATATCTGAATATCATGTACTTTACACTTAATTAGTGAGGGTGCATGAAATTCCTAGCATTGACTACAGGAATAAACAATTATAAATCTTCCAAAGTTGGGTACAAATAACAGCAAGGGGAGTAGTATAAGAAACTGTTGTTCAGTCTGATATCCAGTGAGTTAAATGTACCCGTTAGCTGTCTTAACTTTTCAAAAGTTTTATTATTAGAGGAGGTGAAAAACAGCCAGGGGAGAGCTTTTTTGCTCATAGCGCAATATAGAAGAAATGTGAAGGTTCTTGTTTAAAATGTAGCAAGTGATGAATAGATGGAGAGAGATTTATTCTGTAACTGCCTTCTAGAAATTGAAAATATGTTTGCATTATAGGGATATGGTGGAGTAAGCTGGAGTACGGAGCCAAGGAAATAATTCTTTCAGTAGCAGTTTGCTTTGCAGCATGAACTTTGCCAAGGCCAGAAAATAATGATGTTGCAATAATATTGGATAGTTTGAACAAGTATTCATTAAAGAGTTTATGCACAGACACAAAAATTGTAGATATTGCCTCAGTGTTGAATATCCAGAGGGAGAATGAGAGCTGAAATTACACCCTCCACTCTTAAGATCATCTAGAGTAGTGGGAAAGATTTAGAACTGAGTTTTGCTCATGCTGAGGATGTTTTCCCTATAAGGCAGCATTTCTCAACCTGGTGCCCTCCAAGAATGCCATTTAGAGATTCTCATCTGTAGAGTGTGCCAGTGAACTGCATTGGAAAGAAACTTGAACTTCAGAGGAACTTTCAACACAGTTCTGAATTTTTCCTAAAAATCCTATGTTTGTCACAACAACAACAACTTCTTCTTCTTCTTCTTCTTCTTCTTCTTCTTCTTCTTCTTCTTCTTCTTCTTCTTCTTCTTCTTCTTCCCATTTATTTATTACCACTATTCACCCTAAGGCCACAGCATTAAAACACAACAATAAAAATAGTTCAAAGCAATTTATATTGATGAAGGACCCCTTCAGTTAAGTCCAGTCACGGACAACTCTAGGGTTGTGGTGCTCATCTCACTTTACTGACTGAGGGAGCCGACATTTGTCCGCAGAAAGTTTTTCCGGGTCATGTGGCTAACATGACTAAGCCGCTTCTGGCGAAACCAGAGCAGCGCACAGAAACGGCATTTACCTTCCTGCCAGAGCAGTACCTATTTATCTACTTGCACTCTGACGTGCTTTCGAACGTGCTTGAGAACTGCTAGGTTGGCAGGAACAGGGACCGAGCAACGGGAGCTCACCCTGTTGCAGGGATTCGAACCGCCGACCTTCTGATTGGCAAGCCCTAGGCTCTGTGGTTTAGACTACAGCGCCACCTGCATCCCTCATGAAGATAAGGTGGGTCCTAAAAATATACACCTTAAGTGTCAAAAGCCATGGCAAAGAGGTACATCATCAGCATCCTCTAGAAGCTGTATAATGTAGGTGGAGAGGGTGTCCCACAGCTTAGGGGGCACCCAAGAGGCTCTGTAAGGAACGAGGCAGTGCTGCTGATATTTAAGGCCTGAATCTACTATATATGGCAGATTCAGGCCTCAGATATCTGCAACACTGCCTCTAACACTGGAACAATGCCGATTGCACAGTTGTTTTGATGGTGATTGAAATAAAAATTATAGAGCTGTTTGCTTGTATAATAGTCTACGTTTAGGTATAACCAAGGATACTCTGTCCTTCACCCAAACACTGGATACTTTCTGATTTTGAAGTTTCGTGTTATTTTATTAGATAATACACCCACACACCAGCCGCATCTAGGCTGATATCAAATCTGAAATGTTGCTGGTATATTCATAAGAATAAAGACCCCAAGATTAAGAATCTCATGCTCTACCAACTGAGCTAAAGGCGTTTCTGACTGGATGCATGTGCATAATAGGGAAAAGGAGGTTGGGGAGTGGAAGGGGTGTTGGCCAGGGAATTCCATGTACAGAATACTGTATGTGGGCGGCGAGGATACAGCAGAGGACTGAATGGTCCACATGATGTTCCTTCAGTTATGTTGCTCATTATTTTGCTACAGAAGCAAGATGATACATTTTGTATTAACTCAACATGTCTGGTGAGAAAGTTTGCCAGATGATATGCAAAACAAGCCACCGCTTTTAGCAGAAGATCATGGGCTAAGCATCTAGGCAATTTAGGCTGTGGCAGCTGAGAGGCCTGGTATTTGTGAGATGCTAAGGTCACAGCTTGAATGAAGAAGGAGTTGGCTGTATCTGGCAGTTGCCCATGACTTTTGGATCTAAGGCAAGCTTGTTGAGCTTTGGTCTTCAGCTCATCCATCTCTTCTACTGATCTTAATCACTATACTGTACTTGGTGCTTCAAAGACTTAACATAGTGTTGTTCTGTGTTCAGGTTATTTTTTTTCTTCATATGTTTGTATCTTCAGTCCAGTTGTGATAGTTGTCTCCTCTCCTCCCCAGTATATTTCTGCAGTATTGTTCTGCAAATAATTCTTCAATGGGTAGCTCCCCTCTTTATGTTTGAGTCACTTCTTCTCCCCATCCCCTCTTTCCTGGACTTTAATGTGCAAGGAGGGTGTCGGGAGAGAGAGTTGGTATTAGTTTTGAACCATGTAGCTCAAGCACAAGGTTAAGGAGGTCTCCTCTTGAGTCTCCCTTTCAGCCTCCATGCCCGCAATGTACACTTTCTGGAGGTGTCTGTGGGAAATAGAATGCTGGACTTGATGGGCCTTTGGTCTGCCTTGCAGATTCTGTTAAGCTTATCTCCACTACAGTGGTACCTCAGGTTACATACGCTTCAGGTTACAGACTCTGCTAACCCAGAAATATTACCTCAGGTTAAGAACTTTGCTTCAGGATGAGAACAGAAATCGTGCTCCGGCGGTACGGCAGCAGCAGGAGGCCCCATTAGTTAAAGTGGTGCTTCAGGTTAAGAACAGTTTCAGGTTAAGAACGGACCTCCGGAACAAATTTAACCCAAGGTACCACTGCACTAGGGGACTAGGGGGAAGCAACCCTCACTCCTGCCCTAGTTAAACAGACGAGAGCTTAATTAAATAAGGAAGGCATTCTACCACCTAAACAATGAAATTCTTGGAACATTTGAGTGCAGAGAATTGTCTGGCCAGTTGACAATATTTGACCAGCCAGTTAACTGGTGTGCCAGCCCTAGAACGGTATTAAATTAATTCTGCCAAACGAAATTATATACGATGCAAAAAAAGGGCCACAGCTTGATCCCTATAACATGATCAAGGATTGTGTTGATCATTGACATAACTACGAAATACGATACGATACGATATCTTTATTGTCATTGTCCCATATAGGACAATGAAATTGTAAAACTACATAAAACATCCAAAAACCCCGAAATAATAACAATATTAAATAATAATAATAATAACTACCCCCTGTTCCCTACATCTTTAAACTTGCTGCATAATGTATGCACCGTTTGCCAGCTTTTTTGTTCTGCATCTCAGAGCTCCCATTATGCAGCACAGAAGATTTGGGCTGGAAGTTAGTTCTAACCCTGAAGTTCTGTTCATCCTCACAGGTTTTGTGGCAGTCCACGGGCCGCACCTACTGGGTGCACTGGCATATGATAGAGATTACAGGCTCCGGGGAGCAGCCTGAAGAGGAGGCTGCCCAAGAAAAGGTCTCCAATATAACAGAGAACCTGCAGCTACACACAGGTGAGGTTAGATGCACTGTGTGCATTGGTAAACATATGCATTATTATGGGTGTCACCTTTATTGCTTGTTTTGCTTTCTTTCTACTTTTTAGATATATTCCTTTAATAATGATCACTAAAGAGGAAGAATTGTGTTGCAGGCTTTGCTTTCTTATGTCTGGCCACAAAAATGATTTATCACAGAATAATTCAGAATATTTTCTTGACTAAATTGACATATTTCCTCCTCCTCTTCCAGGAGCGCTACAGTTTTGTTTTCCTGTCTAGCTTAGCAGACATCCTTTATCTCTCCTCTGCCCTGTCCTGTAGCCATTTGTGAGGTTTTTCCTTCAGGTTGTTCTTTTTCTTGCCCTGCTGTCTCCAATTGTCTCTCTGTCTCGCTAAGACTTTTTCTTTCCTCCTTGCCTCCTGCTCCCTTTTCACGGTAAGAACCCAATCAACCATTCCTTGTTGCACGTTTTAAAGGTGACATTAGCATGGGTAACCTTAAAGTCAGGTTTCCTCAGCTGTGTCACAACACGTAGTCCATTAGCCATCGAGGTAAGAATTGTTGGACAGAGCTATAACATTTAACCAAGCTTGGCATCTGGGTGGTACCTTATGACAATTCCTGCTTGCACATTTGTATAAAACTTAATAGCGACACTGGCTGCTATACCTGATAAGTTTGGATGAAAATCTCCAGTCTATTACTTCTCCACCTTTCTTTATGTAACTGTGGCCTGGTCATTGGAAACAACAGATCACTTCATAAAGCTATTCCTCCAGTGTATCATTGACACTTCTTGCATACAGAAAACTTGCACACCTGGTTCTAGGCTACCGTGTATTCTGTCACGCTAGGTTTTTATGCATATGGAGTTTTTCCCCCATAAGAAAGAAGCATTCATATATGTGACCCCTCTTGCGTGGTCTGAAGTGATGCAGCAGAGAAATACTTTTATTGTGTGATCCATGTTGCATGTAGACTCACCATATACTTAAACCTCCCTTTCCTCTCTTTAGCTTTACATCTGCTATTGCCCTTTTCACCATCAACTCTCTTCATCCACTGCGGTACCTTATTCCCTGCCTTGGGAACAACATTAGATGGAGCTGTGGGCACAAGCAGTAGCCAAGCCGCTTGTTTAACTTGGACCTGAGTTTTCATGTATATCAGGAGAGGGCCTAGGAGAGTTTGCTTTCTTTCTCTGCATACAGTTACTAAGACCTTCTACTGCAAGCCACTCGGAGGACTGTACTCTCTACCATACCTGACGGATCGGATGAATGAGAACTCTGGGACGCTGAGCCGGGCTGAATGGTGGGAGCTCCTCTTCTTCATTAAGAAGCTAGAACAGCAGGAGCAGCAGGAAGTGGTCCAGTTCATCCAGCAAAATCACGAAGAGGTGGTAAGCAGAATGAATCGGGCATGAGAAGAAAGAGGAGAAGCATTGCTGCTGGGAGGAGGACACTGGAACGTCCCCTTCCTACTTACCAGATCATTGTATCAAAAGTGTGGCCTGCCAGCCCGCAAGCTATGTCCTCGCGGTTCTTCTGTGGCTGGGTCTCTTGGAGGGGTGGCCCCTGGACCTTCTGCTTCCAGTGGCTGTGGCTGGACTTGAGAAGCACAGTATTTACATGGGAGTCGGCATATAGTCATACCTCTGGTTACAGACGCTTCCGGTTGTGTTTTTTCATGTTACGGACTGCCGAAACCCGGAACAGGTTACTTCCAGGTTTCGGGGGCGTGCATGCACAGAAGCGCTAAATTGCGCTTTGTGCATGCACAGACGTGCCGAATCGTAACCCGCGTGTGCGCAGACACGCTGCTGTGGGTTGCGAATGTGCATCCCACATGGATCATGTTTACAACCCGAGCGTCCACCGTACTTGTAACTGTCTCTTTTTATTTCAAGGTGTCAGAGCTAGATGAAGAGGGCCTGATCCAGCTGTCGGTGTCGGTAGAGTTGGCTAAGAAGGTGCTGCAGCTCCTGAGCAAGTACTGCCAGGGCTGCACCTGCAGTGACCTGCATAGCTCTCACGTCTATCTCAAGTATTCCTTCAGCAAAGGAGGGACAGAGCAGAACTGCCAAAACGCGGACGTTACGCCCCTGGATTGTGGCGGCCTTTCTGAAGGCATGGCGTCCAAAAAGCCAAAGAAGGAGTCGCTCTCAGCTGAAGTGCCTTCTCCAGCTCCATCGGCGGCAGAGAAGACTGACACACAGCTGATTAATGAGCTCCTCAAAGTGGAAGGCCTTTCATTTCCGGACACGTTGGATGAAAAAGCCAAGAGTAAGTGTGCCAGACCGCATCCCCACCTCCGTTCATTTGGGGTGAAGTAACTGAGGGGGGCGGTTTGGGTTTCTTTTTAATCCCAGAGAGACTGGTTGTGGGCTGAGGGAAGCTAGAATGGAAAGTAAAGGGGCGTCATGGTGTTTCTAGACAAGAGAGCGTTTGAAATGGAGTGGCGACTTGTACTGATCGGTGTTTTGATCCTGGTCAGCTTTTTGCAGCCTCAAGGTGACAGGGAAGAGGAACTCACTGGAGAAGCTAGCAGATGTTGTGGATATAATCCAGAAATCTAGTTCTGAGGTTGCGCTGCAGATGGCTGGACTCAGATTCATCACCAAGATCTTGGAGGATGAACCTGGTCAAGAGAGACAAGTCATCAAAGTGGACAGTGGCCCTTCAGTCAGGTCAGTTCCCTTCCCACCCCAGGCAGTAGCAGTAGGAGGGCCACTTTCAGTTCCACTGCTTTGCAGGAGAAGGTGCCTCGGGGGGGGGGGGGAATATGAACAGGATGTTAGCTGACTGATCTTTGGTAAAATCGGTCTTTCTTTTTTCTTTTAATAAGTAGATTATGGGTTATTGCTCCTTGGGGCTGATTCACATGTTAAATGGGTGAGCCTTGGGCACACACATCCTTCATCCTTCTCTTCTCCCTTCATGTACTTCATGGTTTATAGCAAACCAGTGTGACTTCATGGTTTATAGCAAACCAGTGTGCTATTCCATCTGAGCCCACTGCATTTTGTTTTTTAATTTTTTTTATTAAATTCTCTGTTTTACAATTTAAAATACTCATTTTACCTCCTTAAGATATCATTTGATTTCCCTTCTTCTCTTTCCATGGTTCATTTTACATATCATAAATCCCTGCATATTTTATAAAAACTATATCATTCAGTATTCCATTACTGCATCCGTCAAAACTTATTTGCACTGCTGAATTTATCTTAATGCTGCCAGCGTTTTCAGCTGTACACAATTAATTTCCCACATATTCAATAAATGTTTTCCAATCTCCTTTAAACATATGTTCTTCTTGTTCTCTTATTCTACATGTTAAGCCTGCAAGATGTGCATATTCTGTCAACTTAAGTTGCCATTCTTCTGTTGGGACCTCGCTGGTTTTCCATTTTGGGGCTAACAATGGGGGGGGGCACACTGCATTGTGAGTATACAACACTTTGCCCAGCTTTGATATAACAGCAAGCAATGGTTTGTTGCACACCAAGAAATCAGGAAGGCAGGGAGAGGGGTGGGAGCATGACACATGCGTAACACTAAACCATGGTTTCACATGATGTATGTTCTTTAAAGAAGAAAAACAACAAGAGCATGTTTTAGTTATCCCAGGCCTTAGATAATGCAGCGTATAAATCCGAATAAAGTGCAAAATGAATTGGGTGTCCTGTTCCAAAGCAAGCTTAGTTTTTTATATGTGCGTTCTTCTGAATTTGGGGCAGCTCTTTCCCTGGACTCCAGCTTCTCCTCGGGAGAGACTCGTGTCAGAGCGTAGGCTGGGGCTTCCTCTGCCCAACTGTGAGTGACCAGCCACCTATAGGGTATAACAGGGGCCTTCTTGTTGTCCTCAGAGAGAAAATGGTGAAGATGCTGGTGGAGCTGCTGAGCAACCAAGTGAAGGAGAAGCTGCTGGTGGTGATGGCACTGCGCCTGCTTTATGTGTTCATGGCAAAGTACGATTGGAGAGTTCTCTTTGCCACGGAAGGCGGGGTGCGTGCCGTGTTGGGCTGCATGCAGGAATATCCCGCATCAGCCTTGGTCCAGCAGGCTGGCTTAGCAGTAAGTGGAATGTGGGGGGGGGGGAGGGTTGCCTGATGGAGTATGGAATTGGGGGGGTGTTGGCATCTTATTCTTTAAGCAAATGGAATGAGGGATTGGCATGACAGATTTAAAAAAACAACATATTTGCAGTGTAGCAATAGTGTTAGTCTATTGCGGCAAAAGCGGCCGGCAGTTTTGTGGCACCTTAGAAGCCTAACATGAGAGTTTATGCCATAGTTTTTTTGTTTTTCGTTTGCCTTTTTAAGGTACTGTCAGACACTTGAAAAATGTATTAGCCTCTTCCTCGTGTTTAGAGCGATGGACTATGAATAGTGGATACCTGATAATAATTGATAATAGGATAACTTTTGGGAGTTAATGGCGCATAATAAATTGCATGGATAGCACACCTGCTTCTGAAAAGGTGGATTTTTACACAGATACCACTTTTGCCTAGAAGTTTACATGTACTCCATCATATTTGGTGACTGCACAGGTCTATTTCATCTGTTTGTAGAAAGTGTAACTTGTGTGAACAGGAGGGCCAGGAAGAATCAAAAGCATATCCCCTAGCATGTGGCAAATGGGTCAGGGAAGCATATTGACCTGTGACAAGAGAATGCCAAGCAAGGTTTTCTAGAGTTGTTCAGGAGTCGTTGCACTTGTGAGAATGGGCCACCATTCAAAAAACTGAATTACAATGGAAAGGGTGGGGGTTGCTATTGCTGGGAAGGGCTTTTAACGTTTGCAATCTTGATTCCGTTCCTGCTTTTTGCCCTTCTAGGCCCTGAAAGTCCTGGTGGGTGCTGGGAATTGTGAGCTTCTGGGCAGCAGTGGGAAGGCTAACCCTCTGAACCACTCAGATGCCCAGATGATGCGGGAGATCTTTGCTAGCATTGGTTCTGCTTCCGGCAAGGATTCGGATAACTTGCTCTGTGTCATCTGTACAGCTATTGAGAAGATGTTGGGCACACCTGGGTAAGCTGAAAAGGGATCCTTGGCAAGATACTGATAGGTTAACCAGTTAAACTTAATTGAGGCTAAGGATAGCCCAGTGTGTGGAGATAATATCCCCTTGATCAGTAGCAGCTGGTGGGGCAGAAGGCAGGGAGACCAGCAGCAGATGGAGCATGAGCCAATCAGAGCCACCCTCACCTTGGTTGGCTGTTGCATAAGATGGTAGGAGGTGAGGCTGGCTGAGGTTGCTGCCCCTGTTTCTATAGAGCAGAGTTTCCCAAACTTGGGTCTACAGCTGCTTTTGGATTACAGTTCTCATCATCCCTGACCACCAGTTCTGCTAGCTAGGGATGATGGGGGCTGTCATCCAAAAACAGCTGGAAACTCTGCTACAGAGCTTCTGGAGTGAAATAATTCTTTTGGAGGAATCTAATTAGTATGCCATGTTCTTAATATATGGTTGACATACGTCTGGAGTTTCCCGGACATCCATTAATTTATTTGTATACCACCCTTCATCAGAGGCGGAGGAAGGGGGTACAGTGGGAGCAAGCCGCCCCGGGTGTCACCACTGTGGGGGGTGACAAAATGCCGGGCGGCACTCACCGTGGGGCCTGCAGTGCACTTGCAGGCTCCATGCTGCCTCAAATGGCCCACCCGCCCCCTCCCCCTCAGCTGTAGGGCGGCTGAGTGGGAGGAGGCAGGCAGACTCCTTGGAGGCCCTGTGGAGCATCCTGCCCTGGCTGGCCCCGCCTCTGGGCGCAGAGCACGTGCGCCGCCCCAGGTGCCTGATTGGCTTGCTCCGCCGCTGCCCTTCATCTACAGATCTCATGGTAGTTCACAGCATAAAAGCACCGTATAAAAGCCACAAAATATAGTAAAAATAAGAAAAACAAACCAATAACCTCCCCTTGCACAACACATTTAAAAGGACATTGGATGTCGATCAACCAGTCTGACAGACGTCTTATTTGCTGTTGTTTGAATTGCTAGCTTCTCTGGAGCCGATCATTGCTGGTCTTGTATAGTGCTGTTCATTCGTTCTTGAATATAGTCTCTAAGGTAATGCCAGTTGGGGCCGGACAGTCACCCTCTGCTTGCTTCTCCTTTTCCCAGGGCTTCATCAGCAGTGCAGAATGGACTCTTGGTGCTGAACATGCTGATCAACCATCACAAGGGCCTGGCGGAGCAGCTAGGAAACTCTGACCTCCACGCCATCCTGCAGAGCTGCTGCCGAGCTGGCCAGAGCTCCAACGAGATCCTGGCTCGGATAGTGCTGAAGAGTCTGGCTGAACATAAGTTGCCACTGAGCCAGGAGAATGCAGGTACGCATGGCACTAGACCTACAGTTTCTGATCCTTAGTCCCCCTTTGCAATTTAAGTATCAAACTGCAAAAGGCTTAGTTTCACTGGATGATGCGGGACAGAAATCTTCCCAGTGCTTCCACGAGGAAGAATCCATTTCTAAAAATGAGTTGTTTCATAAAATTTGTTAGTAACAATATATGAATGCCAATACAATATTAGACAAGCTTGGCTCAAAGTTGTAATTAGTTTTTTTCTCTCTCCAACTAATTGTCACTATGAAGTGTCTGAGGGAGTAAGTAGGGAAGAATTCAATGTCACGTTGAGACAATCATGCTATTTCAGCTTGCCAGACGGAACAATCCACCATCTGTCATGCCTCATGTGCTGTTCTGGGGGATCTCACACACATCCCAAGCCAATTCAGGGGCTGCACAGTGGAAGGAATGAGGGGGAAACACCATAATGCAAGCGCAGGGCTTCTACTGAGAAGGGGACCCATAGACAGGGTAAACCACAAATGCATATCGGCCCATATCCAAAGTCGGTCATAATTAGAGCAGAACTATTGAAATCAGTGGACTTGGGTTGCTAATTTCCATGTGTCTCCTCTGTGTATGACTAACATTTAATACCATTCAGTAATCCCAAACCAAAAGTTACACAAAGTGATCAATTCATCAGTGATTGGCTGCGCAGGTCGATTCATAATCAAAGCCAACATTCTTACTTCATCTCAACCTGCAGCTGAAAGCAAAACCAATGCTGTGATTAATTCTCGTTTCGTTTTCAACCAACGCACAGTGTCAGTATCTCATTTTTCTTTTATGGAGCCAGGGAAATTGTTTATGTATAGACTCACTTGGGGGGACGGACACTTTATCGAAAGAGGAAACTGGTTCAAGTAATTCTGAATAAGATCTGCCTCCCTCTAATGGGCGGGGTTCATAATGGTAGTGCAGTTGTCACTCTGCCCCCTCCCCCCAACTGCTGATACCACTGGACGGGATTCACCTAATGAGCCCCATCAGTGAAAGCTCTTCAGAAGGATTTCTGCTTGCTCAGCTGGGCTTCCTGCCCCTCCCTGCGCCCCAAGTTGGCTTCGGTGAGGACTGCAAGACTAGTGTATGGCGAGGGAGGGGGGATCACTCCACCCAGCAAGCTGAAATGCTTGCAGAGAGTGTGATATTGAATTCCACCCAGTGTGTATTCTCACAGCATAGACCATTAACCTTTTACATTGAACTATATATAAAGCCCTTTATACATTTTTACGATATAAACTTTTGCCTCGGAGGTGATTGCTCCACAAGCCTTTTGGAACAACATAAGAGCAGAGGCTACTTTTTAATTTTGTTTAATTTTTTTTCCTTCTGGAAACCCCTACATCACTGACTTCATTTCCGTCAAACTCTGCCTTGTGCTACTAGAAGGTGTATGCATGGAATGCCTGGTCTCCTTTGCCTGCAAATTCAAGCAAGGTCTTCTGTACTTAACCTTGGAGAAGATTGGTCATGTGCGTTTTGCTCGCTTACCCTTCTGGAACCCAGTGTACTTGGGCCTTTCATCCATAACCCTCCTTTCCACAGTGAACTGCTGGTGTTATGACTCTTTCTCTCTCTAGGAGAGTGAAAGATGTGAGGCTTAAAACCACCAGCAATTCCTCATGTGGCTTTTCTAATCGTACTCAACAAGGCATGATCACCAACTAAGATTCTTCCACGACTCATTTCAGGAGAGTGCCATTCTAATTCACAGGGATCCTATCCTCATCTCTCCTTTTCTCCCTCCCCAGAGTCTGAGACCTCCTTTGAGCTGAAGGACATGGATGTCCCCACCCTGCTGAAAAACCTCCAGGAGACCAACTTCTCCAAGGAGGTGGTGCTAGCCCTGGAACGCTGCCTTTGTGATGAGGGTGTCTGCCCCGAGGGCAATGGCACCGAGCTTTTGCCAGACCGTGAGCACTTCTTGATGTTGATGAAAACCCTTGAACAGCTGGGAGCCGAGAAGACTGTGCAGATGGGCATGCTGAGGTGAGCTGGAAAAGATGGAAGCGCGGCTGTGCCTGGGTCGGAGGCTGCAAAAATGGTGGGGCATGTCTTGTCATCGGGTGGAGAGGGATGCTACAGAAGAGTGTTAAGGCAAATTGGATGCTGGGAGACCAATGTCCCTTTAGTAAAGGTAAAGGGACCCCTGACCATTAGGTCCAGTCGTGGCCAACTCTAGGGTTGCGGCGCTCATCTCGCTTTATTGGCCGAGGGAGCCGGCGTACAGCTTCCGGGTCATGGCGAACCAGAGCAGCGCACGGAAATGCCGTTTACCTTCCCACCGGAGTGGTACCTATTTATCTACTTGCACTTTGATGTGCTTTTGAACTGCTAGGTTGGCAGGAGCAGGGACCGAGCAACGGGAGCTCACCCCGTCGCGGGGATTCAAACTGCCGACCTTCTGATCGGCAAGTCCTAGGCTCTGTGGTTTAACCCCAGCACCATCCGCGTCCCTGTTGGACTTGGAGAGTTGTTGTCTAAGCGGGCATCATGTATGCGGGGCCTACGTTTATAGATTTTCATCTTCTGGTAGGTGTGGAAACCTGTGCAACTTCTTAAAACTTGGAATCCAGGGATTTAGGACTCCGTGAACGGGGAGGTTCTCCAGCAGAGACAATGTAGGGAAGCTGTAGTCCTTCAGACCGCATGTGAAGGAACTAAGCAGAGGACACCGGTGTTGAGAGGTGGCTTTTATGATCAGAATTATGAGGGAGAATGCTTGGTGGGTTGCTGTGGCTGTTGCCAATCAGTTCTGGGGGATTCTCAAGGCAATCATGTGCTATTACGGGGGTGGCATTTCTTGTAGGAGTTGTAGTGAGCTTGACTTGTGGAGGAGTCTCCGTTCTATAAGGTTCCCGAGCATCTTAAAAGCAAAATGAAAAGAAGAATTGTCTTGCTTTAGAAAGAGAGACGTTATTAGAATGGACTCTTGAGCTGCAGGGGCAGCCCTGTTGCACTTGGGTCCAAGTCAAGGCAGAACTTGCCGTTTCCCCTCTTAAACGTTTTCTGTTTGTTGCAGGATTTTGAATAAGTTTTTGGACAGTACCCAAGAGGATGCACTGCCCTGGCATGAGTGCATTGAGCCCTGCCTGTCCTCTCTGAGCGCCAACAGCAATGACCGGGAGGTGAGGGACTCAATGGGTATATGGCTTGAAATACTGAAAGCAGGAGGGGCTGGTGCGGTGGAAGTCGTTTGAAGATTGTCCAAGATGAAGAATAAGATTGGGCATCTGTATTGTATACTAAGATGTAAATCCCTAACCAAATTTAGTCAACAAAAAGCATTTTTTTGCCCTGCTAGAACCTCACATTTCAAGCTTAGAAGTGTGTTGGCGAAGCTCATGGCTTCAGCTCTGCAGCCGGGGCAGCTGAGTCACCAGGGATGGGTGTTCTGGGACTGGCAAATGTGCATATGGATAAATAAACCAAGCCAGTTGCACCTCAATTGTCAATCATTATTTCAGTCCATCCTTTTAAACAGTTGCTCTCCAGGTCACTTTAAGCAACCATATGGGGGAGCTTTACAAAAAGCTGGGCTTCCTTTGCCTTTCTTTGCTAGGCCTGTGTGGTCAGAATGGACTTAAAATAATAAATGTCTGTTTTGTGGCTTGAAACCTCTGAGTTTGTGTGTAAGTAAGGCTGCTAGACTGTCAACTTGCCCTGGCAAATTCAAGGAATATAAAAACTTAGCTAAATGAAAGCAAGTAGCTGATTTGGTGGGGCTAACCCAAAAGACCAGACATGCCTGTGGAACAAAAATACAAGGAAACCCCCACGAGGAAGGTCCTAGAGCAGGAATGAGGAACCTGTGACCTCCCAAGGACTACAACTCCAGTCATGCTGGTTTGGGGCTGATGGAAGTCCAACAACATCTGGAGGCTACAAGCTCTCCATCCCTTTTCTAGGGAGCTTGTAATCCATTCTTGTAACCACCTTGCACCTCCCTTCCAGAAGCAGGAAACTGCTCAAGATGAGTCTTAGTGTGCTTCTGTGTGGTCTTGCACCTTGGTCTTCTACAAGATCAAAGTCTGTCCATAGATTGAATAGTACTAACTGGGGCACCGTCTTCCTTCACTAAACTGAAAGCCAGAGTTTACAGAACTGAAGCTGTGCTAGAGTGCAGTGGAGCCAGAAACCCACAAGCATGTAGATGCATTTGAAGCCATAGTCTGTTGACTTCTGGTCTGACAGCTTTTTCCCAAAGGGGGAAATTTGGAGACGAAGCCTTAGCCCACCTGGGGAATATATCAGGAGACAGCTTAAAGACGGGAATGGAGTTGCAGAGGATGGCTGTGGCTTCTCCAGAGCTGTTCAGAACGTTGTTGAAGAACCCAGCCCTGTGTCCCACCATTTTCTCATTGCTGTCTTCCTCATCTGTAGGTTGTGCAGGAGTTCATTCGCTTCCTGCATCGCCTGGCCACCACAAACAAAGACTGTGCCGTGGTGATGAGTCGTGTGGGCACAAAGGAGGCGCTCACCAAAGCGATGGACAGGTACAACTCCAATCTGCTGCTAGTGACGGAGCTGCGTGACCTGGTGACCGACTGCGAGAAATACGCCAGCCTTTATAAGAAGATGACCACCAGCATCCTGGCTGGCTGCATCCAGGTGACTCTGAGACCAGGGTGGGGTAATGAGGCTTGGGGTGGCTGGCCAGGTAACAGGAGGGAGGGCATGGAGTGTCAGCAACCTGGCCAGTTATGTCTGGTAAACCAGAGGAGGTCAGCCTGAGATTGGTGGTCCTCTTTTGAAGCTCTGGGGATCTGTTCTCTTCTCCATCCCCCATAATACATTTGACTGGCTGCAGATGGTGGAGCTCCCCTAAAAAGATGCTTGGTGAATTTCTAGGCTCTCTTCAGCAGTTTGGGCTACTGAAATTGAAGGGATCAAAAGCCAAATACTTTGTCCTGATCATGTCTTGAGCTCTACTAAGAATGCCTCTGTTTGTTCCTCTGCCCCTCTTGCTCCGACAGATGGTTCTGGGTCAGATAGAGGAGCACAGGAGGAGCCACCAGCCTATCAACATCCCTTTCTTTGACGTGTTCCTGCGCAACCTTTGCCAGGGTGAGCGACTCATTTGGGCAAGGAAGCAAGTGGCGGCTGCATTGGTGTGAAGCCTGATCCAATTCAACTTTGCTTTTTGGTCTAGGTTCCAATGTGGAGGTGAAGGAAGACAAGTGTTGGGAGAGGGTGGAAGTCTCCTCAAACCCCCACCGAGCCAGCAAGCTGACAGATAGGAACCCAAAGACATACTGGGAATCCAATGGCAGCACTGGCTCTCACTACATCAATGTTTACATGCATCGTGGAGTGGTGGTCAGGTGGGTCCTGGTGGGGTTCACTGAGGAATCTCTTTGCCCAGGTTGGGTTGGGGGATTTCCTAGGCAGCAAAGTAAGGGTGGGCTTGAGTGCGTTGGTGCAGTTGGCACCTCTAAGGTTTTAGGGAGAAGCTCACCTGGCTGCTTGGTTTTCTTTACGAGCGATTCTCGGGGAACAGAGGTGAGAACTGTGGATATTTTTCATGCCAGGCATATTGTGAAACGCTTCTGGCTTTCAGGGCAGATGACCTCACCAGCTTTGTGAAGGGTGCTGGGATTCTTCCAGGGGTTTAGCTTGAACGCTTGTTTCTTTCCTCTCCTGGTGTAGGCAGATGACTCTGTTAGTGGCCAGTGAGGACTCCAGCTACATGCCAGCCCGGATCGTGGTCATGGGAGGAGAGAACTCTTCCAACATCACTACCGAGCTCATTACTGTGAGTGCTGCAATCTTTCTGTAAATCTGTACTGCTCTGGCCATGAACTTCAGGTCAGAAGGGCTCACATTTGAAAGTTATTTCACCATATTGCTGCAATCTGGACCCAAATTATCAATATTTGACATAGAGCATGTATCTGTGTTGAATTGCCTGACACTGGAGTGATTTCCTATTGGAGATTTCCTATTTCTACTGGACCTGCCTCTTGCCTACCTGCCTTTCCTTATTTCCTAGTGGCTATTCTACCCTTCTTCCCATCCCCAGCTATTTTTAGGGGTATATTAGAAATTACATCAATGAGCAGGGAAAGATTTAGCTTGCCTTATTGATAATGCAGAAAAATGAAGGAGGTTTTCTCCATTGCAGAAGACATAACATCTATTGAGAGGATCGTCTCTTTAAATCTCTCTTTCCATTTCTGTCCTATGGAGCAGCTTCCTGATCTCCCTAAAAGCTGCCTATGTACCTTTGCTGTGGTGTGAATTGTTTGGTTTTACATTCTCTACAGTTGTAGTGAGAAGGGCTCTGGTTCTTTACATCAACGGGGGGAACGCAGAGAAGAAGGGTGTGCACAGGGGCAGGGGGCTGGATTGTTAACTGCATTAGCACTTCTAGCTCAAGGTGAGACTCTGGCTCTTTTCCTTACAGCTGAATGTCCTGCCATCAGCCAGCAGGGTGGTTCTTCTGGAGAACATGGCCCGCTTCTGGCCCATCATACAAATCAAAATCAAGCGTTGTCAGCAGGTAGGGATGTACAGTGGAACGGAGAGGAGCTTTGATATCCTGCACAATTAGTTTCTGCACATTAATAGGGCATTTATTTTGAATTCCCAAGCTCGCCCATCCGCACACCTTCTCTCAAAATAGCATTAGTGTTTCTGGAATATTGCATTTTCCAAGCATTTGAAGGATTGAGATCCGTACCTGAGAAAATGCAGCGCTTCTCAAGGAGGAATAGATTTGTCGTAATGACATTGTGGAATGTTGTTAATGCGAGTGCAGAGGGTATAGATTGTGAGACGACAAGTGACAAATAAACAGCTTAACACTTTGTAGCTTGGTCACATTCTGATAGTTTTTCATGGATGCTGCACTGTTTTTTGGAACTTTTTTGGTTCGCACAAACATTTTGCAGCTCCTTTACAGCACATCTCATATGCAGAAGAGCATGGCTATCTTTCAAAAGACAAAGAGCAGCTACTACATAAAAGAGTGTAAAACACAGTACTCTTCTGTGTTAAGTGGGTGGAATATGGCTCTCTTATTGTTATACCATAACTTGGAGAAATATGTTCATGAGTGTGGGTGGGCAAACTTTGATCATATGGAAATAGCGAGTTCCTTCTTTATACATAACACATTGCCTTATTGGAGAAGTCCATGTCGTTCTCAGGGGGGCATTGACACTCGCGTGCGTGGCATCGAGGTGCTGGGCCCCAAGCCCACCTTCTGGCCCATCTTCAAGGAGCAGCTGTGCCGGCGCACGTACCTCTTCTACACCACCAAGGCGCACACCTGGTGCCAGGAAATCTCGGAAGACCGGATGCAGCTGCTGCAGCTCTTCAACAGGTCTTGCCCTTTCCCTGGGGCCGCAGGTGGGGAGGGGCAGGGTGTCCTGCGGGGCAGGGAGGGGTCTCCCTCTTGCGCTGGGAAGGGGGTCCACATTCCCAGCCCTTCCCACGCTTACCCCAAGACAGGGTTTCCCAAACTTGGGTCTCCAACTGTTGATGGATTACTATTCCCATCAGCCCTGATCATACGTCCTGCTAGGGATGATGGGAGTTGTAGTCCAAAAACAGCTGGAGACCCAAGTTTGGGAAACCCTGTCGGAAGATATCCATCCTGCTCCTCCCCCCCCTTCCATCTCAGTAATAATAATAATAATAATAATTTTATTATTCATACCCCACCCATCTGGCTGGGTTTCATGTTGTTCAAGCTCCTGCCCTGCTTTGTCCCGCACCCTGTGCAGCCATTGCTTCTCAGCCCATTTGCCCCTGAGCTCCAAAGGCCTCCAAGCGTCGCCCAAGTCAGCAGCTGACCCTCCACCCCTTTGCCCTTTCAGGTTGAACAGTGCCTTGCGCCACGAGCAGGTCTTTGCCGACCGCTTCCTTCCCGACGACGAAGCTGCCCAGGCCCTGGGCAAGACCTGCTGGGAGGCTCTGATCAGCCCGTTGGTGCAGAGCATCACCACTCCAGGTATGGCATCTCCTTCCTGGCACAAGTCCTCAGGAGCCACACCCTCCCCCCCAACCCTCTCCCACCAGCCCACCGTGTTTACTCATTCCAGCCCTCCAGATACCACCGGCATCAGCCCCCGTTACTGGCTCCTGAGCCAATACCTGGAGAACCTGGAGGCTTCCCGGAGCAGCAAAAGCCGGGCGGCCATCTTCAACTCTCGCGTCCGGCGCCTGAGCCACCTGCTGGTGCACGTGGACTCCAGCAGCCCTGAGGCCGAGGAGCTGAAGCCCCCCGTGAAATCCAGTGAGTGTCTCCCTGCTTGGGCAGTTGGGCAGCCCAGGAGGGGCAGGTCCCCTTTCCCAATTGAAGGGGGGAAGGTCGCCGCAGAGGAGCCTCTGGGGGCCAGGCAGACCTTGGCAGGAGAGCAAGAGTGTCTTTGGCGTCCGGGGCTGCAAGGGGGGTGGCGCTGGAGGAAGAACTGGGGAGGGAGGAGAGCCCTCAAGGTCCCGTATAGTCAGAAGTGGGTGCCTGGGTGCTCCGGTCCCCGTGAATAACGCCGCACAACCCCCACTTTGCAGACGGGAAGAACGGGAAGAACAAAGAGTCGAGCTCTGGGACTGTCAAGGCAGCCGTGAAGAAGCCCAGCAGCACCACTGGCATCACCCAGTGCTGGAAAGGGGTGGTCCAGCAGCAGGTAGGGGGAGCAGAGGACCAGGCGCGAATGGGGGTGCCAAGCAGGGTGACTCTCCATTGCTGCAAACAGATGTCTTCCTGGCCACGTCTTCCATGGCAGACCATTCACTAGTCCTGCTGCGTTGTTCTCACTGTGTCTGCATGCAGCTGCTTCCCTGCCTATTAAGGAGTTACTGGGAAGGCAGCCTTGGGGAGAGCTGAGGCTGCAGACTCTCCCAGGAAAGGGGGTTTCCTGGCTCCAGGCTCTACGTGGTGCTGCTAAATTAGGTGGGAGCCTCGTTCTGATTTTGACACTTCTGCCCCAGTTCTAGTCACATGCCCAGACTTTCCTGACGACTGACAGCCAATCAAAAGATGAGCTAAAGGGTGTTTAGCGCTACCCAGGACAGGCAACCAGCCAGGCATCCCTGCCCGCAGGAAGACTTCCAGGCAGGCCCCAGGGAGCCAGAGAAGGGCGTGTGGGTTGCTCTGACCCTGTTGTGCTCCTGCCGTCCCTCTGCCCAGGTGAAGCTGTTCCTGGAGTCCTCCTGGCAGGCCCCGGACTTTGTGGAGCGCTACTGCAACACCTACCTGCGCCTCCGCACCGCCATGGAGGAGCTCTTTGGGCAGCAGATGTCCTTCATGTTGGCCCTGTGCCACGGCTTCTCGGGGGGTCTGCTGCAGCTCTCCTTCCTGACAGCCATGCATGTGAGTAAGGGCAGAAGGGGGTGGGGGGCACGGCCTAGTCACGGGGGAGCTCATTTGCAGGAACTGTCCCTCTGACACCCCCCCCCCGGCTCTGCAGGCAGCCTGGCCTTGCCCCTTGCACTTCCAGGGATGTCAGACGTGGCCTCATCTCAGAGCCTGCTTGGCTCCCCTGGCCTGATCACAGAGCAGCCAGCCTCCCCCTCTGGGATCTTCCCCAGATGCCTTGTCCATCCCCTTGCCTGGAGGCGTTGCTGCTGGTTTGAGGGAGGAATCCCCTCCGCCCCCCTCGCCCCCCCTCCCTTCATGGAAGCTCCACCTGCTTCTTCTCCCGGCTTCAACTGGTGCCTCTTGCTCTGTGGCCAACAGGTGAGTGAGCAGTTTGCCCGCTACATCGACCGGTGGATCCAGGAGAGCTGGGCGGACTCTGGCAACGTGGAGACTTTGCGGCGCCTGCAGCAGAGCCTGGAGCCCGTCCTCTTCCTGGCAGGCCTGGAGTTGGCCAACACCTTCGAGCACTTCTACCGGTGAGGAGGCCTTCGTGGGGCAGATATGCGGAATCGTAGTGGGGAGGGAAGGGCCAGAGATCAGGGGCGAGAGCAGCTGCCGTACAGGTAGAAGGTCTTGGGTTCAGTCTCCAGGAAGGAGGGAGATATTCCTGCCTGAAGCCCTGGAGCCACTGCCAGTCAGTGGAGGGACCAAGGGACCTGGCTCAGTCCAAGGCAGCTTCCCATATTCCCAAGGAGCTGCTTATCACGTTGTTCTGGGAGACGGCGCAGGCGTCGGGCAGGAAGTGGTGCAGCCTGTTCCTGGCACTTCCATAAGGAAGAATGACTTGAGAGCACCAGTTCAGCTGCTGGGTTCCTTCCTCCCTTCCTCCCTTCCTCCCTTCCTTCCTTCCTTCCTTCCTTCCTTCCTTCCTTCCTTCCTGGGTCTCTTGTCCGTGAGGCTGGCCTGCCCTGCAGGAGGAGCGAGGGGGGTCTGGGCTGATGGGTCTTCCCTCTCTGCTTGCGCAGGTACTACCTGGGAGACCGGCTCCTGTCTCAGGGCAAGACGTGGCTGGAGTGTGCGGTGGTGGAGCACATTGGGCTCTGCTTCCCCAACCGCTTCCCCCAGCAGATGCTGAAGAACCTGAGTGAGCTGGAGGAGCAGCAGCAGCAGTTCCACCTCTTCCAGCTGGAGCAGCTCGACAAGCACCTGCTGGAACTCGACCAGGACGGGAACTGGGAGGCGGAGGAGGAGATGGAGGAAGGCGAGGTGAGAGGCGAAGGAGGGACCAGCAGGGCAGAGCCCCATCCCTGTGGACCATGCAGGAGGTCCTCTGCCCCCAAGGCCTTTTCTTCCTCCGCTGACACTGCCTGGGCAGCCCCCACTGTCCGCCAAAGCCACAGACCTTCTGTATTTCCCCAGATGGTGGAGGCGCAGCAGCTGTTCTCTCGGAAGGAAGAGGCCGAGGTGAAGGTGCTGGCGCTGTCTCCACGCTGTTGGACCATCTCCTCGTTCTGCTACCTGGAGGATCCTGCCAGGTTCTTCCCAGAATCCCTCAGTCAGCACCTGAGCAAGTTTGCTGACTTCTACACCCAGAGTGAGTGCCAGGCTGTTTTTGAGCCCAGCCCTGCCTCTCTCAGGCTGAGTTTCTGGGGGGCAGGTGGACCCCACTTTGACCCAAGACTCTGAACTTGGAAATGAGAACCATCAAACTATCTATAAAGAAATGATACAAACCTTCGCAGGGAGCTGTGAGTCTTTAAACCATCCTTTGAGAGAGGCAGCATTAAGAGTTTCATAATCTTTGGGAAATCTGGCTAATCTACAGAACGTGGGATGAGACAATTTGAAAAACAACAAGATTTGTGTTTTGTTCATGCTTCTCCAACCCCAGTATTGTGATATCCTGTCCTTGAGCAGAGAGGCAGAGAGAGTGCTGCCCGTCTTGCCGCAGTATTTCTCCCTGACCGTTGCCTTTGTCTTTCTCAGGTCAGAGCCGCTTTGGGCTGGAGCACACCAAGCCGCGGCGTTTGCAGTGGACGTGGCTGGGCCACGCGGAACTTGAGTACCAGGGCTGCCTCCTGCACGTCTCCACCCTGCAGATGTACATCCTCCTCTGCTTCAACACTGCCGAGGTCTGACACTCCCTTCATCCCCACTTGCTTGCCACCAGCAGGGCATATTCCGTGACTTAGAAGCAGTCACCCTCTGAATTTTGCACAGCAGAGTTGAAAGTCCTGCAGGGTGGGAACTGATCCTTGCAGATCTCAAGGATCCTCACTGGGACCCAGCCCCTGTTAAGCAAATGCTGGATGTGCTCTGACGGGAGGCACTTTGCTTACTCTGCAGATCCGTTTAGCCTGCCTTTTGTCATAGAGCCAGGATCTTTTGTGCATGACTAGAGTGGGGATGGTGGGAAGTTTGGGGTGGAATTAGATCAATGGCACTAGATTATAGAATTGTAGAGCTGGAAAAACCTCAAGGGTCATCTAGTTCAATCCCCTGCAATGCAGGAATCTTTTGCTCAGCATGGGACTCGAACCCACAACCCTGAGATTAAGTGTCTCTCCCGATTGAGCTACCAAGGTGGAGGGTGTTCACCAGCCTGTGTTCAGCCAGATAGCTTATCTGATTGAGGCTGTAGGTGGCTTCTGGATCCTGTTGCTGAGAATTGAGCGGCTGCAGGCAGTTGTTGCCCGAATTCAGTGAAAATGTTAAGACCTACAGAATTGGTGAGAGCTTAAGGTTACATATTCTGAGACAGACAGCCAAGAATCTTTCACCCCAGAGCCTCAGCACTGCAGTTTGGGGCTTGGAAACATTACTCCATGCTTTGCAATGGTGCTGCAGTCCAGGTGCGACCTGGGCTGAGTCTTCCATCATTGTACTGGGCATCTCTTTGCCTGTGAGCTCTTCTTCCTTGGGAGCACTGCAAACAGACCAGCATGATGGCCTAAGGCGCAGGACCCTGAAACCCGGGGGCCAAATACAGCTGTCTAGTCCTCAGAACGTTTCCCGAGGCCACACACCCCTCAGTGGTCCCAAATGTTGTGTGTGTGGCTGGAATCCATTCTTCTTCTTTTACGTATAAGTTTTATTTTTGCATTTTCTATTTTACATAAACAAATGAATTAAATGTATAAGCATATAATCCCTTTTGACTCCCCCCCCCCCCCGTTGTGGTTTTTAATGTAATAATTTTCCTCTCTGCATTTCTTTTATTACTCCATTTTTATAAATCCTTTGTCAATCCATAGTTCAAATTTTTACTACAAGTTTTCTGTCAATCCTACCAATGTATGTAATTGTTTACAATAGCTTTTTAAATAAGTTACAAACTTTCCCCATTCTTTATTTAAAGGCCTCCTCTTCCTGGTTTCTAATTCTTCCCATAAGTTTTGCCATCTCAGCATAGTTCATCAATTTTGCTTGCCACTCGTCTTTGGTCGGCGTTGTACCATCTTTCCATTTTTGGGCTAGCAGAGTATGCACAGCCGTGGTCGTGTACATAAATAGTTTCGTCTGATCCTTTGGGATCTCTGGTCCTATAATACCTAAAAGAAAAGCTTCTGGTTTCTTAGGAAATGATATTTTCAACATTTTCCCCCAGTTCATTGTACAGTGGTACCTTAGTTCTCAAACTTAATCTGTTTTGGAAGTCCATTCCAAAACCAAAGTGTTCCAAAACCAAGGCACGCATTCCCATGAAAAGTAATGCAAAATGAATTAATCCGTTCCAGACATTTAAAAACAACCCCTAAAACAGCAATTTAACATGAATTTTACTATCTAATGAGAACATTGATCCATAAAATGAAAGCAATAATCAATGTACTGTACTATAAAATAAATAAGACATGGAGATGATAAAAATTAAAATTAATTCTTTTTCTTACCTGCACTGATGATAGTCGTTGTTTGGATGGGGGGCTTTTATCCATTTCCGCTGTCACACAGTCAATCAATCAGTAGCTGAACTGGGTTTCACACAGTCACAAACAAAAATTAACCGAAAAAGCCTCAAAAACAAAAACGCAAAATAAATAGCAAAAGCAAAAGCGCCAAACTTAATCCGTTTGACTCCTGAAATGTTCAAAAACAAAGGTGCAGCTTCTGATGGTGCAAGTGCCTCAGAAACTATAGCCGACAGCTGCATTGGATGTTTGGCTTCCGAAAAACGTTCGAAAACTGGAACACTTCCAGGTTTTCAGAGTTTGAGAACCAAAGCGTTTGAGAACCAAGGTACCACTGTATATCATTTCCCAGAAGTATAATGTGTAGAAAGTAGCTTACTGTTCAAAGGTAAAATGTACACTCATTGTTCTGCCTACTTTTGCCTCTAGACCCACCTTCATTAGCATGTGGGCCTTGGAAGCTTCTCCGCTGACATAAGGGTTCCACCCTAAAAAGTCGGTTTTCTTTTATTGCATTTGCAGTATTCCTTGCAAGAACTCTGGGGCCGAAAGTCTAGATGCCCCAGTATTTCTTTGCTTCTCCCTTTTCCTCTGTGTACTCACCTTCATTTCTATAACCCCCCCCCCCTTAATTTTCCTAGGAGGTTTCGGTGGACACACTGTTACAAGCCACGGATCTTTCCCCTGTTCTCCTGCATCATGCGCTGAAACCTCTAACAAACGAGAATGGGATCCTGACCCAGAGTCAGAGTAAGTGTGGGGTTCAGAGGAGGAGGAAACAGGGTGGATAAAAATAAAAAAGTCAGATTTTTTTATTTAAATCGGATTTTTAAAATAAAATGCTTTTGGAGGAAAAATATTTCTAAAGATAGTTTTCTATTTGAGTTACATTGTAGTCCAAAGGCTATTCATCAGGAAATGAGGATTTGTTTTAAGTTTTTCATGTGTGCTAAAACTCAGTCTAAGGTGGTGGTGTTGTTTTTTAAACCATTTAACCACATCAGTTAACAAACATGGATACATATGCTACAATGTTACTGTTTTAGTTAAATAAATTGTTTAAATTGTTATTAAGGAAATGATTATTTTTCTCCTTCCAATAAAGTACAGCAGAAAAGTAGTTGTCCAAATATAAACAGTTAACTTACTAAACCTCACAATATTTTCATTATTATCTATGTCAGTGTATTTCTAATAGTATAACTAAATCAGTAATTTTTTATATAACTGTAAAAACTACTCTGAAAATTTATTCTTCCAAATATGAAACCTTCCTCTGGTTGTAAATATTAAGATTATACCAGCTAGAATGAGTCTTTCTGTAAAAAAAAGAAGATTTAAATTGTGATTTAAATTGATTTGATTTAAATCAAATCCACCCTGGGAGGAAAGGACCTTGATTCCCTTGGGAAGCTATCCCAGCAATGTGGGTGGGATTTTGACTCCTGCCATGCATCAGTTAAGTTTGCCATGTCAGATGGTGCAGATGAGGTTAGGTATTGCAAGAGGGGAAACCTGTGCCGTGAATTGAAGCCCCGTATTCTTTTATTGTACCTTTAATATTTTGTTGGAAGCCGCCCAGAGTGGCTGGGGAAACCCAGCCAGATAGGCGGGGTATAAATAATAAATTATTATTATAATTATATAGATGTCTTGAGGCTGAACGAAGGGACACTGAGCCAAATGTCCGGCCAGCGCCTGTGGCTGTTGCCCAAGCAGACCTACTTGAATGTGGAAGAGAACGAGGGCAGCGCTCTGGAGAGGAAGAGGAACATCATCTGCTGCCTCCTTATCCAGATCTTGAAAGAAGAGAAAGAGATACACATTGACAACCTGGTGTTCAAGGTATGGAACGCAGGGACGGGGCCTTGCAGCGCAGTCCGACTGGTAGGTGAAGCGCAGGGACTAACTCATTCCTCTTGCCTCTCCCAGGTGATCGATGCCTGCCAGAAATGGGAGTCTGGCTCAGCTCTGAAATTCTTGAGCTTCTGCTGCAGCAGCACGGATGTCCTGTCCTGCATCCTGCACTTGCTGAGCCAGGGCTACATCCTGCGCCAGGAAGAGAACCCGCAGCTGCTGGAGTACATCTGTGCTGAGCCCACCACACCTCACCGGGGCCAAGCTCAGCTCATCTTCCAGAGCACCGATTGCCAAAAGGCCAAGGCTTCTTCTGGGACAGACCCTGGCAACAAATTGCCTTTCAGGTAACGAGCTTTTTTGTTTTGTTTTTCAATTAATACTTTTTATAATAATAATTATTTATTATTTATACCCCGCCCATCTGGCTGAGTTTCCCCAGCCACTCTGGGCCGCTTCCAATTGAGTGTTAAAAACAATTCAGCATTAAATATTAAAAACTTTCCCTAAACAGGGCTGCCTTCAGATGTCTTTTAAAGATAAGATAGCTGCTTTTTTCCTTCACATCTGAAGGGCGGGCGCCACTACCGAGAAGGCCCTCTGTCTGGTTCCCTGTAACCTCACTTCTCACAATGAGGGAACCGCCAGAAGGCCCTCGGTGCTGGATCTCAGTGTCCGGGCTGAACGATGGGGGTGGAGACGCTCCTTCGGTACACAGGACCAAGGCCGTTTAGGGCTTTAAAGGTCAGCACCAACACTTTGAATTGTGCTCGGAAACGTACTGGGAGCCAATCCATTTTCCATATTCCATTCAATTTACTCATACAGTCATGATCATCAACTTCCCTTCCCCATCTTTTCGTGGTTCTATATATTTACCCATTATATGACTGCATATTCTGATTTCTCCATAAGTTTTGTTCTCCTCCCGCCTCCTCGTATCTTTATATACTTTAAACTGTTGGATTTACTCCAACCCTGCTAACGTTTTAACCTGTTTAACATTATTCTTCATAATAATACCAGTGCTTTTTTTCTAAAAAAAATAATGTTTAGGGTTACTCTCATTTTGACTCAAGAAAATCACCATTTTACAGTTCATATCAGGGAAAATAAATACAGTAAATGGACAAAAGTACAAAGATTCACAAAATGTTTAGGGGTATGCGTACTCCTGCGTCCCCCCAGAAAAAAAAGCACTGAATAATAAAATAATTTATACCCTGCCCATCTGGCTGGGCTTCCCAAGCTACTCTGGGAGCTACCCAACAGAATATTAAAAACACGATAAAACATCAAACCTTAAAAACTTCCCTACACATACTCTGCAAACATTTCCCACTCTTCCTTAAATACTCGGATCTTCCCGATCTCTTACTTCATTAGTTAAATTTGCTGATTCGACATATTCCCATCAATTTCATCTGCCATTCCTCCTTTGTTGGTGTTAATTCCCTCTCTCCAGATGTTTCGTTTTAACATGACACATAGCAGGGGTGTAGGAGCCTACCTGCCTACTTGTTGTTTGTTGGTATCTTCATGAACTTACCTAAAAAGATAAAGAAAACAAAAGACTGAGTTAAGCATTTGAAAAATCCATTGAAATCAGACATTATAAGTTCATCTTAGGTTGGGTAGTTTACAAGTCTCTGTGGCTTTGCATAAGGTTTTGTATTTGTCTCAGAAGATTGATAAAGAATGTATAATTATTTTGGTAATTATTGTGTGTATATTAGTTGCCAATGTGTTGCATGAGTCGTACTACTTGTTGTGATGTGGCTGTTCTTGCCTTCAGGTTGGATGCCTTTGGCCTCGGCACAGAACAGGTTCTTATGGAGACAGTTCTGTTACCCATGGGGCGCACCATGAGCCAAGACGAAGTTGGGGTGCTGATGAACCAGACGGTGCAGAGGGTCTCAGATACCCTGAGCGTGACGGCAGATGTAGCCCAGCACCTGCTTATCCACTGTAAATGGAACGTGGATGTTCTGATTCAGCGCTACACAGAGGATCCAGAGGTGCTCCTGTTCTCCTCAGGGATGCAAGTGCGAAACCCCCAGGAGCCCTCAAGCCCTGTCACTCACTGTCCAGTCTGTGTGAATCTGCTGAGTCAAGATGACAACCCACCTGTTCTCTGCTGCATGCACTACTGCTGCAAGGTGAGGTTTGGCTTCCCTTACTGTCCTGACGGCAGGTATCTGCTTTCACTCTCACCATTCTTGTCTTAATTCTGATCCCCGACAGAATATTGTTGCTTTCTGAGATTGGGTGTCCCATCCTTGTCCCATTACAGTGGTACCTTGGTTCTCAAACTTAATCCGTTCCGGAAGTCCATTCCAAAACCAAAGTGTCCCAAAACCAAGGCACGCTTTCCCATAAAAAGTAATGCAAATGGATTAATCCGACCCAGACTTTTAAAAACAACCCCTAAATCAGCGATTTAACATGAATTTTACTATCTGATGAGACCATTGAGCCATAGAATGAAAGCAATAATCAATGTACTGTACTATAAAATAAATAAGACAGTATTGTAGATGATAAAAATTAAAATTAATTCTTTTTCTTACCTGCATTGATGATAGTCATTGTTTGGTTGGGGGGCGTTTATCCATTTCCGTAGTCACACAATCAGTCAATCAGTAGCTGAACTGGGTTCCACACAGTCACAAAAACAAATTAACTGAAAAAGCCACAAAAACACAAAATAAATAGCAAAAACAAAAGCACCAAACTTAATCCATTCCAGAAGTCCGTTTGACTTCCGAAATGTTCGAAAACAAAGATGCAGCTTCTGATTGGTGCCCCAGAAAAAATAGCCGACAGCCGCATTGGACGTTCGGCTTCCGAACAACATTCGAAAACCGGAACACTTAATTCTGGATTTTTGGCGTTTGAGAACCAGGGCATTTGAGAACCAAGGTACCACTGTAGTCCTATTGGTTTTGGTGTAAATTTCCAAAACACTCCCCCTAGTGGGCGACTTGGAGCACTGCTGCCTGTATTGTTAACACTGCTGATCTCTTGATCCCATGTTTTCTTCCCTCTCATTTTTTCTTCTTCAATTAGTCCTGCTGGAATGAATACTTGACAACTCGGATTGAACAGAACCTGATTCTGAATTGTACATGTCCCATCTCTGACTGCCCTGCGCAGCCGACTACTGCCTTTATCCGCTCTATTATTTCCTCCAAGGAGGTCATTGCCAAGGTAGGCACAGGGGTTCTGACACGCAAGCTCAATCTATCAAAACCTCCTACACACTAGGCGAGAGCTTCATCTTTTCCTTATGAGAAAACACCTGTTGTGTCCTATAGCCTGGGATCTGAGTAATAGGTCAAGCCGTTAATCCATTTAATTCCAGGTATGCTAACTCTCCCATTACTCAGCATATTGCTTGCTAAGATTGCTCTGTTGTCCATCTTGCAGAATACAGTGGTACCTCAGGTTAAGTACTTAATTCGTTCCGGAGGTCTGTTCTTGACCTGAAACTGTTCTTAACCTGAAGCACCGCTTTAGCTAATGGTGCCTCCTCCTGATGCCACGCCGCCGGAGCACGATTTCTGTTCTCATCCTGAAGCAAAGTTCTTAACCCGAGATACTATTTCTGGGTTAGCGGAGTCTGTAACCTGAAGCGTATGTAACACCGAGGTACCACTGTATCTCATTTGCTTGAGACGTTTTGAGCTGTCTGCCCTGCAGGCACCTGTTTGTTAGATCCTGTGTTCAGTCATACCTCATGTTGCGTCCGCTTCAGGTTACGTCTTTTCAAGTTGCGTCCTGCGGCAACCTGGAAGTACCGGAATGGGTTACTTCTGGGTTTGCCACTCACACATGCGCAGAAGCGCTAAATTGTGCTGCTCACATGCGCAGACACAGCACTTCTGGATGCGAATGCTTCAAGTTGCGGACGTGCCTCCGGGAAAGATTACGTCCGCAACTCGAGGTTCTATTGTACAGGACTCATGGACTGACTTAGTGAATGCCTTTTTCCACTTTAGTAGGGAACTGGGATAAGTTGTGCTTCACTTCCTTCAGGTTCATGACTTCTGCATCATTAATTTTGTGTGTGTGCTCTAAGAATACTTGAATCTGATTTTTTTTTAAACAAATTCTGCAGATTGCCATATTTGCTTGTACTGTACTATTCTGATTGTGCTCATCGGGAGGGATGTTTGGAAACCCCACCTCCTGATCACTGGAAATTGTGCTGAGCACACTTCCTTTTTTCAGTTCTGCTAGGTCACTAGGCATTGCAGAGCCCTCCGCACTCTCAAGCCCTTTTAGTGCTTGAAACATTTTGGAAAAAACACTAAAGCTGAGGTTTTCAGCATACCCAGTCCAGTATCTGTTTTTGGACTTGCATTATGTGATCATGGAGTTTTAGAATACACATAATCCTGTCTATGATATGTCAAGGAGATCACATTTAAGTTTTTGTACTCATATACCTGATTAACTCAGGTTGATAGAACATACTGCATCTTCAGCATTTATTGGCCAATATACATCTCAAACTAAAGCCTTGGAATTATGTTAGACAGCAGCTATCTTCTGAAGGAAGTAAAACAATACTGTTCTTTGGTGGTCTTCACCTCAGCTGTCCTTCGGGGTATAGAATATTTTTGTTGAAACTTGAGATACAGTTCAAGAAATCCTAAGAGTGACACCTTCCTGCTCTTCAATAACATGTTGAAGCCTATGATCACGTCAGAATAATGTCAATTACCTTAACTGCATCAAGAATCCTTCTGCTCAGTTTTTAACCAAAGTTTATCTTCTTCAGAAGACGACCAAGCTTCTTACAGTGTTTAGCTGAGAAGCATAATAGTACATTGCAAAATTCAGAAGTGTTAGCCTTTCCGTAAGACCATAGTAGATATTCTGGGCGGCTTATTGTTCTGCCTAATATTAATTAATACTTTTGCCATGACACTAACGCCTCCTGTAGCAATTGGACTATTATGATTAAACTGAGAAACCTAGGTAACACATTCTTTTTAAAGGTGGCGATTATCCCTTATCCTTTGAAAGTCTGAGGAAAAACTATTGTTGAAGATCACTTTGTATTTTTTTGGTCAGCAGTTCATAGTCCCAGAAAGTTGCTCTAAATCTGGCACGAGATTAATCACCGTGGCGCTGTGGGTTAAACCACAGAGCCTAGGACTTGCCGATTAGAAGTTCGGCGGTTTGAATCCCTTTGACTGGATGCGCTCCCATTGCTTGGTCCTGCTCCTGCCAACCTAGCAGTTCGAAAGCCCATCAAAGTGCAAGTAGATAAATAGGTACCGCTCTGGCGGGAAGGTAAACGGCGTTTCTGTGTGCTGCTCTGGCTCGCCAGAAGTGGCTTAGTCATGCTGGCCACATGACCTGGAAGCTGTACGCCAGCTCCCTCGGCCAATAAAGCGAGATGAGCGCCGCAACCCCAGAGTCAGCCACAACTGGACCTAATGGTCAGGGGTCCCTTTACCTTTTTTTAAACTGATAATTGCACAAGATCTCCAGAACTGCCACTTGTGTGTTTCTTTCCTGCAGTATGAGAAAGCGCTCCTGAGGGGTTATGTTGAATGCTGCTCGAACCTGACCTGGTGTACCAACCCCCAAGGTTGCGATCAGATCCTCTGCAAGGAAGGTCTTGGCTGTGGAGAAGCCTGCTCAAAGTGCTCTTGGATCTCCTGCTTCAACTGCAATTTCCCAGAGGTAAGGCTGAGATGAACCATGGAGGAAGTGCACCTGTCTCCTCACAGGACTTTTATCCTGGGTTTTTTGCCCTCCCAAGTCAGCTCGGGCTCTGTAATTCCTTGCAGGCTCACTATCCTGCCAGCTGCAGCCATATGTCCCAGTGGATGGATGACGGAGGGTTTTATGAAGGGATGACCGTGGAAGCCCAAAGCAAACACCTGGCCAAACTCATCTCCAAGCGCTGCCCAAGCTGCCAAGCTCAAATAGAGAAAAATGAGGGCTGTCTGCAGTGAGTGCCTTTTTGCTTATTAGCTTATTTAGTTAGAGGGCAGAAGAATGACACAAACTTGGATTGCATGGGAGGTGCCCCCAAACTTTCTTTGGCTTCTTGTCTGATGCCGCCTTAGTTGTACATAACATGCATACTTTTATTTGTATGCTGCCTTTCCATAACTGTAAGCTTCCTTGAATGTGGTTTTAACATGAAAAAATCCCCCACATAATTGCAAGAGCAAAAATAGTCACAAGGAATAAATAAAACATCAAAAAATACACAACCAAACAGAACAATTTCCACATAAATCATTTGGGGAAGGTATAAATGAAATAAAGATACAAAAATTTAATATCAGTAACAGCAGCAACCCCGCACACACCAAAATGCCCTAAACAATAACCCAGTCCAAGAATCTGTTAAGCAGCCTCAACTTTTGTAGCTGGAGTCAGTCATGGCCCTGCCCTCCCAGGCTATGTGGAAAAGGTCTGCAAGGCTGGGAGTAGGTCTTCCAGGATTCGCAGCCAAGCTTACTTACCCCTGCACAGTGATCCCAGTGCAGCCAAGGAAGAGAAGGCGGGCCAAGAAGAAGGCCTGATCTGGCCATCAGGAATTAATTTTCTGGCCAAACTTTATGCTTGAACTAATGGGAATTATTTCTGTTCTACGCAGTATGACTTGTGCCAAATGTAACCATGGATTTTGCTGGCGCTGCCTGAAGCCTTGGAAACCAACCCACAAGGACTATTACAATTGTTCCGCTATGGTGAGTTTAGTACAGGGCATACTTTGTGTCTGGTGTTATTTATTTGTTTAACTTCATCACTTGCCCTTAAACCTAAGGTTACAACAATTTAAATCCAACATTAAGGACCGCCTTGTCTCTTTTCAAACCGACCCGGATCCTGTGATCATCATGTGAGGCCCTTCTTTGTGTGCCTCCTCCACAAGAGGTCTGGAGGGCGGCAACACGGGAATGGGACTTTTCTTTGGTGGCTCCCCGTTTGTGGAATGCTCCTACCAAGGAGGCTCACCTGGTGCCTTCATTACAAATATTTAGGTGTCAGGCAGAAATATTCCTCCCAGGCCTTTGGCTAATCAAACAATCTATCACCTTTTAAACTGTTGAAGGGTCTTGTTTTGTTACTACGTTGTGTATTTGTGTGTGTGTTATATTGTAAACAGCCCTGTGATCCTCTGATGAAGGGTGAGTTAGAAATGTAACTCCAGGTAACTTATTTCCTGTTTCCCACCCTCAGGTGAGCAAAGCAGCTCGACAGGAGAAGCGTTTCCAAGACTATAATGAGAGGTGTACCTTCCATCATCAAGCAAGGGTGAGGATCGCTCCCCTGTACTTCGGGGACAAGGAACATAATCCAGCCCCGGTGTCTGCTCTTCATCAAGTTTTACCATCCAAGAATACTTCATAGGCAGCTGGTTCTAGTATTAGTGGTAGAAATTGGCCATGAAAACCACTTGGGCTTCTGTCACACAGAATTTGTGTCTGCCTGTCTGGAATAGTAACGCTTGGCCAGCTTGCCAAATCTAACATCTCTAGTCCAAAAGATTGCTTGCTGTGAAGAAATAGGATTGGTGGCCATAACAGTTTGGTTGTAAATCTGTGCCTTGAGAGGAAGACTGGGCTCATGTCTGCAGATAAGAAGGGTTCTTCCTGAATAGACAGGATTGCTGAGTCTCTTCCTTTTCATTGCAGGAATTTGCCATGAACTTACGAAATAGGGTTTCCACTGTCAGTGATGTGCCACAGATTCGGTCCTTGACGTTTGTCGTTGACACCTGCAAAATGCTGGAACAAGCGCGGAAAGTAAGTGCATTAATCTGAGAAAGAGGAGGAGGGACACACATGGATGCATGTCTGCTGCTCTTCTTTCTGACTTTCTTCTGCTGCAGTTCCTTTGTCCTCTTTCTGCAATACAGTTTAAACTCATTAAGAAAATGCAACCCCAAGAGGATCCACAACATTCAGATCAATGGAAGGACTGTATTTTGGAGGGATAGGAGAGGCGAGTGCCTGAGCGCAGCAAAGTCTTAGAAGATTTATTATTCAGGGTGGTGGGTGGAAATAAGGGTTGCTGTCCAAAAGTGCTGGAAGCCCAACACCACATGCTATCCCCCTCTTCCTTTAGGAAATTCTGGTGGCATCTGGTAACACTAGTTTTTGGCTTGGCCAGCAAGGCTAGTAAAAATGGTGAAGCCCTGGTCAGTGCATCCATTTGAGACAAATATTTTCTTCTTGAAGCCATGCAGTATTTAATAGGCTAACACTATACCTGCACTGATTCTTACAGTGGAGAAGGCGTATTTCAGATGTCTCCCAGAGGCTCTTTGTTGGCTTTCAACAAAGGTCCTTGTGCAGATAAAGGTTTAGTTCTTGCTTTGATTTACGATCTTGCTAGCTCCAGATTGTTTTCTCTTCTGAGTTGCCTATGCTGTTCTAGACATGTGCCCAGAAATGGAGGCTCCATTCTAGCCATAACTATGCCAGAAATAGCACAGAGCAGGAAAAGTGGCTCTCCAATAGGAAGCTGTGCCTGGAAAGTGGGGTGGGGAGAAAACCAGCTGCCTGTAGTATGTATGTAAATGTGGTGTTTTGTGTTCTCTCTCAGGTGCTGGCTTACTCCTGTGTGTACAGCTACTATAACCAGGACACTGAAAAGATTGACATCATGGAGCAACAATCAGAGAACCTGGAGCTGCACACCAATGCTCTGCAAATCCTTTTGGGTGAGTAGAAGTGAATGAGACCATGTTTGCAAGATGATGGGTGCTTAGACTTTAAATACAGGTTCAAAGAATGCTAGATTAGAGGCTAGATTATCAGGAAAGGCAAGAGAGCATTTCCTCATTGCAACCACCTGGGTAGCTCTCATCCAGATGCCTGACTTTCACTCCATGATTCTTCTAAATATGACTAAAAGCTTATGTAATTTTAAAAAATAAAACAAAAGCTATAATTCTCTTGCAAGAACACAGAGTCCACATTGTTAGTTCTGTCATGACACTTGGGCCTGCCCAGACTTTTGCCTTTTTATTTAACCCCCCCCCCCAGGTCTGATAAGCAATAATTAAGAGATGTATCTATGAAAAGTATTTAAAAGAAGTGCTTGGGGCCAGAGCAATATGTGTCTCTTCCTCCTTTCCTCTGTTCAGAGGTGCCAGCTGTGGCCTTGTGCCCCAGTGCACAGCATTCAAGTAGGTGTGTCATATCCTTGTCTAGATGTGGGGCTAGGTTGTAGGCATAGTGACTCCTGCCACATTCCTTCATCAGTCCCTTTTCCCACTAAACCCCCCTCTAGTTTTACCCTATAACAGGCAAAATAAGAGGAGTGGACAAATACTGTTAAAAAAACACACAGTTTGAGTGCCTTTCTGTACGCATATGGATAAGCACTCAGTATCCAATCCAGAAAAACTGGAACAAAAAGGAATCTCCACCTATATATTCACCATTCCTCTTCTGATCTGAAATTCAAGTGAGGCCGAATGAAACTTCTCTAGCTGCCTGCAACTTTGTAGGATGGATTAGCTGAGTCAGGTCTACCCTTTCGGTTGCTACTACTCAGCCTGCAGCCCGAAGGCTCACGTTGTTTTGATCCTTGTATTTCAGAAGAGATGTTGCTGCAGTGCCAGGATCTTGCCTCTTCGATTCGGCTGCTCAAAGCCGAGCATTTTAATACAGGTCTAGAGCTGGTGCGCAGGATCCAAGAACGACTCCTAGCAATTCTGCAGCATGCCACACAGGTAACAGCTATTAACTTGACCAGGAATGTGTTCTGTCCAGCAGTGTAGCAGAATGGAAAATGCTGCGGTGCAGTTTGTTTCGGAGGGGCTGCCAGTGACATTTTCTGACCTTTCATTATATCCTGACAGGACTTCCGTGTGGGATTCCAAACCCGACAAGGCTCTGAACAGAGGGAGATGAAGTTATCCAATGTGCCTAATGCCACGCCTACTTATAAAGAGTGAGTTTTCTTGCAGGGGGGACATGGGCAGTACGACTAGATGGTGGGTTTTGTATTCTCTCCCTCCCTCTTTCTCTCATTCTCAATTTTATTAAATTTCCTGTTTTACAATTTCAGATAAACATTTTACATACTTTAACATATCCAATGACTTCCCTTCTTCTCCTTCCATGGTTCATTTTGCATATCTTACATCCCTGCATATTTTACAGTAACTGCTCCAATCGGTTTTCCACTATTACATCCATCAAAAATTATTTACTCTGTTGAATTCATCTTAATGCTGCCAGCATTTTCAACTTAAGTTGCCCATCTTCTTTGGTTGGGACCTCACTTTCCATTTTGGGGGCGAACATAACACAGGCCGCAGTTGTTGCAAACATAAATCACCTTTCCTGACACCTGGGGATTTTAATCTGAGTTATCCCCAGCAGAAAGGACTCTGGTTTTGGGGGGAAAGTAATTTTAAACACCCCCCGCGAGTTCATTATAAATCATTTCCCAATACTCTTTTACCGTTTTACATGTCCACCACATATGAAAGAACATTCCCTCCACCTCTTTACACTTCCAGCACTTATCTGATTCTGTCTTGTAATTCTTAGCAAGCCTACTTTGAGTTAGATACCATCTTTGGATCATTTTCAAATAATTCTCTTTCAAAGAATCACATGCTGTCAATTTCAAGTCGCTTTTCCATAGTTTCTCCCAGAGGTTAAAATCTATGTTGTGTCCTGTATTTATTGCCCAGTGTGTCACTGAAGCTTTAACTAGCTCGTCTTTTGTTTCCCATTCTAATAACAGGTTATACATTTTAGACAAAATGTGAGTTTTGCATTCTTAGTGAGGTACAACATATCTAGAGTTACTGCCTAATCTGAGCATACAGCAGACTGAACAATTTAACACATGTCACCGTCCAGCAACCCAGACACTGAGCTGCTCTCCCTCTTGGAAGCGCCCTTTTCTTCCTGCACCCTTTAATTTTCTTTTTGCACAGTGAGCTAGACAAGTTGTCATTTGGGCTACTCTTAATCTGTGGCCTGATGGACCAGGTGAGGGGCTCTTGTGAGCAAGTTAAGGCTCTGAATGTGCCATCCCCTGAGGTACTAACAGTTGTAATATTGTATGTATTTTTTAAAAATTACAATACTTTAAACCAACGCTCCTTCAAAGTACGATACCAGGGTGGGGTACAAGAATGTAAATTAAAACCAAGAAATACAATTGTGAACAAAGAATACAAGGTGCAGATAAAAACAAAGCAGAAGCAGCAATTACAATGATATAAATACACAATTTATCCAGTTCTTGCTGGAATGGTGGTAGCAGTCCAAATGCAGGATTGCCAGATGTTCAAATGTCCAATCACGTTTTCCTGAAACTCCCAACAGTAGTTGAGTTCTGTTAGGTCTTAGCCAATCTTCTGTTGTGTTTATAGCGTTTCTTGTGGTTGTTGGCTAAAAATGTGCAAGGTGTACTGACTACAAGGGTTTGTTTCCGCCTAGGCTTGTTTTCGATGAGGCATCCGATTCAGCCGACACAGATGATGGTGGCAAAGAGGAAGAGGATGACGACGAAGATGAAGACGAAGAATACGTCCCCGAGTGGCAGGAGGAGTATGATGACGAAGATCTCGATGATGACAATATTTCTTACGATGATGAATCGGAGAATCTGGAGAGGGATTCTTTCTTTTTTGACGATGCTTATTAGTAGAGTTGGCCTCCTGGCACCCCAAATTCACACCAGAGAATCCTGGAGTAAAACATTGCCTGTCACTCAGACAGCCTTGTCCCGGCTGCACTCTCTGCTCTGCTTCTGTCATAGTCCAAGGACAGCAAGGAGAACTAGATTTCAGTCAGGCAGGAGTTTGTATGGTAGTTTACAACAAAAGGGTGCTTTCCTCTTTGAGACGGCTGGTTGTGACTCTTTTGGTACAACTTGCAGGGCTGCTGTGCCCGGTTACATAGGAACTTCATCAGCTCTTGGCACAAGCGGTGGCGGGGAGGGTGTGTTCTTTGTCATCTGTGAGCTTTTTTTTCATGCTCTTCCTTGGGGAATGAAACCAAGTACCAATCTAGCAACAGATCCAGCCATTATCTCGTCCCATTACAGGCTTCAACCTTGAGAGATTCAGGGCACACCACATGCCATTTATGTCCGTGTGAAAAGTTACACACCATTCTTGCCTGTATTTCCTATATCTTATTTCCACACCTGCTGCTATCACCCAGGAATCCAGCCTTGGCAAAACCTACTTGATTTCATAATCTAGCCTGACAATGGCGAATGGCCCAGGAATCGTAGTGACACAGCCTTGAGTGCCAGCTTTTTAGCCCGGTGGCTTTTGGTTCTCAGTAGTGATGTTCCCTGTGGGGTAAAGACATGGAATGTGCACCCACCACCCAGGCACGCACAAAATATTTCTTAAGGGCCTCTGTCTGCCAAGGCGATTCTCATTTCTGTTCTAGCACACGTCTAAAAACTAGGGCCTGAGTTTTTCACTCCTTTGCAGCGAAAAGCTCTGCTGGATTGAGTGACCAGGGAGGAATGGACTAACTAGAGAGAAGGTAATTTAGGTCATTGGGTGTGTTTGGAGATGAGAGCTGGTGAAATAGTTAAAGAATTTTTTTTTGAAGTAGAGCTCAAGTGGCCTGCTCTGAGTCTGACAGGTAGTTCTGTGGGTTGCCAGCACTCTTGAATGGACATGGTTTTGAGAGTACCTCTTTCGTTGAGAGGTCAGTTTTCTGTGGGGTTGTTTTTTTTGTTCCTTTGTCATTGGAATCGTCTTCTCTTCCTTCAGATAGGAATTCTGCAGGATGTAGAGGTTCAGAGGGTTCATATATATATAATAAATATATATATATACACACATATATATATATATGAAGAAGCTGAAATTGTTCAGATTATTATGCTTTATCTTTTCTTGAAAATCAAAAAGAATCCTGAAACAACAAGATTATACACCACCTGTTTATGTAATAAACAGTTTTTTTCTTTTATTACCATCTTTTTAGTGTGGTTCTCTATCCTGCTTCCCACACTTTCCCAATTCCTGTTGCTTACGGCTAAAATAGAGGTTAGCAGAAATGCAGTGCTGCTGCAGGAGAATCCCTATGTCTCATTGGTAACATCAAGGGTGTTTTTTATTTAAAAAAAAATTAAAACTCCAAACATTTGTCAATTAGTCTCAGTCACGTAAGCTACAAAAGCTGTGCATAACATTGGTGCAGTAGTCTCAGTCACATGAGCGGGCTTTTTAATACAAGGTTTTTGGGTTTTTTAATGCAGTGTTTCTTGCTTTTCCATGCCCCATAGTTCCAGAATTAATTAACCTTGCCACCAGCCTCACTCATCACCCTATCTATTCCCCTGTCTCTATGACTGGTGTACTAATGTTCAGTTCCTAAGCGCCTGTCCACGGCGAAGCACTGCAGGGTTACAAATATCTGCCTCCATGAAATTTAGCTCTACGTGGATTTGAAGTATAAATGATGGGAGAAACATGCTTTCAAAATAAATCAGAAAAGTTGTATGTATAGGGAGCTGAATATAAAGGAATACCAATAAATACTGGGCTGGAGAGGGATGAGTGTCAAAGTGTGAAGTTGATAGTGTTTTGAAATCACACCTATACCAATGTGACCAGTAGAATTGTCCAGCAAAGCGTCATAGTCTTCTCCTTTTCCCAGTTGTCTGCCTTTCCAGAGTTGAATGTGAAGAAAACTCCTTGCCCACACATTCCTGTGTAAAGTGTTTTATTGCCTCAAGATCACAAGATGATCCGGATACACTATATACATAAAGTTAAGAGGTGCTGGTGCATCATAAACTATTACTACATTGGTACCTCGGGTAAAGTACTTAATTCGTTCCGGAGGTCCGTTCTTAACCTGAAACTTCTTAACCTGAAGCACCACTTTAGCTAATGGGGCCTCCTGCTGCCGCCGCGCCACCAGAGCGCGATTTTTGTTCTCATCCTGAAGCAAAGCTCTTAACCCGAGGTACTATTTCTGGGTTAGCGGAGTCTGTAACCTGAAGCGTATGTAACCTGAAGCGTATGTAACCCGAGGTACCACTGTACTAAGTACAGTAACCTGGTCTTAGAGGTTAAGAGAGATCAAAATGTGCAGAGAAATCCAAGTGTGGAGAGAGATCCACCGCCACCACAATTCACTACTGCTCTTTTGCCTCGCTGCTGAATGCAGCCTTGGCTTTCTACCTGCCAGTGCACATACACACATTCTTTGGAGAAATGGAGAGTGGATGAGTCATGCCGGAGGTCCATGGCTTTGGACTGTTTCAAAAGGCCCACCACAACTGGCATCCTAACCCTGAACAAAAATCAGACATGGCGGGGGGGCGGGGGGGAGACTCGAGACACAGACCTTGCAAGCAGTTGGTGCAATTTCGCACGTATTCCCAAATTACAGCAACAGAAGTGACTGATAGATCCCATCCTGAGAAGATAGCAGCCAAGTTTGAAACATAATTCAAGCATAGTTACTTTGTGGTCGAAACTAATCTGAACAAAATAGAAGACAGTGGAGAGTTGCTGGAGGGCACTATACAGATTGGAGCAAAAGAGCAACATAGTTCTGCTCCTTTTTGCTAGTCCACCCGAAAGGTTTTTGAAAAGGTCCCTGCTTCAGTTGCTTCCTACCCTTTTAAGTTACAGATTTGGGATTCATGATCATATTGGATAACCAAATTCCCAATTGAGAGTTGCTATGAAATGAAAATTGAATCGCTTGGAACGTTTAACTGATCTTGGCTCTTCATTATGCAATCAATGTGGATGATACCAGGCTGATTGCTTCACTTTATTTTTTATTATTATTCATTTCCAGTTGCTTTTAATTTTTCTTTCTGCTTTTCAGTAGCCAACTGGCATTTCCAGGGTGGCTGCACAAATGTCTGTACAGTCACTAGACTTCCCTCATGATACATAAAGAATAAGAATGGGCTCTCTTTGCTCACAAGCAAACCTTTTGCTTGTTCCTGCTGGAAAATTTGAATCGTACGTCATCTCTGTCTCAACAAAAGGAGACAATGCATCTTCAAACTAGTTTATAAACTGAACATCCTTGTAAATTTCAGATGAGTGAAGGGATGGCTACACACACAGAATTTTGATTATGTGCTCTGCAAGAGATGTGGGGAGAGGCTCTGAAGGGAGAATACATCTTTCTCTAAGGGCTTATCCAGGCTTCTGTTTGCCCTGCTGCTTTCACCTGGGAAAACCCACAGTTTAGTGCTGAATTGGAGAAAACTGGGATTGGGTTTTCTGCTGATTGCTGTTTGTTCCGATTTAACCCTAAAGAGTGGGTTTTCCAGGGAAAGCAGTTGGTCAAATGCAAGCACTGCTTGGGTCCGTGCTTCCTGGCATGGGACAAGTGGAAGAGTAGACAAGCCCTAAGTGTTTCACACCTGCACTGGTTTCAGGAGGTAAGGATCATCTCTCATTTTCCTGCTAAGGGTGCTGTTTGGTGAGGCATGATATTGTGAAGTGCTGGGGAAGGGTGATCGGCAAAGTCCAAAGTCTCCTGCTAGCCCTAGCTACTACCTCCCGGAGCTTTAAAATTGTTTCTAACAGCCAGCACAGATATTACGCTATTTTGCTGGTTTCAGCATTTTTAAATTGTTGGCATCTGTCTGTCTCGGGGGAGGGGTGAAGTCAAATTGTTGGGAGAGTTGCAGCACCTGCTGGTATTATGTAGTAATCTAATTGAGTTCCAACTTGAGTGGATGGAGAGAAGAGCAAAGGCAAGTAGAAAAGGGGAATGTTGTACACTCAGCCAGAGGATGATAAGAAACGTATTGGGGTTTGTGAAATTAGTGAAGAGAGCAAACAGGCCAGCCACAATATGTCATTTGCATTTATTATTATTATTATTATTATTGCAGTTAGCACTTTCTAATTAGCATAAGCCAAGAGAAAATGTACCCTGCTACATTATTTGTAAAAAAATATTGAGAAGCTTGTAAAGCCATATGTCCTACCTCATAGTTCTGGAACATATTTCTCATTAGTACATGCTCAGGGACACTTTGCTTTCTTCATATAATTTAGGACTTTGTTTCCTCTACAGGAAACAAAACTTATTTTTCCTGATATGGCAGTTTCTCACGGGTCCCAGGGTGGGAAATGAATATGATTCATTTTTATTAATACACAGTAACATAGCTCCCTCCCTTCCATGTTCCCTTCCCTATGAACCTTGCTTTAAGATTTGTCAGAGTGCAGTGCACTCCCTATAGAAGTGAAATCCCTTGAAGAACCCAAATTAGGTCATTCTCCATAGTGGCAATGCAGCTTTGGAATCAACTTACCAGGGAGGTCCATCATGCCCTTCATTATTTACATGCAGGCACAAACCATAAAACTTGTTTCCTGTACTTTTCAAATGCTTTTAATTTGTTCTGCTTCTTCAGTATTTATTGCTGCTATTTCATAGTACATTTTAACGTTTATCCACACTGCTTTGACTGCATTTAGCAAAAAGGCAATCTAAATATCACATACATGACATACGTGCAGCACCAAATAGCTCAATCAGGGTTGTGGGTTCGAACCCCACGTTGGGCAAAGGATTCCTGCGTTGCAGGGAGTTGGACTAGATAACCCTCATAGTCTGTTCCAACTCTACAGTTCTATGATTCTAACGGTACAGTACTGCACAGCAGAAATTTCACTTTCAGCTACAGACATGCCTGGGGAATCAGGGACCACCTTATCTTCCTCAGCATTCAAGCCAAAGTGGAATAACTTTTCCATTTCCTATGATCTTCTACGTTGTTTGCTTAATTAATTAATTTTATATACCACCCTTCAATGAGCAGATAGCACAGGACTGAAGCTTCCTCCGGCAGCAAAACGTCTAGGGTCAGGCTGGCGAAGTGCTGCGAGGTGCCCGGCGGTGTCACGCCACCCCATGTCAGCGCAACCAGGCTATTGCAGCATTATCTCTAGGAGAACTTGGAAGCGCAGGGAGGAGACTCCCGCTGCAAGAAGAACAAGGCTGAGCCATGGCCGGCCTTCTGCACTAAGGCTGGCAGAAGGAGCTTGCAGCCTCATCTGTGGCGGCGGCCAGGACAGCAAGGCGGAGGGGTGGGTGGGTGGGGTGGCGGCGGCGGCATGCCCCCTCTCCCCTCCGCCGCCGCCAGCACCTGAAGTCCCGGTGCAAGCCGGCAGGGCGGGGCGGGGCGGCGCTGCGGAGGCTGGAGCTGATGTCAGGCTGATGCTGATGCTGAGGCGCGCGGTGCATTGTGGGCGAATCCCCGCCACCAGCGCCGCCGCCGCCGCGGACCCATCCCGAGGCCGGTGCGGGAGGGGGGACGACGATGCTCCCCGGGCGACCCCCTCCCACAGGAACAGGAGCAGCCTCAGGCGGTCCCGCGCAGGGCAGGGAGCCGCGCGCAGACGGCGCTGCCGCACTGACTGACTGACGGAGAGCAGCGGGCGGGGAGGGGGGGATGCGCCGCCCTCACCAACGGCTGCGGCAGGGACCAGGTGAGCGCGCGAGGGAGGGGCGGGCTGAGGCGAGGGAGGGCGCCCCCGCCCCGCGCTATAACCGGACCACTTTGCGGGGGGGGGGAGAAGGTGGGGTGTCCTAGTGTGTGTGGTGGGGGGGGTGACACGGCCCAGCCCGAACCCCCTCACAAGCTCAAGTGTGGCCCGGCGGTGCATTGTGGGAGTTGTAGTTCTTCCTCTGAGGGGGGAGAGAGAGGGGGGACACAACGCCTTTCGAGTTCCCAGGATGCCCTCGAGGCTAGAGGGGCCGGTGGGGATTGACGGGGCGTCCGGCCAGTGGCGAGCAGGAGGAGCCCACCCCTGTGGGCGTTGGGCAACGGGCGGCCGAGTTTGAACGAGCTGCAGTGCAGGCGGAGGGGTGAGGAGGGGGCGGGGCTTCGAGGGCCTCGCGCGCCTACCTTGCGAGGCGCGCGGGGGCGGGGCGGAGTGTGAGGCGGGGTTGGGGGTTGGCGTCGAGCTGCC